CAAATATTTATTGGAGAATGATATTTATATGATTATATTTAAATTGTACTTTATTCGTTCCAAACACCGTGCAATATTTGTGTTTGGCATGGGAATTTAGGTGTGAAATATTAAGTATGGTAATTTGAGATAATTTGAATATTAAGTGATGTGACTAGAAAGAGAAATGATTATTTAGTTTTGTATTTGAGTGGAAGTGAAGGGATAAAGTGAAGTATATTTTATTATATGTATATAAATATTACTCCCTCCGTCCCATGTAATATGGGTGTATTACTGTAGACACGGGAATTTAGGTAAAGTATAATTAGTAAGTAATTAAGAAGTGTATTAGTAAAAATAATTATAAAGTAAGATTAAGATAAGTAAATAGTTTAATTAAAATTAAGAAAATTATAAAATTTAAAATTTAAAATTTAAAATACGATTAAAGTGCATAATTATATTTCCAAAAATATAAAGGACATGTTATGTGGGACGGACGAAAATAAAAAATAGGGACAAATTATGTGGGACGGAGGGAGTATTAATTATTTTTAAATTTGGAAATGAGTTTGGGACAAACAAAAAAAAAAAAGAAATATTGTAGGATGTTTGGGACGAAGGGAGCATATGTTACTTATTGGAGAATGATATTTATATGGTTATATTTAAATGATATATGTTTAAAGGATATGAAATTTTAAAAAATATTATTCCATCGAAATATAAAAATCTCTTATGAACTTAAATAGTCTGTATTTATGTAATATAATTGTCTCACTATATATATATATATAATACTAATGACTCAATATATTAAGTAATATAAATATATATTGGTGTGATATTTTAAATATAAAATTAAATTTTCTTATAATATGATAAATAAAAAATATTAAATTAATTTGATATTTTTTTTAAAAAATAATAAAATAAAATCTCAAATAGAAAAGTTTAAAAGGCCTTATACTTATCCATCAATTAATTAAGTTCAACTATTTCTGGGCCTGAAGATCCACCAAGAAGAGGCCTGTCCATACGGTATACAACATGAGGAATGAAATTGACGATTTGGTTTTTTTTTTTTAAAAAAAAAAAAAAAAATTTCAAACTCAAAACTACGTTATTCCATAACACTTTTTCAATTAAAACATATTAATTTTTTTTTATAAAATATTATTTAAATTAAATTTTAAATTAAAATTTCAAAACTCAAATCAAAACAACACACCTTGAAAAACATATGGTAAAAAGGACGAAAAAAAAAAAGGAAAAAATATTATTATTATTTATTATTTAATACTCAGTCAGACTATTAACAATAAATACATTCCCTCCGTCCCATAATAAAGTATCCATTTTTTTATTTTAGTCTGTTCAATAATAAAGTATCCATTTCATTTTTTTTTAGTAATTGCATTATATACCTAACATTACAAATACCCTTACAACTTACAATATATTACACAAAAGTCATTACCTTTATATTACACACACTAATAAAATTATTTTAATCATTTCTACTTTATTCCTACTATATTCCAATATAATACTAATATTTCTAAAACTACGTGCAAAAAGCAAATGAATATTTACTTATGGGACGGATGAAGTATTTTACTTTCTCTATTCAAGAGTAAATTTATCGCTTTACCATTTTAGTTTGTCTAAATAAAAAAATTTATTTATTATTATTTTTTTAATAAAAAGTAACTTTTAAGTAAAAATGTTAAAATATCTTTATTTTTTATTTCTACGTTATTTTTACTTTAATATCAATGGTAAAATAAATATTATATTACTTTATTACAATATTTATAAATTATCTTCGTGTGTGTATAAGTTAAATGAAAAACTTACCTTATTTAGCATGTCTATACAAATAGACATATTTGTCCTTTTGTAGATATGAAGCTTACAATATTAAAGAAATACCATGTTATTTACATAGAAGCACTAATAATAATAATAATAATACAAAATAATTGAACATATTTAATATATTTTGTTTATTTTACTCGAAAATAAGTATGTGAGGTCATCATGATATAAGTAATACACATAAATTTGGCTTGAATATAGACAAGAAAACACATACAAATAAATCACTACCCCAAATTCAGGCTGTTTCGGATTTATTTGGGGTCCTGAGTAAAAATAAATTATGAACCCTATAAGCGTGTGATTAAAATGTATTTTAAAAAATATCAATGATTGACGTCGATTGGACAAGAGATTGAACGTGTCGATCTGGGCAGTGTCGATTTGAAAAAAGAAATGAAAAACAGACTATCCAAAAGTTCGAAAAGCAAGAACGACTAAGGGAGGTTGAAAAGGAGAGAAGAGAGAAGGTAGTGCGGGTTTAGACGGGTTTGGCCGGAGTAGGTGGACGCAGTGCAACAGGGTGTTAGGTAGAGAAATATATATTACGATTGAATTTGAGAAAATGGGGTGAAGCATGATTAGGAAGAAGAGATATAAAAGAATATATAATTAGAGTTTAAAGTTTAATTTTAAAATTAAATTGAATAATTATGAAAAAGAAAAAATATAGACTAAAAGTTAAAATGTAGTTTTAAAATTTAATAATAATAATGAATAACATTGTAAAATATGAACCTCTGTGAAATAGGGTCTTGAGCAGTTGCTTGTTCTGCTAAGAGTAATCTCTGTCCAAATCAATACAGACTATTGAAAATAAATAAATAAATAAATATGAGAAATCGAAGGTGTGTTTGTTTTTCAAAATTTTTACTATTCATTTCACACTATTTTTATTAAAAATAATATTTTTTCTGTCCATCAAATCTTAGTCTCATTTTTTTATAAATTAACTTGAGACAGAGTTTGTATATAGTAATTAAATTAAATGTGTACATATCTAATTTATTTTGCACCAATGGTCTAATATAATGAAATTAGTGAGTATATATAAAATGAAAGGCTTTGTTCAATCACATTTTTAGATAAAATAAATTTTGGTGATAATATGAGAAATTGTGTAAAAATATAAAATAAATAAATTTTAGGTTGAATATTTAATTTTTTGATTTTTTAATGACTTTTTGACTGTTTTTAACGAGTATTTGAATTTTTTTTTACTTTTAAATTTTTGTATAAAATGTTTTGTATTCTTTATTATTATTTATTGAAATTTGCAATTGAAATTGATGTTTATAAGGAGTATTCGAAGTTTTTTTTGTTTTTTTTATTTTTCAATTTTTGTATAAAATATTTTATATTATTATTATTTTTAAAAATTTGCAATTGAAAAATAATGCTGAAAGAATAAAACGAAAATTTTATTTTAACTTCATAATCAACAATTTTAAACATCACCAGAATACACGTGACACATCCCATATCTAAAACAATAATTCCCAAATATTAACTGAAAAACATCCTCCCGTATATATTTTTCAATTACAATATTTTTATTTTTCCTTTATAATAATTGTTTGGTTTAATATAATTAGATATTTTATGTAATTTTTTAAATATAAAATTTCTATATCTAACATATTAAGTGAAAAATAAATACCACTTCCAATCGACTCTAAGAATCTCGTTTATTTTTTGTGTGTTGATTTTTGAATATTAATTATTATATAAAAATTTAATACAAATTAAGGAAAAATAAAAAAAATATTTTTATTAGTGTCTTATAATACTATTACAGGGATATTTGTGCAAAAAATTATACAAATATAAAAATATTTTTAATATTAAATATAATGACGCAAAATGTAAATGATATCTTAGAGCATGACGAAGAGAATATATGAATTAACGGTTTCAAAGAAAATAAAAAGTAAATTTACTATAATGAAAAATAAAAATAAAGAATGATAGAATCAAATTAAATATTATCAAAATTCTTTTATGGAATTATATATAATTTTGGTAATTATAATTGCTATTGATTGAATACAAAATCTGAATATTTAGACTATCAAATGCTGTTTAAATTAGGGAATTGATTTTGAAGGATTATACCAACATAATTAATTAACATGAAAATCATAAAAATAAATTTCGGAAATTTTGGGTAAATGAAAAATCTCTAGATAGAGTTACTATTATTATTATTTTAACATATTTTTAAGGCAAAATAATTATGAAAATTTAGATATTTGTTTAAAAGAATAAATGTTATAATATTTTTAAATAAAAGTTAAAGGATTTGTTTGGCTGTGGTTTAAAGTGAACGGTTAGATTTTAGTTTTTATTTAAATAATAATTAAATAAAATATTTTATAAGAAAATATAATATATTTTTGTTAAAAACAATAGAAAATTAATAGTATTAAGTTGAATTGGAAAATAATACAAAAAAAACAAACTTTTAATATTATACAACTCAAAAAGAAATAACAAAATAGTAAATAAGTGTTTGCTTGATGTTTGTTTGAAATCAAAATAAAATATTTTTGCTTTTTAATAAAAAATCATTAATGTATTTTTTTATATAATATCGTATTAAAATTATTATTTTTAAATTAAGATTTAAGTTCAAAAAAACCCAAACAAATCATTGGACTTTAATATTATATCTAAATATTTTATATAATTTTTTTTTTTAGAAAAAAAACAAACTCAAAATCCAAGGATTTGTTTCGTTTCATGTTGATTTGAATTTGAATTTGAATTTATAAAATACGTTTAATATAATATTTAAAAAAATTAATAATTTTTTATTTTCTATATTACTATCTAATATAAATATATATATATATATATATTCAACCAAACACACAAAGTAAACATATTTTCATTTAAACAACAATTTAAATACAAATCAAAACCAAACAATCCCCAAGTAAATAAGATTTATGCAATATTAAATACGATTATCATTACATAGATTTTATTTTCATATTTAGACAATCTGTAATTATTAAGCTTTCCCAAATATCAAAACAAAAAATAAATTGTAACACTATATAAACCATCCTACATTGTCTCCATATGTATCCCTCCATCCTCACATCTCCTCCCCTACACCGCCGGAAAACACCATGGCAGCGGCGGCGGCATTGGCGGCGGCGGAGGTCGACATCGTGATCCCGACGATTCGTAGCCTCGACTTCTTAGAAATGTGGCGGCCGTTCTTCCTTCCGTACCATTTGATCATCATCCAAGACGGCGATCCGAGCCGTACGATCAAGGTGCCCGAGGGATTCGACTGCGAGCTCTACAATCGTAACGACATAGAGAGGATCTTGGGATCGAAGGCGTGGATCATATCGTTTAAGGACTCGTCGTGCCGCAACTTTGGCTTTCTCATCTCGAAGAAAAAGTATATCTACACGATCGACGACGATTGCTTTGTAAGTTTGTGCTTCTATCTTATCTAGCTCTAGGGGTGGCAATTCGGGCTGGCCCGATTTTTTTTTCCGTGCCGGGCCGGCTCGACTCGGTTTCAAAGTGGAATGTACCGGTACGGCCCGATTTTGAACCAGGTCTGAACAACTAAGCCCGAACATGACCCGATTTGAATAGTTCATAATCAATCGTAAACAACTTAAGAACTTTATCATTAAACTACATCTAAATTTTTATTACTATTTCATTAGTTAATATATATATATATATTAAATATTAATTTTATAAAATTGAGCCGGGACAAGCACGGCCCGACCTTGCTCGGGCACGGCCCGATTTATTGGTGTGCCGGGCCAGGCACAGCCCGAAGAAAATTGGACCTATTTTTAGAGGCCTAAGTACAGTTTTTTGTGTCGGGTTCGGACTGAATTTTCGGGCTGTGCCTTTTTTTGCCACCTCTAGCTAGCTCGTCGACACGGCCGTGTTGTCGTATGGACGCATTGTTTCGATTTCACTCGATTCTTTTGTGTACCTTAAAATAGGTGGCTAAGGATCCGAAGGGGAATGATATCGACGCGATAACGCAACACGTGCGGAACCTCGAGACTCCGTCGACACCGTTCTTCTTCAACACTTTGTACGACCCGTACCGCGACGGCGCTGACTTTGTCCGTGGCTATCCCTTTAGTCTCCGCGAGGGTGTCCCGACGGCCGTCTCGCACGGTTTGTGGCTCAACATCCCCGACTACGATGCCCCCACGCAGCTTGTCAAGCCTCTAGAAAGGAACACTAGGTCAGTATCGAGCTATAACAAATGTCGTGTCGATTCTAGGTCTAGCAGTATATCGCAATTTGAGCTTTGTTACCATGTTAGAAAATTTACTAAAATTCTATAATAATTTAAACTCTGATACCCAATTAGAGAATTTACTGAAATTTTGTAGGTACGTTGACGCCGTGATGACTATTCCTAGGGGAACTCTATTCCCGATGTGCGGAATGAACTTAGCGTTCAACCGTGAGCTCATCGGCCCGGCTATATATTTTGGGCTTCAAGGCGAGGGTCAACCCATTGCACGATACGACGATATGTGGGCTGGTTGGTGCGTTAAGGTAACCTCTAAAATGTTTCTTTCACGCAATATTGAACTTAAATTTGATCTTTGATCTGGTTGTCAAGTAAGGTAACCTCTAAAATAGTTCTTTAACGCGATATTAGACTTAAATTCGATATCTGATCTGACTGTTATGTAAGGTAATCTTTAAAATGGTTCTTTCACGCGATATTGGACTTAAATTCGATCTTTGATCTGACTGTTAAGTAAGGTAACCTCTAAAGTGGTTCTTTCACGCGATATTGAACTTAAATTCGATATCTGATCTGACTGTTAAGTAAGGGAACATCTAAAATGGTTCTTTCATGCGATATTGGACTTAAAATTCGATATTTGATCTAACTGTTAAGTAAGGTAACCTCTCAAATGGTTCTTTCATGCGATATTGGACTTAAAATTCGATATCTGATCTAACTGTTAAGTAAGATAACTCTAAAATGGTTCTTTCACGCGATATTGGATTTAAATTCGATCTTTGATCTTACTGTTAAGTAAGGTAACTTCTAAAATGGTTCTTTCATGCGATATTGGACTTAAATTCGATATATGATCTAGCTGGCTATTAAGTATTTTTCAATTTCGTTGAACACAACTTGTTGTGTAGGTGGTGGCTGATCATTTAGGGGTCGGGGTGAAGACGGGGCTCCCGTACATATGGCATAGCAAGGCGAGCAATCCGTTCATGAACTTGAAACTCGAGTTCACGGGGCTCTTTTGGCAAGAGGATCTCATCCCGTTTTTCCAATCCGTGAAACTCCCGAAAGAATGTGTCACTGCGCAACAATGCTACGTCGAGCTCGCCAAGTTGGTGAGGGAGAAGCTTAGCCATATTCATTCCTACTTTGAGAAGCTCGCCGACGCTATGGTCACTTGGATCGGGCTTTGGGACGAGTTTAATTCAAACAAGGCGGGTGGAGCCGGGCTCGCCGCGTCGTCTTAGTTATTGTTTCCGTTTAGGGACGTTTCGATAGATCGATTCTCGACTTTTATTTGTTTCTTGAATTTGATTTTAATTTCTATCTTTGTGTTACATTTTGTGGTTTTGCTCGATTGATGAAATGATGTTTCGATAGGGATTTATTCACCAAAACTTTAATCGATCAATGGTAGGAATTTATTTCAATTGAGTTTACCTATGAATACATGAATACATCCATTTTCTTATTGCATATAAATATTCTTTTAATATATTTTGGTAGACAAAAATATTGATTTTTTAAAATTGATTCGCTCTAAAATTTTCCGTACAATTAATTCCAATTGATATAGAGAAAATTCCAAAATATTCTAAATTTTAAATACTTCCTCCATCATAGTAAAATATTCGAAATCTTAAATACTTCCTTGTTCATAGTAATTATGTCAATTTTATTTTTTATTTTTATAAATTATTATAACGATAATAAGTTATGCATATATCTAATTTAAGAAACTCAAATTCCGGATTTTCTAATTTTTAAAATATGTTATGCAATTTTGAATCTTTATGTTTGATTCAATTTATTAATTCGGATTTTAAATTTTTAAGTTTTGATCTAATACTAATTCAAATTAATTTTCTTACAAAATTTCATATTTTTATATCTTAATACTCTAGTTATTATCATATACTGTCAGATATATCTGTACCAACCGAATCAATATACAAAATATGGCTCGGAATTTACTTCTAATACACGAAATGATAATTTTTGTACTAAAAATATCAAGATTTTCTATAAATAAATAAAAATTAGGTCGGAACTAATAACGTAACCTCATTTTCACTGATATTTTTCAGATCAATCAACTTCAAAACAACAATAACAAAAATAACCAAAACCACCGCTCCGACGACCTTCCTTCCCGCCGGAAACCACCACCACCCTCCGCCGCCACCCGCCACCTTCTTCACCGCCATCTCGCCGCCGCTCTCCACCACCACCACCTCCTCCTCCTCGTCCACTCTCTCGTCCTCCTCTCTCCGCCGCTCGTACTCATCATGGAACAAAAGCTGCCGGCCCTTGAGCTTTCCGGCGGCCAGAGCCGCCAGCCGGTCGTTGAGAATCTCTTCGACGGCCGAGGCCCGGCGGCGGCGGCGGCCAGAATTTGAAAAAGAGGTGGATTTAAGCATGGAATTCCATTCCCTTTGAAGAGTTTTCAACTGTAAGATTAGAGAGTGGTGTTTGGAGGTTTCTTCTTCGGATTCTGATTGAGATTTTTTGGACATGGTGGGGTTAGTTTTTCATACACTTCTTCTTTTTTTTTTTTGCTTTTTTGTGCTTTTCCTCTTCTAATTCTTTTTTGTTGTTCTTCTAATGATGGGGTGGGGTGGGGTGGGGTGGGGTTGGGGTAGGGGTAACTACCCACGTCGTGGAGATGGGTAAGCTGTATTTGAAATTCGAATAATTTCTTTTACTGGATTTTTTTTTATTACTATCTGGTTTTATATAAAAATGTAATCTTGATTTGTATTATGGAAATTTGTTTACATTAATTAATCTCATTAGATTTCATAATTATATTTTTTTAAAGAATTATTTTATTACTTTTTAGAAAATAAAATCTTAAAATATTATTTAAATTAAAATTCAATTACAAATCCTTTAATGTGAATGACACATATTTTTTACTGGTAAAATTTTAGTTGAGATTTTAGTTTTAAATAATAAATTTTTTAATTGAAATGGTTATTTAACGAATATTTATTAATGTGATATTTTGAATGTAAAATTATATTTTAGTTTCATATAATAAATAAAAAATAAATGTTTAATTTAATTTTAAAAAAATAAAATAAAAAAATAGTAAAACCAAGCATTAAATCTTGCATGTAAAAATAGTGAGATTTTTGTTGCTACCTACTTATCGAGAATTATAAGAATATTTTTAAAAATTTAAAAGTATTTTGAATAAAATCATTTTTACAAATATATTAATTCTCTTTGTACTTGTCAAATTAAAAAACAATCAAAATCTCTTAAACATTTTTATTAACTAATAAATATTATTAAATCTTAATTTACTACTACAATAAAATAATAATAATAATAATAAATAAATAAATATATTGAATCGAAACGGAAATATATATATTGTAAATCACAAAAACCCTAAAACACACATACTAGGATTGAAACTACAATAAATCAAAGTTTGTTTGGCTTGTCTTTTGATGTGTATTTTTTATTTAAATTTTACTTTTAATTAATATTTTTAAAACACATATTAGGAATGAAATAATGTAACACAAATATAATACTCCCTCCAACTCAGGATTGGTTGACTTGGGTCGGTTCACTTTTTGGCGTTGCTTTCTATTTTTTTTAAATTTTTTTTAAAGTTTTAATTTTAACTTTTAAATTTATTTTTATTTTTCTAAATTTTTAAAAGAATTATTTTAAATTATAAAAATAAAAAATTATTTAAAATAATAAGAAAAATTGAATATTTAAAAAATAATAATAAAAATTAGAGTAATAATTGGAGTAAAATTAGTGTAAACTAGATAAATGGAGTTGATGGGTTAAAAATGGCTTTAAACATGAGCGAATGCACCCTAACCACTTTTATACGAAGTATGATGCCGATAGCAAAATTACTATTATTTTTTAAATTAAATTGCATATTATCTCTTATATTTTAAGTAAAAATACATAAAACACTTCGTATGTGTTTGTTTAATAAAACAATTTGAAAGAATAATTTTTATATAAAGTATAAAAAATTGTATAGATAATATAAAAATAACTAATGATATGTAATATATTAGTTTTTTTTAAAAATATATATATATATGTAGGAATAAATATAAAAGAGAACACACCTCTCAGATTTTATTGAATAAGTTCTATACAAATAAAATAAAAAGAAAAAAGAAAAATATTATAAGTTGTCTTATTCGAACAAAATAAATAAATAAATAAATAATCAACCTTTCATTTCATAATTTTTTTTTTGTAAGAATTCGATAATAATTCACATCTAGAAAAACTATTAAATGAATAATTGATATACTTATTTAGTTATTTATTTTAATTAAAAAAAATACTATCTAAAATATTTGATCATTTTTATTTATATAAAACCAACATAATTAAGCACAATCAAACATTATCCACAACTTAATTTAACATAAAAAAAAAAAATAATAAAAAAAAATCATACAATAAACAAAATACAAAATATATTGTACATTTTTACTAAAACTCGAGAGGATAATATATGGTTTACCTTTTTTTTTTCTCTGTTAAAGTATGAATGGCTAAATAGAAAATTAACAATGAGTCATGAATTATTTTAATTAAAATAAAAAAAAAAAAAGCACAATACACTGAGGTTTCTTCAAGTCATAAAGTCGCAAAAACGTTCAATTGTGTCCCAAACTTTTTGCTGTGTGGAATGATGATTATATTCCTTAATCATATAGTTTGATCTAAATTTCATATACAATTTATTTCATCTTCAATTATTTATTTTTTTACTAAATCCAAAAATGAAATTGTAAAAAATCCCTACTTATAAAAAACCAATGCAAGATCAGAAAATAAGGGCAGCAGTAAGACCACACAAATGTTATTTTAAATAAATCACATCTTCTCTAGCCAAAGGGTGCATTGGAACAAAATTAGGCTACTGAAAACACATAAAAAATAACTCACCAACTAAAATAAATATGAAAAAAGCCGAAAATCGAGCAATGAGTACCTTATGATCGCCGAATCTGGATGTAGACAGCAACGGCGCCTAGCTTTGAGACTTCGGCATGGATATGTCTTCGATCACGCCTTGTCCATTCATGACATCGAAGTAGAAGAAATTTTTTATGGGATCTCCTTTACCGGATATCGCCTTAATAACTTCCTGCAGCCAAGATCATTTTATTTTTTTGAAATCAGCGATCAAATGGATAAGAAGTTCAGACAGAAGTTGATGTAAGAATTTACAAGACCTGTCCAAGGACTCCCCCGATGATAGCACAGACAGGGGGGAATTCTCTTCTGCCCTCTAGCAATCTCTGCAGGAGGGAGTCGGGGATCAGAGACTCGTTCACGGACTGCATGAATTGGGCCGATGCACGGTTAATAATTTGAAAATGTTTCATTAGTACATGTAATAAAAAAGTTAATGATTTTCATGGGGTTTACGTGTTCCTCGCAGTGTTCCTTCCTTAATTTTTGGACATCAGGCAAGTCAGCAGCAGAGGTCTCCCCGGGATTGCGGCCTTCACGTTCCTCAAACTTCTCTACCACTGAAAATAAAATTGAAAAAAGTATAAAGAAATGAATAGGCTCATAAAAAAACAGCATTTAAGATTTTTATAACTTTCCAAATTGTTTTAAAGGCTACTCCAAAAGTACAGTTTTAACTCAATGCTATACGTTTTTGGCTCCCAAAACCAGACATATACCTCTCATTGCAAAATACAGCTTAGAAACTTTCCTTGGAAGAGATTTCCACGGCACGGATATGGCCTCCTGAGAAAAAGAAAAAAGAAAAAAACGCAGCTATATAAGTTACATCTAGAAGACAGATACAATAGCTGAAACATGTTAGGCAGTATCATAAGTTCTGTGCATATGATGCTGTGACAGAAGCAATTTCTAAAACTGAAGAAAAGAAAATTGTGTTCAATTTCTTGGGTAAAGAATTCTAAATCTCGAAGGAGTTTAGACTAGAAAGCACTTCACACGATTAATGTGAAATCCCTAACCTATTCTAGGGAGTTGTTTCTCATCAAGAAGACTGCTTTTCTGCCAAATAAGACTCAAACCATTCCAGACAATTAGGCTGTGTTCTTTGTGGGTTTTACCACAGGTTCTTACTATTCAGATTCTTTCTTCTCTTCAAAAATATCACATCAAACAATTACTTTTCTTTTTTATATTATATTACAAATTTATTTTACATTTAAAACATCGCATCTAACCTCTATTTATATCATATCAAACAACTATTCAAAAATCCAAACCAAAAAACTAAAACCCACAAATAAACACACCCTTGATGTTTCTTAAGATCAACAAGGGGAACTTAAACACAATATTGGAACCTATAATGCAGAATACTGAGTTGTGGTTTGGTGAAGAGAAAGATAGTGTTTCTACTTCGACACCAGCTTAACTTAGATGTTAAAAAAATAAAAATCAGATACTCACAGCAGTAGATGTGTTCAGAGCCTACTAAATTATGTAAATAATAATAAGAGAACAAAGAATACAAACAAAAACCCACAAACCCTTGGGGTTACCCTGCACTTGGAAGAAGTTGAAAAAGGGAAAAAAAATATAATGATCATTTGCTTGTTTGTCACCATTGTAATCTAATTGTTAAGAATTAATGCGAAAGACATGTGAACGTAAAGTAGTCCAAACTCCTTATTCAATATTCAATTTCTTTTGGGTACCTGAAAGCTCAAATACTCTAAAAGTCAAAAAAGAAAAACAAAATGATACTTTGATTGTTTGTTTCTGTAGTATTCTAATTGCTAAGAACATAACGTGAAAGTAAGTGGTCGAAACTCCTTATCCTAAATTCAATATTTTTTGGGTACCTTAAAGCTCGGATACTCCAGAAGGCAATCGGCAGCCTCCTCCCCTTTCTTCTGCAATAGAGATATTATAATGCAGTCAGTGTTAGCTGTATCCACATCAATATGAATCACCAGAATAAGAGCATTGGTATTCAGCCAAATTCAACTGAACCAATCAATGCTGAGAAGTTTGGGATAAGTAAATATCTAACACTTGTGTACTTATAACTTTGCAAGTCAACAAATATTTCCCCACAGGAGTCTCGGCAGTCCACAGTATAGAACGCAATGCGCTTTAACAATTTGCGACACTTCTCATTGACTGATTGCTGCGGCAATTACATCAAACATGGTATTAAAAAATTATTAGCATAATAGTGACCCTAGCAATTGGAAAATTATTCAACTTTTTAGTGATTTGTGTGAGAAGATGGCCATACTTTCGTTGAAGCCGAGCAAGAACTGATGACTACCGCATCAAACTTGCTAAGGAAATCAGCACTGAAGCTTGACAAGTCACCTGCAGATGTCAAAAGAAATTTCACAGAAAGTACCTGATCAAGATAGAATATAAGATCAAAGCAGTAACAGAATTGGGCTTAACATTTTTTAATCGTTCCATTTAAATTAAATCTATACAAAAACTTCAACAAAATCAAGGCATGTTTCTTAGTGAATAATTGAACAATATTGAGAAGAAACTAAGTTAATAATGAAACCGCTATTTTAGAACGGCTTCTAAGTCTACTGCTGAGTAAATTCACAAGACAGATACATAACATTAACAAAGGATTGAGCTTAGCATTCTTTAATCTTTCCATTTACATTAAAGCTATACGACGACAACAACAAAATCCAGGCATGTTTCTTAGTGAATAATTAAACAATCTTGAGAATAAACTACATGAATAACGGAAGCACTGCAGCTTCGAAGTCTAAATTCACGAGGCAGATACATAACATTTACAAATAACAACAAGCCAGCTACCTTTTTCGACAGAAACACGGACCATAGGGTTGAAATCTTTCAAGGAATCACAACACAATTCGGCAAGTGATTTCCCTGCGTACACATCTTCCTCAGGAGGAATCAAAAAATTAGCTGACAACAACTCCTCCGTCACTGCACGGTCATCATTTAATGTCACACTACCAACACCTGCTAACACAATATTCTTGCAACACTGGAGAAAAACCACCAAAAAAAAAAAAAATCATTTCGACACACAATCCCCAATCCAAAAATCTTCAAATAAAAACAATTGGAACTTCACACGCGTAAAGAACGATAAATACCTCAACCACACTGCCTTTCAGCCCACTAACAAGTATATGAGACTTGCTTAACCTAAAATCAAACAAGAAATCAAGCACATGTACACTTCACCAAAAAAATCATACCAAAAAATCCGAAAACAAAAGCAAGGAACTTTGCAAGTAGTGAGCACGCACCTTCGCTGAGCATCAGCTCCCCAGACGCGAATTTGGCGATCATAAAGAGCAGTCTCCTGCTCCGTCAACTGCTCTCCATCCATGTCGAGCTGCAATCTTAAATTAACACAACGACAATTTGAGTTTTCTTGCAGAAGAACGACAACGGGAGAGAGGAATGAACTATGAACCCTAGCTCGGAATGAAAGACTGGTTTGAAGAATGGGAAGAAACTGGCGCAAAGGTAAAAAGCGCGTTTCTTCTGCAGCACTTTTAAAAAGCGCTATATACCTCGACACTCACAAAAGCGTTTTCTTTTTTCCACTCAAAATTCTAACGGCAATGCATTTTGCTATTCCTCGTTCTAGACTAATAAGATATTTTGATATTTGTATTCGAAATTTTAGGATTCAAATTTGTATATATAAATATTCAATTCAATTCAAATATTATTTAAATATAAATATAAAATTTTTAATATTCGATTTGATATTCGTAAATATTCAATTCGATAATGAATAATATATATTTTCAATTATGTATATTTTATATATTTTTAGTAATTATTGTTTTAGATTACTTTTTTTTCAAAAAAAAAAAATAATTTTTAGTATTATTCGATCATAAATAATATATATGTTCAATTATATATATCATATATATTAATATTATTATTTTAGATTAATTAAATTAAAATAACATTATTTATAATATTATTTTAAAAAATGTAGAATTAATATGAATAAAAATAAAATATTAACATAAATAATCTCATATAAAATGTAAAATAATATATTCAATTAAATATATTTAATATTAGAATTTAAATTCTACACAAATAAATATATAATATAATTTTTAAAAATAATAAATTCATAATACATAGCTGTAAATCTGTAAGTTAACTGCATTTTTAGTAAATCAATTTTAAGTAAAAACTATCAAACAAAACCCTAATTTCACAATTTTAAACCTGTTATATTAGCGGCCTCGTATTATCTGTCCGTCCTTTATTTTTATTACTTTAATTTTCTTTCATTCTCTTTGATTTTTCAATAACGTTTGGTTGCTATTTTTTTTGCTCTCATCATTGTTTTCTCAAGTTTGTTATCTATTTTTTCTTTTTCGTTTTTATTTTGTTGTTTTTTAATACTATATATATTGCAATAATTTTCTTTTTTCTCTTTTTGTAGGAGAGATTATTTCATAGACACTCTTCATCATGGTAACTAGTAAGATAGTTATTTCTCTTTTTTTTTGTTATTTTTTATTATTTATTATTTGGTAGTATTTATTTTTTTATTTTGTACTAGTATCTTTTTACTAATGTATTTTTCTTTAGTTTTTACATAAAAATCTTATTTTTTTTATCTGGTTTTTAGGTTGTTATTTATTCTTTTTTTAAAAAAAAATTTATTTTGTAGTTTTGGTTTTTTTATTAATATGCATTTTCCTTTATTTTTTGCAACAGAATATTAAACTAAATCATTATATTTTCCAATATTTTATCAACAACTTTCCCATCATATTGATTTTTAGATTGTTCTATTTTTGTTATTTACTTATCTTATTTTTGTAGTATTTTTACTTATTTGCAGATTTTTTCTATTTTTACAACATAATTTATATTATATAATCATTTAAGTTTATATTGCAGGATTATGGATAATTCAAATATAATAGAATTATCCATTCAAGAAGACAGTATCCCAGAGGAGGGAAATGATCTATGTTGATGTGATATTTCAATAAATGATAGCGATAGAGCTAAACATGTGGAAAATATAAATATTGATGAAGATAAGGATAATGAAAAGGAAGACAATAAAAAAAAAAATGATAAAGAAAATAATGGCGATGAAAATAAATTTCATTTTGAAAAGAGAAAGAGAAAAAGGTGTTCAAAAGCTTATACATATTTTATTGAAGTAGTTTTGGACGATGGAAGTACAAAATTTCAGTATATATATTGTAAGACTTCTCTGGCTAAATCAGTATCGAGTACAACATCTCATGTTTGGAATCACTTGATGAGGTGCTTGCAAAAGAAGTTTTATGATGAAAAACAAAAAACTTTGCAACTTCAGTCCGTCCAATCCAAAATTGAAATGAATCATTTGTCAGATGGTATATATGATCATTTGAAGCAAAGAGAAGCCGTTGCCCATTGAATTTTGATGAATGAACAGTCATTTAATTTTGTGGAGAACTATGGTTTTACTTATATGCTAAGTATGAATCAACTACAATTTCAAAAGATTTCTATGCTATGGCAAAAAAGAATGTTATTAATGTTTATGAAATAGAGAAGAAAAAGTTGTATTTAATGTTGAAATATGTCAACAAGATTTCATTGACAACAGACATTTGGAGTCAAAATTGCAAAAAATTTCTTACATGTGTATTACCGGTCATTTTGTCGATTCACATTGGCAACTCTAAAAGCGACTTCTTAGTTTTTTGTCTCCCCCCTTCACATACACGTAATATAATAATTTACTTATATATATATCAAATTACTAATAATAATTATATGTTTATTGACATTTTTTTTAGGTGGTGATATCTATGATGAACTTATAAAGAATACGAATGAATGAAGAATAAAAAAGTCTTCACTATCTCTATGGACAATGCTTCCAACAACAATGTGACAATTCGAATTACTAAAAAAACATTTTCTGAAAGTCATAAGTTGCCGTTGGAAGGTCAGTTGTTTCATATTCGATGCACTGCACATATTTTAAATCTTGTTGTTCAAGATGATCTTTCTGAAATTAAACATATCATTGAAGATGTGATAAATAGTGTGCGATTTATATGTCAGTCGTAGTCTAGGTTGGAAAATTTTTCTGATGTCGTGCATCATTTGGGAATATATGTTCAAAGATTGATAATTGATTGTCCAACTCGTTGGAATTCGACATATGAGATGTTAGTTGAGGCATTTAAAGTTAAGGATGCATTCCGTATATTTCAACAAAGAGAGTATTTGTACATTTGTTGTCCCAATCTTGATGATTGGAATAAGGTGAAAGATGTTATTGACATATTAGAGGTTTCCTAGAGAGCTACTCATGTGATTTCTGGAGTTAAATTATCATGCTTCAAATGTTTATCTTACTGTTATTTGGAGAGTGAAACATGTCTTGAATGATAAAGAAAATCACATTGACGAGTACATTCGAGTGATGATTCACAAGATAAAGTAAAAGTTTGACAAATATTGGGAATGTTGCCACCTTCTAATAGCTATGGAAGCGCTATTTGATCCTAGATTCAAAATGAGGTTAGTTAAGTTTGCTTTCAGTAGAATATATGATGAGAGTGATACACGTACCAATGTGATCAAGGTTCGCGATGCATTATATAGCTTGTGTGTGGAGATGCATAGTTTGATGATTATCATGTTGTTGTAAAATCTATATCTCATGAAAAATTGATTCCCTCTGATTTATCTATGTTTAATAATTATTTGAATGCTGCTGAGATTGATGGACCTTCAAAATAAGATTTGGATCTCTACTTGAGGAGGGGGGTTCATAGATCTCAAGATGGAGATGTCAGCGTAGCTATTGATTTTGATGTTTTAGCTTGGTAAAATCTCAAAAATTGAAATTTAAGGTTTTATCGAAGTTAGCTCGTGATGTATTAGCTATTCCTATTAGTGCGGTGGCATCAGATATTACATTCAGAGCAGAAACTCGAGTGTTAGATCCTTATCGTTCAAAGTTACCTTCGGATATGGTTGAAGTATTGATTTGTGGAGCAGATTGGATTCGCCAACTTCATAAAATAAAAAAACCAATTATGATACATGTAAGTTTTATTTTTATTTTTTATTCTAACTCATACATATGATTGCATTATTCATATTTATATAAAATTATTATTCTAATATATGTTTATTTTATTAAGAGGAAGAAGAATCGTTTTATGTCAATTTGCAAAATTGATAGCCGGTGGAAGCATGCAAAGTCAACTTTATGAAATCATGAAATATGAAACATGGAAGTTCTATAAATTTTAAAATTAATCTAAATGATTGTATATATTAATATTTTTATAAATTCATGTTTCTAATTTAATTTTATTTTAATACGACGAAGGATGATCTGGTTTGCAAAAGTAATGGATGATGCATGCTGGTCAAGTTACGGAATCATTTTGATGAACCGATAACAAATGTATATATTTTTTTATTAGTTTTTAACTTTTTTATTTTGATTGTTTTGATGAACTTTAAAGTATTATTTTGATGAATCAAATAATTTTGTTTGAGTCAATATTCAATTTGAAACTGTGATATTCATATTCGAAATTTTATGATTCAAATTTAAATAAAAATATTCGATTTGATATTCGTAAATATTCAATTTAATAATAAAAAACATATAGATAGTATAAAATATAATATATATATTTCCATAAATAAATAAATAAAACTAAATTTATTGATAATAATACTTTTAAATTTTATATAAATAAATATAATATAATTAAAACTACACTTATATAATGATATTTTTATTTATATATTAAAGTAAGAAGTCTCTTTTGCAAATGTAAAAAATAATAAATAATAAATATATAAATTTTTATCAAGTTTTTCTAATATTATTATTAAAAAATTTAATTAAAAAAAATTTAAAATCGAATATCTTCTAATCAAATTGGATAAAACAAAAACAAAGCACATCTTGAATCAAATATTTGTGTAATATTGAAAACAAAGACAAAGGAATACAAATATCATCTCAAAATTCGAAACAAATGAAATATTTTATATAGACATACTTTCTGTAAACTCTCATATTCACGCTTCCATGGTTTGGTTGATGAAATGAATTATATATATATAGAGAGAGAGAGAGATCGATAGAACCCCAATTCAGAAATGAAGCCAGATTAAACTTCACAATGCACATTGTATGATCAATATATATATATATATATATAGATGTGCGTGTAATATATAGATACGTACCCGAAATTGAAAACCATGGGAACCAGCAGTTGCAGGTAGTGATTCCGAGTCACGATATGTTCTGATTTTGCAGCAGCAACGAACAGCAGCAGCTTTAAACCTACAGGATGAGATGCATCAAGGAAGTAGTAAGTCGATTATATTTTTCTCCATTGAATTTGAGCTTCAATTATTCAACTACCTGAATTTTTTTCGTCCATTGATGATTACGATCCTCTCTGCAGCTGCTTTTTACAAAACATGTAGAAGAAGAGGCGTATATTCAATCTCTACTTCGACCATTCATCTTCTGATTAGTTGTTTTCGCCTCATGCATTTATGTCGTGGAATTTACAGGAAAGCCGCAGCAGAAATACGACCATTCATCTTCTGTATTTTTGTTTATGATTTTGGTTTTTAATTTATTTGGGGGACGAGAAATCGAGAACAACGCTTTCTTCTTAAAAACGTTAATGCGACTTTGAGTTTGTACGCGAGCACTTGAGTCGGTGTTGGATTGACGATTGTCGATCAATTTCAGTCCGTAGTCACGGCGGAGGAGGAGGAGGAGGAGGCGGCGGCCATGGAACAACTGTCAATTGGATCGCTGAAGAGATTGGGGAAAGCGGCGAAGGAATCTCAAACCGGAAGCGGTAGCGATATCTCAGGAATCGATGATTTAGGAGATGATCTCCTGCTTAACGTTCTCCGCCGGCTTCCAGCGGTGTCTTTTGCGTCGGCGGCGTGTGTTAACCATTCCTGGAATTCGCTCTGCAACCGAATCCTTTCTTCGCCTAAATTCGCCTCAGCTATATCGTTTAACCCTTCTCTTGAGGTGCCGCATTTCCTTTCCATTTTCTTTTTAAATTTTTTTTTTTCAAGTAGTTGATTGTAAAAGCCTTAAATTATTGATGCAGTGATATTTTTCTCTTAAGTACCATTCTCAATGGGATATATATCGAAACCCTACTTAGTGAAAATAGCTAAAGCTGAAAATTTATTTGGCTGTAGAATGTGGTTATTGTATATTGAATTTGATCAATGTCGTGTCTTTGGTTGGAAGCTACATCTGTAATGGAATGCGACTCGAAGGATTACAGTGCAGTCATTTGCCACACAAATGCAATTAAATGATGGAACAAAAATCATATAGTTTTGTTTGTTGTTTTTGTAATATGTTTCGGTTCATCTTTGCGTTTTCCAACATGAAATATATTTTGTTGTTGTGATAGAATGCTGTGGGTGAGGTTATTGACAAGGTTTTATCAGAACCTATCCGACCTCATTTTGCTTTGGCTTCTATTGGTCCCTCTTCCAGCTTGGAAGCAGCTCTTGAACAGGTATAATTCTCGATATTTCTTATATGAATGAATGTAAATGCTGTGGCGTGCTTGTTCTAATGATATGTTTTATTGTAATTATGCTATTTCTTTGCAGATTGATAGAAAATTAGGATCTAGGGTCCCTATAATTGTCAATATTGCTGAGGGAATAATTGGTCCAGACATCAGTGACAATCATCCTGTCGAGGTAACATCCTAGTACTGTGTTGCATTTGAATTGTACATATTGCAGACGATCTTGAGCCTTGACAACAGTTGGTTTGATCCATAGTCCTGTTTATGAGATTGCTTATCTCATTATTTAACCTATTTATCAAGGGTCCCTATTACTCAAAATAAACAGGTGATTTATGTGGATATAATAAATTATGATCATAATCATCAATTGTTACCGTACCCTAATAGTGCTACTTAGTGCTTTGGTGTTCATTCCTGATCGAGCTTCATGAGGCACAAATTTCAATTTAGCTTGAAACTTACCTAGTAGACTAATTGAAGGAATTTATTGCTATTTTTGTTTTTATCTCTCGACTACACTGTTGTTAGGTCTTACGTGTATTATTGGTCTAGGTACAATGGGAACTAACAGAAGGGGAGGAGGAGGATGGTTTGTTATCACCTGAGGGTAATGTGAATCAGGGCATCTTGTTGACAATTGGATATTTACCAGGATTAAAGACATTTGTACTTCCTTTTCTATTCCAGCACAAGGTAAATGTAGTTTCTGTGCCTTATTTTCTAAGTATTGCATAAAGCGGAGAAACTCTGCGCTGTGGTGTGGCGCTCTGCTTTTATGGTAGACCTTATGTTTTTTACTGTAATCCTAGAAAATCGTATCTAATTTTTCTTACTATTGAGTATTGAAGTATTGACCAACATGCCAGAAGCTAACTTGTGATGTACATGAATAGGTGGGCCCTAAAGACTTTCATGTTGATGAATTTGTTATGGACATAAAAAAGTACACAGCCGTCACCTCAGATACTGAATCCCCTGCCGGAATGATACTGTTTGCTGTGAGTTAGATTCTCCTGAAATTTTATGGTTAATTGTTCACCTTTATCATTGTGATGACTTTGTATCCTTTATTCTCCGGTATCAATTTTGAGTACAAGGGATATATGTTCCGTGACTTTTCCAAGTTCCTAAACATTTTATTCTTGTGAATCTTGATACCATGGAAAAATTGGCTCTGCAGCAACAATTCACTTGTAACCACATTGTTTGATGGAGTTACAAAGTTTGTTCATTTCTGGCCGAAAATATTATTATAACCAGGCAATCTTAGCAGTTCATTTTTCTAAGGAAGTTTTATATTCATCTACTTAGTGGGAGTGGATTTTTAATCATGTCTTAGACAGTCTTACACTATATTAGTTTTGTTAAAAGAGTTTCATATCATTCAGTTGTTTCTTACTTTTGAATAAATGATGTGCCAGGATCAGGAAACAGACCTCAAATCTTTTCTTCAAAAATTTGGTGAGTAATCTATGTCTAAACATCGTGGCCTGCAGATTCATTTATGTTTTACACGGAATAAAAAGTGTTCATGTTTAAAGAATATAGACTATAGAGTGCATGACGCATGGTGATGGTGTAAGCCATATGATCCTTGATTTTGAATTATTATAATGTTTTGACATCAATTGAAACACATCTTCTTACCTTTGTTTTTATATTTCTCAGAATATGCCTTTCCAAAGGAGACTTTCATTGTGGGTGATGGAGGCAGTCGATTTTTATATAAAAATGATATAACAACTGTTACCAGGTCAGATGATTCCACTTGTGCTGCTGTTGCATTAGTCTTTTCAAAGGACAGGAGAAAGCCTTTAGGTAAACTCATCCTTCATTTTGGTCACTAGTAAAATTGTCTTCCAAAAATAAATTTGAGAGTATCAAACCTATTGTATCTGTTCATGGATTGCTATTATTGATTGTGTCTTCTACTCTTCATCATAGTTTTGATGGTCCATGGCACGTAATGACACTAATCTAGGGCCGTACGATGCTAATTGAGCATCATTCTTGTTTTCTTCATTCAATATGCTTGAAACGAGCACCTTGAGTACATGTGTCTTTTATACAGAGATAAATTGAACTTATTGATAATTCTTATTTATTACTTCTTCCATCCGCTTCTAAGGGTTATATTTACCTTTTGCATCGTTGTACTTAATATTAAAAATATTTTTATATTTTTATAATTTTTTGTACAAATACCTTCTATTAGTGTTATAAAATACTAATAGAAGTATTTTTGCCTTTTTCCTTATAGTATATTTTGATATAATTATTAATATTTAAAGATTAACACGCAAAAAGTAAATTTGGTCTTTAGAGCCGGACATAGTTAGTATATAATATCCATACAGCTTATATCTTTACAAAGCGTTAATATTATGCATTTAATGATTATATTATTACTTGGCATCGATGAGGCACCCCATTGCACCACACGTGCAATTGGCAACACTTTTATATAATCGAACTTTTTCATCCCTATTTTCTTATCTGTATTTGCAGGTATTGGGGAAAGTGAGTTTCATGTCATGTTGTCAACTGGAATATCGCCCATTGGTGGTATCTACAAAGCAGTGTCTGTTAAATGTAGAAACCACGGAACTTGGCTCACTGCAGCTAGAGAAACAGACCGTTTGCAGCTGGATGGCCAAACTATATTGGATGAGATATATGACAAGGTATATCTGCGCCGGATCTAAACTTTATCCATTATATTGTCGCTGCAATCTTCTATTGTTAACTAATTAAAAAGATGCTGGTTGCTAGCAGTTGCCATTGGTACATAATGTTAGAATAGAAGATGGACAGATTTTAATTACTCATAGGTTCTAGAAATGGTGGATGTTCGTTATGTTTGGTAAAATTAGAGCAGAAGCTTGACCGTTGTGTACATACATCCTTCATCTTTCAAAGCATTTGACAGATAGAAATAAACAATCACTTTAAGAAATCTAAATTATTCTCGGTACTTCTTAAGGTGGGTGTGTTTGTGGGTTTGGGTTTTTGGATTTGTTTTTTTTTAAATAGTAAAAAGTTGAATTTGAATAGTTGTTTGATGTGAATAAATAAGTGTTGATATGATATTTTGAAAATAAAATAACTTTGTAGTATAATATTAAAAAAAAATGTAATTGTTTGATTTGATTTTTTTTTAAAAAAAAAATAATCTGAATATTAAAAATCTGCGGTAAAACTCACAAAAAAACACCACCTTAGTTTTCTTCCCTTTGTTGTTCTACAGTGAAAGCAGTCCTTTAAATTTGAGAAAAGACCTTTTTTCTTTCCATTGTTTCTTATAGAGATAATTGTGACAGCTAGGAGATCATATTCAGTATCCCGCTTTCTACATTGGGGTGACAAAAAGAAGACGATGCTCAGTTGGGAAGGGAAGAGTCAAAAGGATGGAATTTCATGAATTCCACCACGTTGACGAGTAAGATTAAAGGCTCACCTTATTTACACCACACATTTTTCATATAATTCCGTTATGCTTTGGAGCAATATTTAAGTTTTAAATTGATTTCTGCTTCGCTCTTCTGTTTTCATGCTGTCTTTCTAGTTTTAAAAAGTTGGTAAATTGATTTTATTATGGGACTCGCCTGCATTTAACGCACAAGCCTTATGGATGGTCGATTATGCTATTGTGCAATATTTCTGTGTTTTGTAGGTTTTACTTTTTATTATTTTTCGGGGAAATAATAGTTGAATGTAATGTTTTTGTATAAAAATAAGTATAGGGTGTGTTTGGTTGGGATTTGAGTTTTGAATAGTAAAAAAATTGATTTTGAATAGTTGTTTGATGTGATATAAATAGATGTTGATGTAATGTTTTGAATAAAAAATTAATTTTTAATATAATACTGTAAAAAAATAATAAAATAAAAGTTTGATTTGATGTTTTTATAGAAAAAATAATAGTTGAATTTAATGTTTTGTATAAAAATAAGTATAGGGTGTGTTTGGTTGGGATTTGAGTTTTGAATAGTAAAAAAATTGATTTTGATAGTTGTTTGATATAGATATAAATAGATGCTAATGTGATGTTTTGAATAAAAATTAATTTTTAGTTTAATATAATAAAAAAAATAATAAGAGTTTGATTTAATATTTTTATAAAAAAAAAACGGAAGTAAGGAAAAGTAAAAAATATTTCCAAACCCCCAACCGATCACACCCTATATTTTTATTAGGAACGATGAAACTACACAGTTAAAAAATTAGAACTAACCATATATATGTTCTTTCTATTCAGCATGATTATTACGACATCAAGTCCGTCTTCTCTTATTCTTTTTTCAGTGCGAATGAGGAGTACCTCATTGTCAGCTCCACCGGAATTCAAACAGGAGACCGGTTCCGCTTCTACGTCTCCGACTCCAAGGCAGCTCTGTCATCCAGCAAGAAAGTTACCGATAGCCTCGCCTACTTGAAGCAAGATTGCGACTCGAAGAACGACCATGCAGATGCAAGCAGCAGTCATTGCGGGAAACGACAAGTCTTTGGTGGCATGATCTTCTCCTGCTGCGGCCGTGGCACCTCCTTTTTCGCCCATCCTGGTATCGATAGCTCCCCTTTCTCGACTAACTTTCCTGGCATCCCTTTCGGAGGAACATACTGTGCAGGTGAAATTGCGCGCAGCTTGTTTAGCTCGTACAGCAGCGAAGACGATCGAGAAGGATGCCTTGTTCACTGCAATCAGCATGTTTTCAGCACGGTTTATCTTGTCATGTCGTATCACCTGCCTGCGCCATGATGTACGGTACGCAGCCGCCGCCATAATTTCTGCTTTTTTAGTGAATGTTTATGGTTATGGTTATGGTTATGGTTATAGGGCTCTTATTAGATGAAATGCTGTGTTGTTGATATGTTTTATGGCTCTGGGGATTTGTTGATATTTAACTAACTGCGTGAAGTAGTTATTATTATTAGTGTTCATGTTTTTGTCCAAAAATCGAATTTGTTTTGGTTGTTTTTGTGTTCTTATGTACTTAAAAGAATTCTTTAATGATCATTCTTGCAAGCATGCAATATATATATATATATGATTGTGTACTTAAATGAATGGTAGTATATTTTGGAAAATAACATTTGTTTACTTGAATTTTTATTTATTTTTGATATTTTTTAAAATAATAATTAGATATACGGTGTGTTCGGCAATTAGCCAGTTGTTAGTTGATTAGCTGATTTAACTAGCTAATTCGAGCTGTATTAAAGTATTTGATAAAATAGTTGTGTGATGACAATTAAGGACATTGATATGTTACTTTTTTTTAAATATTTTGATTTTGTTCATTTTGTTTTAAAATTTATGAGAATTTCTGTTATTACTTATTGAAAATTATAACAATATTCTGAAATATTTATTTTTATTTTTTAGATTTGAGAAAAATATTTTTATTAAAAAATAAATAATAATTTTTTATTAAAACTGTGTAAAATATAAAATAATAAATATTTCGTATATATATTTTTATTGTGTTAATTATTGTTTATTAATTTTTAATGTAAAATTTATATAATAAAAATATATAAATAAATTAAAGATATTTATTTTTTCTTTTTGATTTAATTTTAACATATTTATATATTTTACAAATAAAATAATGTATATATAATAATTAATAATAGTAATTTTAAATTTACAGAAATAACATTATAATTTAATAAATTAAATATATTAAAAAAATAATTAATAAATAGTGCAATAAAAACATATAATGTATAAAATAAATAAATAAATAATTTTTAAAGATAAATAATAAATAAATAATATTAAAATGAAAAAAAATTGATTTTCCGAAATTATGTTTTTTTTGTTTAGAAAGAACTTTCAAAAAACTAATTTCGAACAACTTTATTTAACAAGTTAAAAAGCTCTTTGCAAAACTTTCCAAATACTCCATAATATTTTAAATGAAAAATAAATATCAGGTGCAATAAATGGCAGAGCTAGTGGAAGGTCCAGGATGTTTTATCTTCCTTAATATTTGTATAATTTTTAAAATTTAAATAATTAGCTATCCTATAAATTTAATAAAAAAATTATTATTACATATATATGTAATTCAAACATTTAAAAAATTTGATTTAAACATTACAAATAGTTATAAATATATGAAAACATCAAATACAATATATTAAAATCAAATACAATATATTAAATATGTCTCCTTCCCAGTCAGTCACCCACCCCCAACAACAAAAACAACCCTCGCACTCCATCATCGCCTACCTCGACAGCCAAATTTCGCTGCCAATGATCGGAATAGACAGCAACGACATCACTATGTTTAGAATATGTTGAATATTGTCCCATGTTGCTAAATGCGTGGGAATTCTCCTAATATATAAGGGTGAAGGATCACTCCACCTATTATCAATTGGTTTTAGATTGGATGTCCGGATCTCTTCTTTATATGGTATTAGAATCATGGTGCCTATATTAAGTTTGAATTTTTGAGATTATCGGCAAAATGTTATCATTTATTTAATATTAAATAAATATCAACATAACAAATTCCGAAATGGCTAAAAACTAAAAGATACCCACACCCAAAATTGATGAAAAAGATGAAGAAGACGGACGGTGGGTATGAGTGGGATGCGATGCGATTGATTTGGATAATTATTATATTTATTTATTTGTATGTAGAAGTAGCAGCGGATGTATGTGGGGGCAAGGCGCTCCAAGCCCCCTCCCCCACCACACTCTTTTTTAATTTTCATTTCAAAATATATAATATAAAAAATAATAAACAAATTTAAAAATTGATAGAGTATTTATGTGAAAATTTAATTTTGAATAATAAAAAGTTTATATCATAATAATTTTTTGATGCTATAAAAATAGATATGAACAAAAAAAAGTAAAAAATAATAATTTAAAAAAAAAAATCAAAAAATTTTCAACTAAATGCATAAGAGATGATATTTTTAAAAGCTATTTTTTAATAATTTTTTTTTACTATTTATCAATTTTATATAATACAAAATTATCTTGTAATACGTAGTTACTGTAAGTTGATATTTTGAAAATATTTCAAAATATGATAACTCCATTAATAAAATTATTGGATAACAAATAGATTTTGATCGTTTCCGAAATTTGAAAAATTAGCTCTCCCCTCTCATCCCGTCCCGGTCTGATTCCGCCTCTGAGTGGCAGGAAGGTTACACTTGGGCGATTGGCTATGCAACTTGGACAAGATAAATGGCAATTAATGAATAATCTGCTGCTAAGGAATAAAGAAAGATCGTATGGTTTCTTACTCAATTCAATTCCATTGATTAAAGAAATACACAGCACAAGCTGTAAATCCACTACATAAGAATTAATCCGACGCTCTCTCTTCCTCGAATGAAGATTGATCGTGTTTTTTTCTTTTTTTTTTTTGATGACGTGGAAATCCGCAGAGGTCACCCGAAAGTACGGTAAACCCCGATCGAACTTAATGCCCTGCAAACTATGCCCGATGAAAAGATTGATCGTGTTTGATTAGGGCAGGTAGGTTTAAGAGGGAGGAGGATTGTGTAGGTGGGGATAAAGGGAGGAGAAGAAGTAAAAGAGATGTAGCATAATTCACTTTGAACACGGGCTTGTTTGGTTTTGAACATGCCCGTGTCTGTATAAATACACCAATATTTATTATTGGTTTGAAGCAATATAACAATTCACATCAATTTCCGTTACCGTCACGTCAGCTTATTTCGTTAAAATTATAACGGTGGGACAAAAAATAATAATTTATTTTTTTATAAGACTAATTTTGATAATTATTTTTGAATAAAATCAAAATTGAAAAAAAAAAGAATTTGATTGAGATCAATATTGATTTTTACTCTAAATGAACACATAATCAACTCAGCATGGAGAGTGAACCGTGAGGTCATGGATTTAAACCCCGACACTTCCAGATCTACCTGTCACACATGGTTTGCTCAGTGTGACTTGTCTGTTGGGCTTAGTTTGGAGAGTATTAGATTTGACCGAGAGTTTATCTGGTGTGCACTTTTCTCACATCATCCAAAAATAAAAAATAAAAATGCATAAGGCCATCTCCAACTCGTCATTCCATTTTTTCAGTTGCTACAGTACATATTGTACTTTTACTCCAGCCATAAACTTCAATTTTTACTTCAAAAATATATTCTATATATTCTTCTTTTATATTATTTTATATAACTCTTCATATTTATAAATTACACCCCAACTTTAATTATTTTTATATTATAATCCATACACATATAATTTATATTTTATTTAAAAATTACATATACTCCATTAAGATTAACATTTATAATTAATAACTATTACAAATAAAATAATTTTAAATAAATAATTAAATACTATCAAAACAAATAACTATTTAAAATAGAAAATTATACAGAAATTTTTATAAAATAAAAGTACGCATAACTTTAAAAAAATAAAATTATATAACTTTTCAAAAAGTAAAATTATATATTAATTTTAAAAATAAAATTATACATTATTTTTTAAAAAAATAAAATCATATATTACATTTCAAAAAATAAAATTATACATCACTTTTAAAAAAAATAAAATTATACATTATTTTTAAAAAAATAAAATTATACATAACTTTATAATATATAAAATTATATAATACATTTCAAAAATACCAAAAATATAAAAAATACCACAAAATATCATAAAAACTCCACTAAAAAAATTGGAGTGAAAGTACAGTATTACTCGAGTCCGTACATTACTTAAAAAATAGGAGGATTTAGAGGTGAATTGAAGCCCCTCCCACCATTTTTTGCCCATCCCACATGCAGTGGGTTGAAGTTGGTCTAATAACATAGAGAGAAAGGCAAGTAAACCTTAGGTAACAAACCCCAATCAATTATCATAATAATTCATATGCAACAAGAATTCAACAAACTTCATCCCAAACCTCTCTTTCTGTCCCTCTATTACAAAGCCAAGAACCAAACACAACATGACAAATTTAAGATTAAAATACCCGTAGCATTCGACAAAAAACGACCCGGCATGGGAGTTCTCGTTGCTTTTCATGTGGGCTTATTTCTTTCCGGGGCGGGTAGAAGAAAAAAAAAAAAAAAAAAAGCATTGCGAGTCGAGTCGCATTCATCCCTCACACGGCATAACTTCAGATCGAAATTCCCAGGGAGGATTTCAGCTTCTCGACTTCCAAGTAGACAGTCGAGTAAGGTAGAAACTCAGTGAAGTGGCTTCTGCACAGGTCATTGATTGCAACTGCGAGCTTTGGGATCTCTAAGGTCTCCTCGTGAGTTAATTTCCTCACAAACTTGGCAGGATTTCCAGCCCAGAGCTCGCCGCTCGGTATTCTCCTTCCCGGAGGAACCACGGAGCCGGCTTCGAGGATGGAATGTGTTTCGACCAATGAGCCCTCCATTAGGATGGAGTGCTGCCCGATGATGCACTCGGGCTCGACTACGCAGGATCGCAGGAGACTATACGCCCCCACCGTGACGTACCTGTCAATTAGAGTTTCTGCCGGCAGCCCTGTTGAAAAGTGTGAAAATTGTTGGGAGTATTTTTTATGAATAAAATTAAACAAATACAACCAAACAAATGCCACGGAATTATTCGAACTACCATAAATACTGTGACTAGCACATAAAGCTCATTCGTCCCGAATGGGAAGTGTTATCGAGTAAAAGACAAAAAATTTAAGCATGCATAAAGTAAATGGAGATGAGGTGGACACATTCATGGAGGATTTCAACAAAGTACTCCTTCCGTCCCAACTATGGTGTCATGTTTACTGTATACAAGTGAATTATTAGTAAAATTAATTATAATATAATACAAATAATTATAAATTAAAATTAAAATAACTGATTATTTTAATAAAAATTTAAAAAATTATAAATTATAAAACTAGAATATGATTAAAATGTAAAATACTTTTCCAAAAATAGAAAGTGACTGGGAGGGACGAAAATGAAAAAAATGTAACATGATATATAAGACAGAGGGAGTAATATAAATGTTAAATATGGGGTAGACATATGTTTGTTCACTTTAAACTTTATAGTTTCCAATAAAAATATACTATTTCTAGTAACAAAATATTAAAAACAAAAAATAAATATTATAATAATACTTTTACAATTTTCAATAGCTGAGTAACTAACAGCAGAACTCCAAAAATTTATAAACTAAAAGAACACAACCATGGTGTTTGACAAATGACAACACGATTCGATACCAATTCTCAGATCCATACAGGCAATCTTTTCAAAACTTTCAACTGGAGAAAGTAACATAAGGAAGAAAGGTCTAAAATAAAATTATCTTCCAGCACGATAGAAGGTTCATTTTCTAGAGGACAAGAAAGAAAACAAATGGGTATCGAAAGTGCTTTGTTTATGTATTATTATGTTATGACTTCTGCCCTTCTGCATTCTAGATCCTATCCGGTGTCCAATACAGTAAAATGTTCTGAGATATGGTTGACAAAATCATATATCGCATTCGAGGGGCTAACAAATTAGAACAAAGATTGAGAACTCTATATACGAGAGAGAAATGAAACCAAAGAATAAGAAATTTTTCAATTCTCAAATCTCATTTCTTGGCTCCAACAAACAAGGAAAATAAGGACATTTAGCAACTACAGAATGGTAGTGCTTTTATTCTCATCATATTGATCAATTGAGAAGGATTAGAGGCTTACAGAAAGACAAATAAAAGCAGGTATTCCGTGGTACTATTACCCGATCAGATTAAGCATTTGCAAAAACAATCTAAAGAATATCATAACAAGAAGCTTACGATCTGTCAGTCAATTATCTTCAAATATATATATTTATCTTCAATATTATATTTATGCAAACACTTACTTTTTTTTTTTTTTTCAGTTATGTTTACTACAGAGTTTTGTCGTTCCCAATAAAAACATACTTATTTTCCGTACATAATATCACATTCAAGTACTAGCTCACCAAGAAACAAGAAAGATCAAAACTTACAAAACACAAAAAACACACCCTATGTTTACAAATAACTGCAACATTACGCCTCAATAATAACAACGCTTCATCTACTTTTCCAGGTGTCATTACTAAAAGAATGGGATTTCTACAAGTTAACGAACAAGCACACCTCCAAAATGCAAGCACTTAGGGGTTCCTCCAAAAGGTCATGTCGTTAGTGATGCAGTTTTTGATCTTTTAAAATTAAGGCACATAGAATAATTACAGCCCTTCGTTTTCCTTTTTTTTTTTTGCACTGTTCAATCTTTGTCGAACATAAAGAGAATCGCCTTCATGTGCACACACAAGAATTCTAGAACCAAAATTATTCACTCTTAGATTGTTTACTCAAATTATTAAGGGTTAAAACATGAACTCTAGACACTCAAATATTATGCCCGAATCAGCAATACCTAAACAATACTGCTGCTATCTACACACAATATAAAAATTTAAAACAATAATAACTAATAAGAAACATTTGTAACAAAGGCTCACACTTTTCAACCCGAGATCAGCTCCAAACACAAGCTCCAGATTCTAGAAACGATCATATTTCAGTTGACTGGAAACTGAGGTTCATTACACAAGTATCAGAAAATTTACAAATTACATACCTACATATGTTTGGCTTGATGGATTTGGATTTGAGGTGGATTTTAAATGAATAGATTTGAATTACTTCGAATTTGGAATACTTCATAGCTAAAATCCATGGTTTGGTTTTCAGAAGTGTTTGAAATGACACAACATGAAAGAGTTATTCTAAAATATTAAAGGGAATGAATTTGAACGCTGGGGCTTCTTTGGAGAGATTTGAAATTACTAAATGATGCTAGGTCCTGTTTGGTTGGAGGGATTCGGGTTAAAAGTATTTAAAATAACTCAATCAAATTCATTAGTTTTATCTGGCATTGCTATGAAATCGAAATCTTCAAAGTTGTGTCTTTCAAATTCATCACATTTAATACTTCAAATACTCACCGTGTCATTTCAAACAACTAAAGTATGTATTTCAATTATTATGCATTTTCAAATCCGAGGTAATTCAAATTTATTCATTTAAAAATTTACCCTCAAATCCAAATAACTCCAATCAAACGGACCTGAATTGTTTACCCTAAAATACATAATACCACTGTCGTCATGAAGAATTGAAGAGAACAAAGATCCAAGTCCTTCACTTTAAAATTCTATATCCAAAATTTGAATTATTCATTGCAAAAATTTCCCTATTTCAAAATTCCATCCCAATTGAACCATAACATTAAACTCATTCATCCAATTTAGATGTAATAATCGGGCAACATTCTAGAACTGCATCTACAACAGTCAACTAAGAATCTCAGAAAAGCAGAAATCATGAAGATATTTCAAATCGTTGAAAAATTCAAGCTTAGTTTGATCATAAAATCTTAGCACAGAAAGAAAAACCTAAAGGTACAACCACCGATGCACGACGAACAACACTGCATAGAAATCGGAACCTAACCTGTAGGAGACGACCACGCGGCGTGAATGACACAGCGCTCCTGCACGTTGGAGCAAAATCCGACGGAGATCTTATTCAGGTCACCACGTAAGACGGCGCCGCTCCAGACGGAGGCGCCGTCGTAGACCACCACTTGGCCGGCCAAAACCACATTCGGCGCCACGTAAGCATCCACGGCGATCTTCGGCGCCCACTGACCTAGCGGAATGAGCTTCCTCTGGCCTCTGTAGTCCCATTTCACTCGATCCGGCGATTCCTTGATGATCGGAGCTTGTGCGGTAGGTTTTTCCACAGTTACCGCTGCTTCAGCAGACAAACGCCGGCGAGGAATAGCCGCCGTTAGCGTCCTCGGCAACAATCGTCTCGACAACCGCGCTACTGCCGCCATTGTTGGCCTCCGATTTCCTCTACGATCGAAGAAAGGGGAATGGAAAAGGGAAGCAGAGTTTGTCCGAGTTTGGGCCGGGCTTAACTGGGCCAATTTTTGGGTCATTTATTGGACTGATTAAATGGGCCCTGAAGGCCCAGTGTTATATCAACCCTCAGAGACCGTCGATGAGAAAATGATCGGACGGTTGAGATTTAACCACAGATTGGGATTGGTACGTCTCCCAATTTATTGGACCGGGCCGATTTTGGGCCGGGCCTAAATGAGCCTGTCTTTGGGGCAGTTTATTGGACTAATTAAATGGACCGTAAAGGCCCAATTTTATATCAACCCTCAGAGACCGTCGATGAAAAAATGATCGGACAGTTGAGATTTAGCCACGTGTTTACGTCTGCCAGTTTATTGGACCGGGCCTAAATGGGCCTATATTTGGAGCAATTTATTGGACTGATTAAATGGACCGTGAAGGCCCAATTTTATGTCAACCCTCAGAGACCGTCGATGAGAAAATGATGGGACAGTTGAGATTCAGCCACGTGTTAGATCTGGATTGGTACGTCTCCCAATTTATTGGACCGGGCCGGATTTGGTCCGGGCCTTAATGGGCCTATCTTCGGGGTTGTTTATTGGACTGATTAAATGGACCGTGATGGCCCAATTTTATGTCAACCCTCAGAGACCGTCGTTGAGAAAATGATCGGACGGTTAAAATTTGACCACGTTCTAGCTGATGATTGGTGCGTTTCCCAATAATCCGCGTGCAGTGGTCTCTGAATTTTAAGTAATGAATGATATTCCAAAATTGCAAAACCACCTCCATTTCTACCTTTCCCTCTTACCTTTCCAAACAAAAATCCACAAAGTGGAATCCCAATCTCAATCCCCTTGAGCTCATCGTCTGCCGTTCTCTCGATTGGTGAAGCGTAATCAAGCGAGGTATTGTTTCCTTTTTTTTTTTTTTACGTGTGTTGTGGTTTAATTGGAAGTGGTGATGTGATTATTTGTCTATGTTTGTGGTGGATGATGATTGAGAAATGATTTTGTTTGTTTTTCGGTGATTTTGCGATTTTCAGGCGGTGGATTACTCTTAATCGAGTTAATGACGACGAGCCAAGGAGGAGCATCTTCGAGGAAGAGCGTGACGTTGACCAGCTCGGCTGCGCAGTCTAGGAAGAAAGCTGCCGCCGCCGCGGAGAATGGCGATGGTGGAACTGCGAATTCGTCTAATCCGCAACGCAAGTTTGTGTCTGCTTCCCGTTCCATGTATGCAATATAGGTTTTCGTTATATGCCTTTGTCTGCGTTATTCAAGTTCTTTTTAAAATTTTTACATCAATAACTTTTTTAAATATGAGGCAAAGTTGTTTGCACCATATAGATATTCAAATTCCAAGAAGATACACACACACATATATATATATATATACTTGTCTTCTTCTGCAGTTTGGTAGTTAAGTTGGCGATAGGTTTTTGTTAGAAAACCTAAAACTGAGCTAGTGCTTAAATGCAACTATGAAGGGGATTTAAGTAAAAAAGTATATGAAAAACATCTAACTTAAATGTGTATCTATATCTATATTATATATATATATATGCGGGTGCAAGTAAGCACATAGTCAGCAATTTGATTAACAAGCTTTCCTATGGTGATCGTCACCAAAAGCATGAGGCTTGAACCTGTATTCCTAACTGTGTCTTCGGTCTTCCACATAATCTGAATGAATCTACCAAACTAGTTTCTGATGCTTCTATTTTCAGCAGCAATGACTGCACTGGAGAAGTTTCTTCAATTTTGGGTTTGGCTTTGCTTTCTTCTTGTCAGAGTGCTCCATCTTGTAATAAACAAGTTCCCATATTAACAACTTTGTTCCATGTGAGTCACAAGTTCCTGGATATTTACTAGAGTTTCTCGTCGAAACTTGTTTCAGTCATCACACTCAAATATCAGTGAATTATCTGAGTAATAATATCCTGAATTTTCTGGAACTAGCTTAAGAAACTGGAATGACTTGTCTAGAGATAAAAGAAATATATGCATCTAAAATTCCTGTCCAAGCATTTGTTAAAATTGAAAGCTCTTTTTTAAAAATAATAATGATAAAAACTAAAATATTTCTAAGGAATTATGTTTATAATATTATCGTAAGTAGCATTTTTTAGTTTGCATATGTCCATTGGCTAGCTAGTGCTTTGAAGTTTGTGGAAATTTTATAGCTATAGATTCAAAATAATATTTGGGAATTTTATTTTGTTTTTAAAATATTCAGAAGGTGTGAATGCTGAGTAAATCTTATTAAACTTGATTGCATGTATTGGCACCAGTGCTAATTTTCTGTCAAGTCAGTCTTTGGGCTGTTTATATGATAGCATATAATATAGCAATAGAATATATAGAGATACTTTAGAGAGAGCGTGATTTCTAGTCTAAACACAGATATGGATTTTGAAACAATCGCAATAAGGGAAAAGCTGAGTTTACAGTAAAAGCACATACACATGAAACTGGGAAAAAAATGGAAGATGATTCTAATCTCGTAATAGCTCCAATTGGAACAATCCTCCACATTTTAAATTTTCGCATTTCATATTTTTCTGTACGTTATAGCATACTGGGATTATAAAGTAAATCCAATTTCTGATTACATTCAATTTCCAGCACATGCGAATCCCTTGACCTTACTAGGGGGCTTGTGTTCTTGCTACTTATTGGCTTATAGTTAATAATGTAACTATTTCAGTTTATACCAAAGTTTATCCATATATATAAGATAAAGATACAGAGCTCATGCAGCATATTTACGCTTATCGCTGCACAGAGCACTTTTTTTTTTTTTTATTTTGGTTATTATTACAAAGTAATTGCATTTACATTTGACCTAAAGAAGGGTATCTGTAGGAGCAGTCCTATTTCTTTGAAGCTCTTTCCGTAAGGTTTTTACGTTTGAATTGGTTTCTCTTACTCTTGAAACAGGGGATTATCAGGTGAAAGAACGGTAAAGCGTTTGAGGCTGTCAAAAGCGTTGACAGTGCCTGAAACTACAAACATCATCGAAGCATGCCGTCGCATGGCTGCCCGTAGGGTTGATGCGTTGTTGCTGACAGATTCAAATGCTTTATTGTGTGGAATCCTAACAGATAAGGTATTATTTGAATGAACCATATTATCTATGTGAAGTAATTAGAAGTTCTTGCACCTTGATAATTTTCATTTTTTAAATTGAACTTCTTACTGAAGGATATAGCTACAAGAGTTATAGCTCGTGAGACTAATCTTGAGGAAACTCCAGTTTCCAAGATTATGACAAGGAACCCGATCTTTGTGCTTTCCGACACCCTTGCTGTCGAAGCCTTACAAAAAATGGTTCAAGGTTCGTCTTGCCCAATCTTTGTGCTTTCTGGATGTTTATCTATTTTTAACATGGTGTAATCATCATCCACAGGAAAGTTTAGACATTTGCCGGTTGTTGAAAATGGTGAGGTAATTGCTATATTGGACATAGCGAAATGTTTGTATGATGCTATTGCTCGTATGGAGCGAGCAGCCGAGAAGGGAAAGGCTATTGCAGCTGCTGTTGAGGGTGTGGAGAAACATTGGGGGGCAGGAGTTTCTGGTTAGTGGATGTTCGTTTCATTTTTTCCTCTGTATTTTTCTTTTGCCTTGGTTGTTTTTTGAATTCTTCCATGGAGTTACAATCTTGTATATGTTTAAATCACTGATTCAGTTTATAACTTCTTAAATATGCAGGACAAAACACATTCATCGAGACACTTCGAGAGCGCATGTTTAGACCTGCACTATCCACCATACTCTCGGAGAACTCAAAGTAGGTAATATCTTCACTTTGCTATTAATCTGAACCTTACAGCTGTGGGGTCGAAGAAAACAATAGCCTTCTAGGGTATTACATCTCACCTAATCAACTTTTTAGGCTTGTTACACTCGACCCAAGTGAAACTGTCCTTGCAGCTGCAAAGAAGATGCTTGAAGTTCGAGCAAGCTGTGCCGTTGTCACTGTAGAAAATAAACCACGGGGAATACTAACGTGAGCCTTCTCTATTTAAAAAACCAAAATTTATTTTGTTATGATATAGAGACTATTAATGAAATCTTCTATGATGACGCTCTCCTTTGAATAATTTTCGCTTTTAATGTTTTATTAGTTCGAAAGACATGCTGATGAGAGTCATAGCTCAGGATCTTCCTTCGGAATCCACTTTGGTGGAGAAGGTATGTTTCCCGTTCTTTACAGGGACACTATTAACTTTCCGTATTGTTCACCTAAAGTTTATCAAGGGTGTGTTTGTTTGGGGGTTTGAATTTTGAATTGGAATTTAAATAGTAAAAGTTTTGAATTAGAATAGTTGTACGATGTGATATAAATAGATGTGATATTTTGAATGTAAAATTGATTATTAGTATAATATAAGAAATGAAAAATAGGTGTTTGATTTGATACTTTTTGAGGAAAAAAATTTGATGAATAGTAGATTTTGGGGGAAATCTTGTAGACGAACACACCCCAAGTAGACCTTTCTCTATTCGTGTTTTAGTTTGATCGAAAAATGATTTCATCTTTATCCATCCATGTTTTAGTTTCAGCACCTCATTTTGTCGGTCGATTCATCAAGTTAATTAAAACATACTTTTGTTTCTTACAAAAATATTAATCCAGGTTATGACCCCAAATCCAGAATGTGCAACAGTTGATACACCTATTGTCGATGCTCTTCATACAATGCACGATGGAAAATTTCTGCATCTTCCAGTCGTTGATAAAGGTCTATGTCTTCCGACTAATATTTCTCCGAGTGTTGCAATGATTATAGTAGAATATTATCCTTCTAATATCTTGTGGTATTGATACAGATGGAGTGGTTGTAGCTGTTATTGACGTGCTTCGTATAACTCAAGCTGCCATAGCCACTGTAAGTCAAATTCAACTTAGAATGATAAGAAGATTTCAATTCAAACTCAAACTTGGAACTTATTTTGTTGTAATTGGGTTCATTTTTTTGAGAAATACCAAAGTGCCGACGGATTAGCTAGAACCGTATGGTTACTATGTTAAATTTTGATCGGTAATTTGTTTCAGGTTGGTAGTACTGCTGGCGTCAATACCGAGGCTGCAAACATGATGCTGCAAAAGTTCTGGGACTCTGCAATGGAACTACCTCCCGATGATGATGATGAGACCCGAAGGTTGCGATTCTTTTGTTACATCCATGTTTAATTCGTTACAACTTTCTTACAAAATCAGATGATTTTGCAGTGAAAATTCCTTGAAGATTTCCGAAGGAGAAGGCTCTCGAACGCTTCCCTATCCCTCATACTCCGCACCAAGTTCTTTCTCTTTCAAGATTCAAGACAAGAAAGGAAGGATGCATCGATTTCTCTGCGGTTCGTTTCTTAACTCTTTTCTCGACAAACCACACAAATTTTCGATAAATTCATTTGCATTTGCATTTGCATTTGTGTTGGTTCAGGTACACAGAGTATGACGGACCTTATAACCGCGATCCTTCAGAGAGTAGGGAGCGAAATCGATCGAAACAATCTTCCACAAATCTTGGTAGACTTTTGTTCTTACTCTCTGTCCGTCTCATTTATCGTATGTTAAATAACGCGTGGATGGCTTCGATTCTGCAGTATGAAGACGAGGACCACGACAAAGTTGTCCTTGCTTCCGATTCCGATCTCCGGGCAGCTGTCGACCATGCCAGGCTGGCAGGCTGGAAGGTATCGACGGTTATCAAAGAATACCCGTCGCTTTTTCAGTTCGTCTATGTCCATTTTTTTTGTGAAAACAATATGATTTAATTCGACTATGAACTCGGACAGGGATTGAAATTGCACCTAGAGTATTCAGGCTTGCCTGGAACTGGAAAGGAGCATAACTCGACGAGCTTAGAATATGCACAGGCTGATGCTTGGGCCTCGGCGTATAGAACTGTTGCTGCCGGGGCTGCGCTGGTTGCCGGGTTAGGCGTGTTTGCGTTTTTGAGACGAGCCGGGAACTGATTCCTGATCGCGCCGCCGACTGGTTTTTGCAAGTTTTTGCATTGAATGCCCACTTTGAGGTACGTATGTATGTGTGGTTATGTTGTGCTGTTTGGTTTTGTTTTGTTTTGGGATCGAAGTCGAAATTGAAATTGGAAATTTAAGAAATGTGAAAATTGAGATCGATGATGACGAAAAATTGAAGACAATATATATTAATGTGGAGTAAGCTTATGCTATCTCTGTTATATATATTCATTGTATTGTATTTGTATTTGTATTTGTATTTTGTATGAATAAAGGAAGAAACTGAAGTGATAGCACACTGGATTGGATGAATGAAAATTCCTTTTGTTCAGAATTACTATTTGTTAGTTCAATAATCATTGTTTCATTGTTTGAATTTTTTTGTTTTTGTTTTTGATTTTTCTTTTGTTTTAATAAATTGAATGTGTAACATTTATGTTTGCTGTGGGTTTTAGATTTTGACTTGGGATTTGAATAGCAAAAAAATTTTGAATTGAAATAGTTGTATGGTGTGACATAAATAGATGTTATATATTTTGGATGTAAAATATTTTAAGTATAATAGCATAAAAATGAAAAATAAGTATTTGATTAGATATTTTTGGAAAATTATTTTTTTATGAATAGATGAAATTTGGGAAAATCCCACAAACAAAAAACTAGTATGTTTTAAATTGATTGACAATAAAATAGTTGGTTTTTTTTTGGACTTTTTTTTATAATATTTTTACTATTTATTTTTATTTATCAAATTAAATATTTATTTTTTATTTTTTTTGATACAATTAAAAAAAAAAAAAGTATACATCTGAATGACTGATAAATATTTTTTAACTTAAAAATTGCTTCTGTTTTGTTTTTACATAAGTCAAAAGCAAACCGATATAAAATATATTTTTAGAAAAAGAAATAAAAATCTTTTGGCAAAAATCAATTCAAACTGGTCTAAATGAGTTCTTTAAAAAAATTGTAAAAATATATGAAAAAAAAGGAGATAATGCAAACAAAACATGAACGGTTGGAACAAGTTAGGTTTTGTTTAGATTGTGTTTTAAACTAATTAAAAAATCTATCCATTTAGTTTGTTAATATTTGAATATTAATTATTATATCAAAATATAGTATAGAAAAAAAAAAGACAAAAATAATTCTATTGGTGTTTTATAATACTAATGTAACGATATTTTTTTAAAAAAAATTATACAAATATAAAGATATTTTTAATATTAAAAACAATGACGTCAAATGCATGCAAATTGATAGATTGACGATGGATGGAGATAATAATATATTTTTTCTATAATTTATTATATTAACATAGAAATTTAAATAAAAACTTCAAAATTTAATACAAACTAAATTTACTACGAAACATTAATATAGAAATAATATAGAAATTTAACAAGCATGTTGACAAACTCTTTAAAAAAAGAAAAAAATAATAAAAAATGTGAGGGTTTAGTGGTCGCGACTAAAGTGCTGAACAGTACATGATATTATTACATATAACACACTGGATATATTAATATAATACAAAAATACATCTCAACTATACCGTCTGACAACACATAATATTATTACAAACGACATATTATAAATATTAATATATTACAAATACAAATCAACAACGCAAGTTATAGAAATTCCATTCCATTCCAACATGAAGGCAAGGTCCTCGGATTCCATTCCGGAGGTGGATGTATTGTTCGAAATAATAAGTGAAATTAAAATAATTATAAAAAAAATAGAAATTCGAATTTCTGTACGCAAATTTCTTGAAGTGAATCCAAGCTACCACCACATTCAAAGTTACGTATTCCAAATCAAATCGAACCAAAAAAAACAAAAAAACAAAATGTGTGTGGATAAAATAAATAAATAAATAAATAAATAAACTAGGTAAAAAGCGCTGTTTCAAAAACTAAAAATAAAAAAACCGAAGTCGTGAATAGATAAAAACACGCTTAACGGGAAAATTGCGTGGAGAGTGGCCTTCATTGTATCTCTCTTACCAATTTGTTCGAACCATGGTGGTGTTGGGTAACCTTCTTCTTCCTCCTCCACCATTGCCAATAATCGCCGCTCCAATCCCGCAATCGCCCCCGAATTCTGCTGCTTTCTGCGTCAATGGTGGTCGTTCGCATGGCGGTAACCCTAAGCAGAGATTTTCTAACCGGAATAATGTCGGTGCAAGTTCAAAACCACCTGGAACTTCTGTTTGGTCTAATAACCTAATCGCTCTGGCAATTGCTGTGGCGCTAATTTCTCCACTGCCTGCTCCGGCAATTCCTTTCGTCAATTCCAAACCATTTGTGGATTCTTCAGCGACGCCGTATTCGCAGGCGCAGAATTTGCCCACTGGATTGGTGAATGGGTATGCTCGATGTCTCTGTCTCTTTCGTTGTTTTTCAGAGCTACATTTTTGTTCATCTATGGTGGAAGTTTGTTGTGGCACTGGAAAACCGATAATGATGGCGACGGATTTTGGTTGTGCTTTCTAGGGTTGAAGTATGATGGTGTTTTTGGTATGGGATTTTAGGAATACTTTAAACAGGTCATTTTTGAATGCATTTTTGTGGTTCCTGAACTTAAGAATTTTCGGAATTAGAATGGAAAAGTGAAGGGGAAAAAAAGCATTTTTAGTCCCAATATAGTGTAGGTTTGTGTAAAATTAGTCTCATTGTATGTTTTTGTACAAAATTGGCATATTTATAATGAATTGATTCAAATTTAATCAATTTGTTACAATTTTAACGGACTTCGATGATGTGGCAGCGATGTTAGCTTATCTGGCATCAAGCATGCATGTTTACATGCAGGTGTATCTCACAGCGTTTACATAAGTAAAATTTGTTAAAATTGTAATAGAATGATTCAATTTGCACGAATTTATTTGAAATATGCCAATTTTGTAAAAAAATAAATAAATAGTCATAGTATAGGTTTTTGTAAAATTAGTATCATTGTATTTTTTTCGGTACAAAATTGGTCTTATTTCAAATGAAGTCGTACAAATTTAATTATTTTGTTACAATTTTAACGGACTTGGATGATGTGGCAGTGACGAGAGCTTATCTGGCATCAAACATGCATGTTCACATATCCGTGCATCTCATGACATTCACATCAACAAAATCTGTTAAAATTGTAATAAAATGATTAATTTTGCACAAATTCATTTGAGATACCAATTTTGCAAGAAAAAAATATATAAGATTATTTTTCGTAAACAATCTACATTGGGACTAGACTTGAAGTCTTCACCAAAATGAGTGACCACAAATCATGGTTCCTGATTTGGATTTTGCTTTGTTTTGTAGAACTTAATCTTTTTAAATTGGTGTACTAATTGCTAGTGAAGTTATTCCATGTTGTGGTAATGGCGTAGAGCTATGATTTGGATGATTCATCTTGTAAATTAAAGTTACTGATTCCAAACTCTTGTTCGCATTGTTATTACAGATAATACACACAAGTCGAACCCAAATGAGCCTTGGTGAATTAGGATATGTGTTTGTATTTTGGGGTGTTTCTATTTGAAAATTTTCTATTTCTTATTGCAAAAGCAGGTACGAAAAACATGAACAAATGCACCCTTAGTGTTCATCTACGGAAGATTATGTGCTTTTAGTCGATCAAATGTATCGTGATAAAATAGTATTCCTTTTTGACATACTAGTTTCACTTTTTGTCTTTTTGATAGCAAAAAATTTTGAGTACACAATATTCAAAGTATCACAACAATTTTCATAAAACATAATAATTGTGTAGATTTCAAATGGACCTTAGTGAACTCCAATTTATGTGCTTTTGGTTGAATAATTGTCTTATGATAATTAGATTTCCATTTTAACATGTTTGTTATATTTGTTATTAGCAGTAAATTTTGAGTATGCTCGAATGGAAGATATTCAAGTTTGAGAATCATTTCCATAAACATAAATTGTTTGGTTATGATTTCAAATCCATTTCAACACTATTCAGCCCGCACAGTTTTCAATAAAATGACACTACAAAATATCACATCAAAATATTACTCCCTCCGTTCGCTTATAAGGGTCGGTTATATTTATCTTTTGCATCATTGTATTTGATATTAAAAATATCCTTATATTTGTATAATATTTTGTACAAAATGTCATTATATTAGTATTATAAGACACTAATTGAAATATTTTTACATTTTTTTTCTTTATTCGTACTATGTTTTGATAAATATTTAAACGAAGGTAGTATTTAATTCAAAACTCCAATTTTAAATCAAAACCAAACAAACTAAATTGGTTTTGGTTTCTATCATCTATGCATTTTCATTGCAGCAAAATCGGACCTTGCCCATCGATAAATCCAGGATGTATCTCGAGCAATCCCATGTCATCGAACTTTGCTTTTCCATGGAGGATAGTCGGGTATTCTTCAGATACTGCTGCTATTCAGGTTAGTTACTTCCTTTTATCATCCCTGTTACAAAATTGACAGTCCTGTTGAAGAACTACTCTCTTTGCATCAGCAATTACAAGATGCAATTCTGAAGACGCAAAAAAATGCCAACATTCAGCTTGTTGAAGACACGCCTACTGGTACGTTGTAGCCAAGGTATTAAATTTCAATTTCGAACATGTAAATTTACAGAAACTTCAATGGAAAATTTTAAGAAAATTGATATTATGGTTTTGGTTTTAAAGAAATCATTGAAACTATTAAAATGCTTGGAAATTTTAAATGAAATTTTATAGATTTCTTTGTAGTATTATTTTAGACATTTTAAAGTAAAAGATACTAAAATGTAATATAAAAAATAAATAAATTATTTTTTAATTAAAAAATAAACTGTTGGGCATATATAAATTATATTCCCTCGATGCAATTGAAAGTATTTTCTTTTTTACTATTTTCGTCCGTTGCACTCAAAAGTATCTATTTTTATTATAGTAAAAGTAATCACATATTAATATTAAAGTAACTTTAATTCTTACACAAATTACAAACATATTATTACTTATATAACTAATTTACACATAAAGTACAAAGAAAAAAAATGTCAAAACTATTTTACACACATCCACTAACTATAGAATAGTATTATTTCTTAATTTATTACAAAAATTCAAAGGATTATTTTGAATCGGGATAGAGGGAGTAATAAAAATTCAAAATCATAACTTAGCTCCTTTCTGATGATATTACATTAAAAATCATACATTTTTTACTAATATAATATTTAAAGTCATGTTTTGTGGGGTTTGAGTTTTAAACACTAACGTTTTGATTTGAAATGGTTGTTTGATATGATATAAATAAGTATTAAATAATATTTTTAATGTATATTAATTTTTTCTGTAATATAAATAAAAAAAATAAATGTTTGATTTGATATTTATGTGAAAAATATTTCATGAATAGTAAAAATTTACAGGAAATCCTACAACCAACAGCAGGTATAGAGTTTTTGGAATATCAACATAAACATTTTCCCAATTTTCACCTCCCCACCATGAATAAATATTAGTGATGTGTAAACAATACTTATCTCGTTACATAACATACTGATAGTATTTTTAATAATATGTAACATGTTGTATTCTTTTGAAAAATTAGTATTTAAAAAAAATAAGAATTTATTTTGGAAATTTAGGTAAATTTTGTAGAATCTCGAGTTTCAAGTGAAATTTTGGTTGAGATTCAATGAAAAGAATATTGCATGTGAATTTTGCTTCAGGATATCCAAAGTTTTGGGCAAAATTTAGTACCATGGTTATAACCTGCTAATCAAGTACGACAGATAATTGCAACATAAACCACATGGATTGAATCAGGTGATGAATTTTGTAAGCTTATAATCATTAGAGCTATCTCAAAGTTATAGATTGGATGGAGCAATGAATTTTAAAAGTTTATAAATATAATCACTAAAGTGAACTGGGGATTATTATGTTTTATCGTATTTCTTGTGTGGTTTAACATTGTTTATAACCTTTAACAGATCAATTGTAATTTTTTTAACATGGTTAGTTAAATTTTCTATGTTGTTCATGGCAAAATTTTGAAGTTATATTCTTGCTCCTAATCACTGCTGGATTAAAAAATAACCAACACCTAAAATTACAGTCAGCAAGAAACATCAAACCTGATTCGCTCCCATCTAGCGTAACTTCTTGACACAACATATTCAATTTTCTATGGCTATAATTTTCCTATGCTAAATCTCTAATTCATGCTATTTGATAAATTTACAGAATATCAAGAATCGTTTATATTTTAAATGTTTATATGTTAGATTCATCGTCTTTATACTTCCTCTTTGTAACACGCTCCCATTAGACATATATATATATATATATTGAAGGACAATTGGTATTCTTATATTCTAATTATTATACTTCATTCATTTTGTGTGTATCCTTAGTTTTGTTACATACATTAAAAAATACTTAGGTTGTGTATAAGAATTTATTGACTAAAAATGCGTTTGGAAATACAATGGATAAATTGTAAAATAAATTTAGTAAAAATAAAGGTATTTTATTATTGTGTGGGGATCACATTTAACAAATTAAAAAATTGATATATTGATTGTAAATAACTCAAGATTGTAATGTTTATACATTGATTGCTGATGGACTTAGCATATAGACGGCGGTTAAAGTGCTGATTTGATCCAATAAGCACTCTAACTGCGAGGCAAATAGCACACGGTTCTATATAACACAGTGCTATAATATTGTGCTATATAGAAGCATGTGATTATATGTTGTTTTGTGTTGTTATGCTTATTGTGTTGAAAATTAATAAAATATTATGTTGTATATTATTATCGTGTGTTAGAATATGTACGGTATATTGTATTATTATATGCTGCAATTTATGTGTTTGTCTTATATGTATATATATATATATGGTATCGGAGTCAAATCAGCATAGTCAATACGCAAACCGGAGTGTTGTATATACTTCATTCATCCCTCAAATTTATGCATACTTTTCATTTAAGTTTTGTCCATTTAGGGTGTGTTTGTTTGGGGGTTTGAATTTTGAATTGGGATTTAAATAGTAAAAATTTTGAATTTGAATAGTTGTATGATGTGATATAAATAGGTGTTGATGTGATGTTTTTAATGTAAAATAAAATAGATGTTTGATTTGATATTTTTTAGGAGAAAAAATGAGATAAATAGTGGATTTAAAATCCAATCCATTAAACAAACACACCCTAAATCTATGCTCATACTATAAATTTAAGTTTGTTCTATTTAATTAAAAATTTTACCCTTGCTTTAAACACATAATAATAGATTTGCTATTGTCATTACATCACATGTACACTATCACTTAACCACATTCTTTAGTGAATTTTCAAAACACTCTTACATAACTTTTATTTTACATTCATATATATATATATATATATATTTATCTTTGCGCCCAGCCAAACAAGTATATTTTCACTGGATAGAGAGAGTATTAGTTAAGAAATACTATCATAACTGCTTAGCTACACCAAAAATACTCACTGTGTTTTTGAATTAATATGTTTTTATGTTAAGTATAGAGAATTGTGTCGGTAATATAAAAAATATTATTTTGTATTGAATTGTTAGATTTTTTATGGGTGAATATAGTTTTTATGTTTCGTATATTGTGTTAATATGTATATATTATATATTTTTTTATAATATTTATTGAAAGTCGTGCCACTCAAACTTAGATTGGGTGAACAAACCTTTATCTCGCACATTCAAGGAGACATAGGAACAAAGTAGTACGAGTCCAAGTTATATAGAGTAGACATACAAAAATATAAATGTTCTATCTATTTATTATTATTTTTTTTGGTATTTCGAAAATTCTATGAACATTGGAATTGTAGGTAAATACTTGCAAGCCGAGGTGGATGCAGGATTTGGCAGGGATGTCATGGAGTTTCTGGTGAATGGTGACGTGGTTTCATTTCGAGCTATGGCAACCAAAGTTACGTATGTATATCCCTTCACAACTGCCTTTGGAGATTCGAAAGGTCAGGAAGAACGCCTCAAACAAATTGTTAATGAGTTAGAATGGTATGCTCCTAGTTTTGATTTCATGGACTAGACAAAGTGTTTTTTGAGTTTTAATTGATAGATGCATTTCTTGTGCTTTGATTCTAGCAATGTTAGAGTTTGTTTGGTTATGATTTGAGTTTCTATTTACCATGTAGACCCAATCTGGTACTTCTTCTGAAAAGCCAAGAAAAGAAGGCTTAAAAAAATGTTTCAGGAGAATTATAAACCACCAAATCAAAAAGAATTCTCTCTGAGTGAAACAAAATTAAAAGTTCCGGAGTAACTTAACTCGCCGTTAGATCAGATTGATGAAGTTTTGATAGCTTAAGGAGTGTTCGACTCTATTTGAGATTCACTTTGATACACAAATCATAACACTAATCTTATGCAACACTTGAGTACCTTGGACGGATTTATTCTCTATTCCTTTAATTGAATTTATTTGAGGATGAACAAAGGTTTACTTTGGATAGGTTTGATAATCCTAAATTTGAGCATATTTTTTACTTGCAAATCATGTTTATTACTTGTATTTTTGTGTGAAAATCATCACAATATCTTATTATGACACTCTTTATTGATATGTTTCGCTTGATATGATATAATAGTTCTTAGATAAGATTTACTAACTTTTGAGTCCAATGTAAGCAAAAGTGAGCCCAATTTGCCCATACAATTGCTCAACTGTATAAGCCTACAAACAGTGGCTCCCTATTGTAAATTTTATGCATTCATATACGTTTTAGTGCAACTTACATTTTGTTGCTCCTATTTTCAAGAGCTCAAACGGTATAGACTCTTTTCATTAGTTTTGCTCCTATTTTCAAGAGCTCAAACGGTATAGACTCTTTTCACTAGTTTTAGTGGAGGTCGGTGAACTCAGGGAGGTTTCCGCCCTTGACCACCCATCAGTGGTTGTCGAAATCTCCTTTCTGAGAGATTTATTTATTTCTTTTGTAATGTCTCTTTAGAATAAATCAATATCATTTTCTTTGTTCAGTCTCTTCACACACACATCCATATTTATATTTGAGTTATTTAAGTTAGATTTGTTATAAAATTATGGGAGATTGAGAGAAGAATCATCGATTTAAGCTTATGATCGTGTCACATTATTAATAGAAAGTAGCTAATTTGTAGCATCTAAGTATGTAGGAGCTTTGTCGACCTGTTTAGTATGATAAACTGCTTAGTATGATCTAAATTTAATTCTAATTACTGATTAAAGAGATGTATCAGAGTTGTAGAGCTACTAGTTAAATAATTTAAGTAATAATTCATTATTAGACACAGGTGTTTGCCTATCAGGTGTCAGAAAAATTCAATAACATTGGTTTTTCTTTTAAATAATGTTCTTATCGTTGTAACTTCTAAGGTCAAGTATCAGTTGAATTAAGAATTCTATTTAAATGAACGAGTATGATCACAATCATTACTTTTACCTGTTTTCGCTCATATATGAATAGTTTCCATTAATGCATTTTTATCATCTCACTCATTTTATCTAAGATAATCTAACCATTAAAAAACGCAAGTTATCTCACATACAAACACTTAACTTCACACCCCCATCATATATTAACGCTCACAAATATGCTACAATCCTCGGTCATTTATTGCTGACCTACACACTATACATATACACTTTCGCTTGCAGATGCTCTTCACTGCACTCATTATCCAAGGATCTTCGCTTACACATACCTCATGCATATTGTTCGCTCAACTTAATACATCACAACACTCCCTCGTCTAGAATTATTTTTATGGCTTTCTTAGGCTAATATTTACTGTTTTTTTTCGCTAAACCTCAAAACTTAAAATCTCTGAATTTGACCTAGAAATTCACTAGTACAATGGAGTATAAATATATTTTTGATAACAATATTAGGCAACTACAACTACACGTTCGAGAATTTCAATATATTTCACTTATGATATGCCAAGAACATGAGATTTTTCTTTAATTGATTCATTACTCTAATCTTTTCCTATTAGTACTAGACCAGAAATAGCTCGCGTAATTGGTGTTGTTAGTAGATTGATGTTGAATATGGGCAAAAGGTATTGGACTGCAGTGAAGTAGATTGTAAGATATTTTCAAGAAACATCAAGCATGAGATTGTGCTTTGGTACCGGTAAGTCATAGCATATTGGTTTTATAGATTCTAATATGGTCAGAGATATTGATAAGAGAGTTTAATTTTGAATACATGATAACTTATGGATGGGGAGCTATTTTATGGCAATCCCGATTGCAGAAATGTGTTGCACTCTTTTCCACTGAGGCAAAGTTTATTGCTATACGATGGCTTGCAAGGAGTTGTTATGGTTGAAGATTTTTTTGTGAGTAAGATTGATTTTGCTTAACAGAAATATGTTATGGGTTGCGGCAATCAAAGTGCAATCTATCTTAGTAAGAATCCTACATATCATGGGAGATCTAAGCATATTAATACAAGGTATTATTGGATTTGAAAGGTCTTGGATTCTAAGGTGCTTGAAGTTGATAAGATTCACATGAATGAAAATGATGTGGTTATATGCACAAAAAGTCTTCTTAGAGACAAGTTCGAATCATACAGGTTGACTGGGGTTGGTAGTTTCCTCCCTATAGTAAAAAAGGGGAGAATTATTGGGTTTAGGTTTCTCATTTGTGTAGGAGGCTTAATAATTCTTTAAGCTTAAAATTTATTAAAATTTGTATCTCAAACTTGAAGTGCTTTAATTTCACCTTGGGGCCTTAGAGAAAAAAGAGAAATGGAGAGACAAAATCATATCCACACGTAAGAGAGAATCAACAAGCAAGAGAGGTTTTTTTTCAACTCGGTTCCAATTAATGATCTTTATCATTTTGAATGTTCTTTCAATATCATTGACTTTATCTTTTTATTTGATTTGGATTCTATTTTAAATCTCGTCAATTAGTTAAAGAAATAATCAAATTTGGTGAAGATATTTTTTTTGATGAGACAAAACAACATACCCCGTTTAGGTGTGACCACGTAAAACCCTGCAAGAACTTTTGGCACCTAATGTGACCACATATAAGCACTACATTATCTTTTGATTTGTTTGACTTTGACCACGAATAAGATCCATATTCTCATGTATTTTTATTTACTTTTCTTATTCACCCTCCATCGTTCCAACAAGAATATAAATTTATATAGATTTTCATCTAAAGCTAAAAATTTATTTGATTTTTGTACGCAAATTTAAATATATGTAGTGTAACAGAGCAGTATAAAAGATATTTCACCCTTGGTATTAGTGGGACTAAAAAAAATGATAGAGATATTCTAAAAGAAAAAAAAAATGCATTTTACTTAAACAAACAAAAATGACAAAATGAATACATTTGACTCACACATAGCTGAGCATTATATATTAAATGTAGCACAATAGCAAAATAAGCATATTATACAACTTAAATTCTTCTTGGCTTGCTTTATTGATTTTCTTTCTATTTTCATTTCTTGTCCATCTTTCTTTTTATTTTGTTAGTTTCTTTTCATTTCTCTTTGTTTCATTTTTTTATTTATTATTTGTGAACAAGGCTCCAGATCCTTTTCAAGAAAGCCGGAAAAATCACTCAATTTTCGGCGATAAATCGTCGAAAAATATTTTGAGCGACAACAACCTATCAAACAAAATTTATTCTTTATAAATATGTATATATCTAACGATTCAGACGTAATTTTTCTTAGAATAATAAATAAATAAATAAATCTTATTTTTTGTCGATAATTTTCGCCATTGCCTTTGAGAGGATACAAGAGTATTACCAAATGTGGATTTATTTTGGGAAGAGATTTTTCTAGACTCGACTGTCTTCCTTAATTATTTTACATCATCTGCTTTATTTCCAACATACAATTATTTAACGTATTTCGGGAAAGAGATTTTCTTAGTTTTGCCATTCTTCCTTAATTGTTTTATATCATCTTTATTTTCAACATACAATTTTTTAATAAATTTAGATTGTTTCTGCTGTAAATCCTACTAATCTTATCTAGATAACTTAGGGGATTAATTTTAAAATATATAAATCAATGAAACAATTTCTTGTACTTCCGCTTCAGTTTGAACAATATAATCTCAGTATCACCGTATATTGTAGTTCAAGAAAGCTCGACGACAACACAAAGTATCTATATCTCGGCACCTAGTCTTTCCATTCCCAATAATATTAATTAAACTTACTTGATTTTAGATGGATATTAGAAGGAATAGTTCGGGAATAGATCAGAAATTAATTTTTATATGATTATTTTTTACAATTGTATAATTCTAATTATATATTTCAATATTATCGTAAATATGTGAATTGCAAGTTAATACACATTTGTTAATAGTTGTACTATTATTCGTGATGGTTACTGATAAAATTTTGAGAGTAAAATGTAGGTGTAAAGAAGAGGAAAAAAAAAATTGGACAAACATTAATTATTTAGAAAAAATTCTACAAAGCTATATAAATTTTAATATATTTTAAGGAAAAAAAAATGAAAAATGGAAAATTATAGACTAGAAAAAGTACAAAGCTACAAAAATTTTAATGTCTATACAATAAAAATTTAAAAATTGGAGAGAGCAAATTAATAAAAATTATATAACTTTGATAGTTTTTACACTAAAAATAACATATTTTGTTTGCACACTGGACGGGAGTTTCACCAACTTAAGCACGCATACAAAAGATGTCTTACCACTTGATCCACAGAGATTTATTATTTGTCTAGACACTTGTGTTTTTTTTTTTTTTGTAACTATTTCCCTTTCTCATCCCTATTTAAAATATCTTTTTATTTTCTTTTTAATAAATTAAAAATTTATATTGGTTAATAGAAGTACGTTAATATTTTTATTCTTTCATGATTTATATATAAATCAATTATATGTTTGATGATATTATTATAATTTATATAAAAATAAAAAATATTTTAATATTATGGTGGGAAGAGATAGTTTTAAGGGTAAATATATTTTTGATCTATTTTATTCATTAATGTGTCAAATTTAGTTCATTATCTTAAAATACCAATTTTGATCCCTTATTTAAACTAGTTTAATTTTAATCTTTGGTCATTGTTTCTTTAAAAATTAATAAATATAATTATTACTAATTTTGTAGTATAAAAAATATAAGTTTTTTTTTTAATAAAAATCATTAAGTAAAAAAAAAAAAGTATACACAATATTAAAATCCATACTAAAACATTATGAATCTATTTTTTTATGACGAAGATAATATATAATTTTCATCCAAAAGTATTATTATCATCCATTATTTACATTAATTTATATATATTTTTTTTTTCAAATATTTTCACCCAAATCTTTTTTTTCCAAACAAATTTTTTCAAAACAGATTTAAACACACAATTTAAAAATTATTTGTCTAGAACAATATAATTACTAGCTAGTTATTTGTCTTAATTAAATTATTGCAAATAAAATAATAAAATAGTTTTTTTTTTTTTTTGAATAAAATCACTATATTAAATATAATGACATATGGATTTTTAGTAAATAGATACTAACGAGAATTTTTTGTATGATCATACATATAATTAGTATTCCTATTAATTTTTATTTTTTTTAGAAAATAATAATTATCACTAAATTTAAACTATATTAATCAATAAAATATCAAAAATATTATTATAAAAATTGAGGGAGTAAATTAAATCAAATATAAATAAAAATAATCACAATCATTATTTTAATAATATAAAGACTAAAATTAAAACAAATATAAATAAAATACATCAAAATATATTTTACCTTATTTTTAAATTATATAATGAAAATAATAAAAATAATCTTTCAAATAAAGACAAAAGAAATATAGTAATGGAGTATTACCTTTTCTTTTCTTGACAAATATGACGTAATTTTAGATAAAAAAATAAAAATGATAAAATAAAATAAAATATTATATAAAATTTATTAATAAGTCTATAAAAAAAATAAAATAAGTAAAAATTATTAATAAAATTATCAATATTAGTCATTTAAATATAAATAATAAAATTATGAGAGTAAATTTGAGGACGGTAGGCTTATTAAAAACAAATAGGCTACTAATAAATAAATAATAATTGGAGTCTAGAAAAAAGGGTATTTCCACTATTAAAGCGGAGTTGTACACGGCGCAGGAATATTTGTACATTCTGCCCAATCATGACTGGAAGCTCGGCTATACATACATTACACTAGGCGTGAATTCGTTCATCCCCTCTTTTCCCAATCTGCAAATTCTTCCCCAAAACCAACAAATCCCAACAATCCATGGACCAGAACAACCTCCAGCAGGGCGGGGGGCCGCCGCCGCCGCCGCCGGGGCAGGCCGGAGTTTATCCGGCGCAGCCGCCGTACCAGCATCTCCTCCAGCAACAGCAGCAGCAGCTCCAGATGTTCTGGACCTTCCAGCGCCAGGAAATCGAGCAGGTGAACGATTTTAAGAACCACCAGCTGCCATTGGCTCGCATCAAGAAGATCATGAAGGCAGACGAGGACGTACGCATGATCTCCGCCGAGGCGCCGATCCTGTTCGCCAAGGCCTGCGAGCTCTTCATCCTCGAATTGACGATCAGATCGTGGATCCACGCCGAGGAGAACAAGCGCCGGACGCTCCAGAAGAACGACATCGCCGCCGCGATTACGCGCACCGATATATTCGATTTCCTCGTCGATATTGTGCCTAGAGACGAAATCAAGGACGAGGCGACGGCTTTGGGCGGGATAGTTGGACCACCCCCGGGCGCTGCCGCCGGCGCCGGTGTTACAGGCGTGCCTTACTATTACCCTCCCATGGGACAGCCTATGATGGGGCGACCTGCCGTTCCTGGCGTGGATCCAGGAGTTTATGTGCCGCCGTCTCAGGCGTGGCAGTCGGTGTGGCAGACGCCGGCGGAGGATGGATCGTATGCCAGCGGCGGAGGCGGCGGCAATGGTGGACAGGGCAACCTCGACGGACAAGGGTAATTCTGTCATTTCACGCTCGCCTTCCCCAACATTGGAGCTTTGCTTAGATGTGGTTATTTTCATGGCTCCCTAATTATTTGGTTAAATAAAATTTCCCCTTTTGTATTTGGTTTTTAGCTTAATTTGATAAGACATGTATATGCTTATTCTGAAATAAAATCTCTCACTCTCCAATCTTAGTGAATTAAGGCAATGTGTGGTCTAAAAATGCCAAAAAAATTAGCCATTTTCAAGCTTTATGTGTAGAATTCTCTTCGGGGCTTCACATATTTATGCTCGAATTACTTATGCTTTTGCATCATATAACATTTGCTTCATTTAGAATCGAGGGGGTGTTCGTTGTGGAAAGAACAGTCCCGGGCTGGATAAAAACCGAAACATATTATATACATCTTCGATTGATAGCAGTAATGTGTTCCCTTGGTGCTATTGTGATTTAATAGCAAGTTGGATAATTTTTGCAACCACTTGTGTTCTAAGATGTGATATTATGGTTTTGTGATGGTTCTAGAGAGTTAGTCAATTACATATTCGTATAATCGTTCATACTTTGGTTGTCATTAGGCAAGAGAGATTTGTATCTGTATTCGGTTAGATATATCGGTATGGGAAAAAAAAAATATGAAAATAACATTGTTTGATTTGTAGTTCATTTTGTGACGTTGGGATGTTGGTGTTCTTAAAGGATATCTGTATCGTACCCAATTTGACATAATGACAGTTTCTGGTTTACACAGTTTTTGTCGCTGAGGAACCTGGTCTGAAAAGCTTTCTTTAGAGCTGAATTGTTCGAATGTAAGGTTGACTTGAGCTGTTTGATGCCTGAACTTCCCACGGTGTTCCACGGCCCTATAAATTTATAAAACTTATATGCATAAAGTGCTTGTAATAGTTAGTTTGTTTGTTTTCGTTCTTACCGAGAACTTTGTCCTAGTCACATTTGATCGCTATGTGTCTGCAGCGAGGCAAGGATGCTAAAACTATGTTATAGAGTTAGTGCATTTCTTTTAGTTCTCGAGGGCGTATATATGTATCTCTTATTGTGGTTTTTATAAGTGAGTTTCTAAGTGTGAAACATATGTTCGAAACCCACGGAGGGACTTGTTATGCTGCTCTTTCAGAAAAATTTTACAGGCTTGTTGATAGCCATCGATGGGTTTTATATCTTAATTCAAATCCCCATTCAAGCTAGATATGTGCCAAGTCGAGTTTTATCAATTCTTCTGATTTCTAGGACGGTGTATTTTTTATACCGAAGCAATGAACTAAAAGAAGTTGAACTAATTTTCCTACATGCCCTCCGAAGCTGTTTAGATTATGTCTTTTCACTTTATTTTATTTTTACCGAAACTAAAGCGAATCTTGAATGAGTTTTTCATGGGGTGGTGTCGAAGATAAAGCTCTGTTTTGAAAATTCAGATGCTGTAACAGTTTCTCTATAGATCTTCTTTGGGATTGGACGATGTGATAGAACATATGAGCAATGATTAGTTAGTCGATTCATACGTTTTTGTGTGTGCCTTGTGAGTTATTACATGATACCTATAACTTATAGGATAAACTTGCACTTACGACATTTTAAAGTTGTGTTCGGGTAAGAAGTTGTTTCCACATACATTTTTTCTGAATTTCTTCTATCTTTGAGAAACATGATTTTTGTCATCCAAATACTATTGGCATGACGGATCACTTGGCCACTTTATTACCTACTTATGATGTTTCTTTTTTGGCGCTAACATTTCTTCGATTACTAACTTTTCATTGCTAGAAATCAATGGACTGATTCCTTTCAGTTGTGTTTCCATAGAGTGAGAATCATGATGCTACCTAAATGTACTTGATGACACATTGCTCTCGATTTGAACATAGGGAACAAAAGAAAATATTTAACTTTTCGCTTAAACCGAGCTTATTCTTAGGGTGTGTTTGTTTGTGGGATTTAGTTTTTGAGTCTGGATTTTTTAATTGTAAAAAGTTGAATTTGAATAGTTGTTTGATGTGATATAAATAGAGGTTGATGTGATGTTTTGAATATAAAATAAATTTGTAGTACAATATAAAAAAGTAAAGGTAATTGTTTGATGTGATATTTTTAGAGGGAAAGAAAATTCTGAATAGTAAAAATCTATAGTAAAATCCATAAAAGAACACTGATGTTATAAATATACCGATGAAGTATATAGAGAGTCGTTGAGGGGTTAATAGGGTACAAATTTTCATCTACTTTTCACAGTGTTATTTTCTCGACACACCACACGGCAAGGTGCATTTCATGAGGTGTGTAGAATTAGTCCATCGAGCATGCTCCCAATTTAGGCTTGTCGACAATTTCTGATTACTTCCCTTGCTTCAAGGCGTACTTTTAAAATACAGACAATGTTTAGCGGTCGTTTGATGTAAATGCATATGTTGTTTGCAGCTGAAGCTATGGGCGCGCCGGGTCGAGAGAGGGTGTGGTGCAATGGAGTCGCTACCCCGGGTAATGAATGCTATGTAGAAATCTTATTTTCTTTTCAACTATGAATGAATGTGGGATTCTTTGCACATAGCCATGAGTCAGTCTGTCTGTCTGTTTACCGGTCGTTGGTTGCGCTTAAGGATGATGTTTGTTTAGAACTCGATTTTATGTAGATTGCGCGCTCACTCTCTTCTAGTGGAATGGCACGCACATTATGCTAAGTTATTGCAATTGTTGTTTTATTTGATTGATATATCGCGACGATTTATGGCCACATTTTTACTTAGGGGATGACAACAGGTCGAGGTAGAACCTAATATCTTTTGTTTTTTTACTTTGTGGTTTAGATGGCAATGGGTCGGGTAGAGGGCGAATTGCCAAATTTTTTCATACTAATTTGGGCCATCTTTATTTAGAAATGGTAATAAGTCGAGTATGATAGTTAGGGGTGAGCATTTGGTCGGATCGGTTCGAAATTTGAGTTTTTGATCGGTTTATAAAAATCAAAATCGAAACTGAACTAAAATTTGCAAAATCATACTGAACTAAACCAAACTAATTCGGTTAGGTTCGGTTCAAAACTGAAGAAACCGATTTTTTAAAAATTCTTATGATGATGTCATTCTTTCAATTTATTTTCCATCTCCAAGACAAGACAGATTGATCCATACCCAATTGTATGTATCCAACAACTTACAATCCCCATTTGTATGTTTCCAACAACTTTCAAATGGGTCCAATACTGAATACAAATTTTTAAAGATCAAAATTATAATATATATATATAATATAAAATTTATTTTATTTAAAATTCTGTTTTTTTTTTTTGAAAATTAAAAATTATAATCGAATTGAAATTCAAATTTATAAATTCAATTTTAGATTGAATTTTTAACCGATTAATATAATAGACCAAACAGATCTGTGCAAACCGAAATTCTTTTGATTTTTTCGATTGGACCAATGCTCACTCCTAATCATAGGACTCAAAGATCTCGAAAATTTTTCACACTTCTTTGGGCAAAATCTTTATTTAGAAATGGTGATAAGTTCCCAAATAGCTAAACAACTAGGAGAACAATGGAAAGCCTAAAACCCAAGTTTTATAATCACAACAAATTCAATTCAATTCAATTTCAGATAATTGTGGATCATTCCATAATGCTCCTAATTTGAAAATGTTAAAAATTTCACAAACTTTAAATGGAAACTTCCCATTATTATAACAACATTTGTATTGAAAAACCAAAACACAAAATAACACCTAGGAGAGAAACCAGTATCAAATACCAAAATTTCACTGTTACATGATATAAATGACCAAATGTTACACAATGAAATTTACATGTGGACAACGACAAATTGAGACCTTAAACTCCAATATCATGTCAGATGATGCAAATAACAGTCTCACATAAAAGTTTAAACTTTTAGGAATAGGCATTAGCTATTTGTCTACAAACAGGAGTCCACCAACACTCGCCAAATCCGAAATATTAAGAATTGATCATATACAGATGCCAAAACATTATATGGTAAAGCAAGCACACAAACTTTAATGATGTCTTCAATTTTCTGGGACAATAAGAATTAAATGCTATATATTCATTCAGAATGTCTTGCATTGCCATTTGGAATGAATCCATCATGTATGTATCTACTAAATCGACGCTTATATTGCAGCATATAAATGAACCCCGAATGCTTCACATCCATTCTTACAAACTTCACATAACTCGGAAAAGTTTTAGACACATCATTTACGCCCACCATGGATTTTCTCCAGTTCTGAAGTCTGTCTCAACCCAAGGAACAAACACTACCTTCCCGTCATCAATATCCACATGAACCAATGCCAAAGACTGCGCACATAAAAAAATATATCATGTTAGATGATTTAAATGACCGTCACACCTGAAAGCTTAAGCTATTAAGGTACGTATCATTTATTTATTTATCTACAAACGGGAGTTCACCAACAGTACTAGCTAAAGCTCATTTTAAATATGTCGAAATTGGTTTTTGGCAATAGTCTTGTGTGCATTCCTAGCCTAAAAAATATCATGCCTTCGATGTTTCTCTTTTTCAGAATAATTAAGGTCGTGTTCTTTTGTGAATTTTATGACAAGTTTTAACTATTCAGATTTTTTTTTTCTCCAAAAATATCATATCAACCAATTACTTTTCTTTTTTTATATTATACTACTACAAATTTTTTTACATTTAAAACATCACATCAACCTCTATTTATATCACATCAAACAACTATTCAAATTCAACTTTTTACTATTCAAAAATCCAAACCCAAAACCTAAAACCCACAAACAAACACACCCTAAGTAATTATTAACAACAATAGATAATTTCTTGTGATGATAATAAATTACCAGAGGAGCAGGCCCTCGGACAACTTTTCCTTGATTGTTGTATTGTGATCCATGGCAGGGGCAGATAAACTTGTTCTCGGCAGTGTTCCATGGCACAACACAACCCAGGTGGGTACAGACAGCATTGATGCCGAATGTTGCAAGTGTTTTGTCATTCTCCACAACAAGGTAGGTCGGATCACCCTGAAGTTCATCCAATGAAGTATTTCAGTCATCAACACAAATCCATCTTTTTTATTATCAACATATATGATTTCCATGTAATACTTGAAAATAATACTCCTTCTGTCAGCTAAATTTACTTATTTTCCTTTTTATTCCGTTCGTTAAAATTAATTATTACTCTTCATTCAATACTTATTTACTACAATTACCACTAATTTTATTACATCCTCTGTTTTCATCATCATTTAATTACTAACTAAATTTCCAAAACTATCAACTATCTTTTTACTGTTGTCATTTTTTCGATAAAATATTCATTTATTTTAATCTTCTTTCTGAACCCAAATGGACTATTTTGACCGGACAGAGGGAGTATATTATTAACTGAACACAACCAAGACAACAAACCACATATATAACATTCAAGAATAAACATAGAATATGTGCAGTAAATTTCAAATTCAAGCATTATATTAAGCTCAAATATAGTGAGAATACGATGCTTTCCTTGTTGAAAGGAAGATATTTATTTAAAAAACACTCTACAATACACTCTAGATGCCTTGCACTTCATTCTACAATGATATATATATATATAATAAAATACTCACTCACTCGTTCAATATAATGGAAATATGCTATCAATAATTCACACAATTCTGTAAAATAATCATGCTTGAGAATGTAAAAACACTAAATTTCAAGTTAAAAACATTCCTATCATTCTCTTGCAGTCTTAGACTTTGCGTAACAGTTGAAAATTACAATGATGAAAGCCTTAAATGAAACCACCATAAGTTCTTCAAAATAGGGAAGCCGAAATCGAAAACTAGCTTTTACCACCTAAAGGCTAAAGCTGGGAAATCTAATCGAAAAAAACATCAAAAAGAAACTAATAAACATGTAATAGCTAGCGATGAATAAAATCTTTGCTGAGTGAATCACTTTCCCAATTTCAGCAATGTCACCGGGAGACTCAATTCACATGATATAGATATATATATATATATAGGGTCATCTATCCCATAGGTTTGTCTTCATAGACACAGTCAAGTAGCTACTTCAAATGATGTTTGCAAATGAGATAAACGAATGGCATCTAACGCCATTAATCTATCAAAATATCATAGATATATTACCTTCAAGCCTTGGGTGAGGGTTCGATCACCTGGTCCATGGTTCTTGAGCCAATCACTAGCAATCACATCATTGCCTAGTGCATCTTTGGCAACTACACCACCAGCAGCACCTCCTGAACTGCCAAGTGACATGAGAAGAAGTTGTCATGAAAGCAGAGAACCGACAAAGAGAAAGAAACAATCAAAATAAACCTTATGTTCTAACTCAAGTTAAACCATTCCATTCCCAATGGATTGAAAAATCCAAACAATCGAATCTTCAGAATCACTTAATTGTGATGTTATTTAGAAATTATTGAAGATTCCTTGTACAACATAACAAATATATTCCCACCACATATATACAGAGGAAATAATTAGTAAGGAGTGTCAAAGGGACATTAGTCTACACAAACGTGTTGATATGCCTTGAATCTAGTTGTCACTTTGCTGAGTTTTCACGGAGATCTTGCTGCTCGGTCGGGGGTCAAGGGGGACTTTGCCCCCCTTTTCTGGTGTCCGGGGGCAGAGAGTAGCCCCGGTCAGACTATATGCAGAATTAGACAAAGTCCGTCGTCTGATGTATTCTTTTAGTTTATTTAATAGACTTACAGATATGAAATCTCTAATATATATATCTTAGTTGTCCTCAATAAATCTTTTCTCCGTCTGTGTGCGCGTAGGACGTAGTCAACACGTTGTTAACACGTTCGTGGACCATGTAAATTTGTGTGATCTTTATGTTTCTATTTGTTGTTCGAGTAATAATCCTAATCCATCTCGAGAAAACAAATGAGTTATTGTAAAAAAATTGCTCACATTGACATCATCAACCATTAAAATATGAAATCTACAACGGATCCAAGCTCAACTAGGTCGTTAATGGCACAAACAAAATAGTAATTTATAAGCAAGTTCGCACTAATCTACTAGCTCCAAAAATCATAGATTCGATGTTTCCAAGTAAAAGGAAGGAGAAAAAGGGGTTTACCCAGGCGGAACAAAGAAGTAAGTGTAAGGCACCAACATCCCAACGCTAGGAAGAGAAATAGCGCCGAGGAGAAGGAGATTCATGAGCTGCCGCTTTCCCATGTCAGGCACCCGATCCGCGGGAATACTCGTAGCCATGCACTTCACTTCCATCCGCTTCGGATTGCGAGTAAGCGACAGGCGGCGGGAGGAGTTGTAATTGTTCGTCGTCCCAGTCCTGCAGTAGAGCTACAAATAGACAGAGAGAGAAAAGGGAGTTAACAAGTAGAGTGTTCCTGTAAGTCATTGAGAATATAGATATAGATATAGATATTTGTAATTGATCGATCGATTGATTGATTGCCTGCGGAAGGGCGACGGCGGGGGAGAGCGTGGTGGTGGAAGAAGCCATGGAAATGGGAAGGGAAGCAGCAATGGGATGAGATGGCGGGTGAGTGGGGAGCGTGGAGTTTAATTAATTTTGATGAGAAAAAGAAGAATTGAGGAGCAGAGAAGCACAGCACAGCACACCATATCCACACGCTGGAGTGGCTGCCTGGCGGCCGATAAGGTTGCTTGTTCTGTACGGGTAAGCCAATCCTGTCATCATCATCGTCATCATCATCGTCATCATCATCAAATATTTATTAAGAAAATAAATAATATTAATAATTATTATTAATTACTCCGTCTATCCCGTGTAATTTGGACGTGTTACTGTAAATCCTACAATTTAGGTAAAGTATGACTAATAAGAAAATTACAAAATGTATAAATAAAAATAATTATACATTAAGATAATTAAATAATTAAATTAATATTAAAAAAAATTATAAAATTTAAAATGTAATTAAAGTGTATAATTATATTTTTTTTAAAAAAATAAAATTATGTGAAAAGTACAAAAATAAAAAATAAAAAAAAAATTAGGTAAGACAGAGAGAGTACTATATAAGTTGACAAAAGAATAATAATATTTAATAAATGTAAGATAGAAAGTATAATGTAAAAGACTAAATTTGTTTTACTTTTTTAAAGAATGTTAAAAAATATATTAAAGTAATAATTAAGAATAGTTTGAAAAAATAAAAATAATTTTATTATATAGTGGGACTACCGTTACTAAATAACCAAAGACGAGTTTTTGGACAAATAAAAATTGAAAAATAAAATCACTCTTTTGAGACGAAATGAATACTATTTTTAATATATTCATATTCTAAATTTTATACTTCATGCGTTCCGTGTTCGTTATTTGAATAGTAAAAATTTTGAATTTGAATAGTTATATGATGTATTGATGTGATGTTTTGAATGTAAAATTAATTTTTAGTATAATATAAAAAATAAAAAATAAGTATTTAATTTGATATTTTTAAAAAAAAATAAAATAAATAATATATTTAAAATCTAATCTCCCAAACAAACATACCTGTAATGTACTCAATTTGGGTCTTGTAACATATTAATAAATAATACTCTCTCCGTTTTGTTTTAATAGATAGTTTTTCCATTTTTTCTTTCCTATATCAATTGACATTTTGCATTTTGTATAAATTTTATTAAATAAAAATATTTTAATAATAAAAATTAATTTAACTAACTATCTAATATATAACATCATATCATACCACTCAAAATCCTATATTTATATATCTCTTAAATAAACAAATATTTTTATCTAAATTTTTTAAACTTCACTTTTTTTTTTATAAAATTAGTTTATGTTAATTATAATTAAATAAGTAGATTTTTTTATTGAAATATAATTTTTAAATTATTTAAATATATATTCTAATTTTTTAATCATATATATTAAATTTATTTTAAAATTACCAATATTATTGATTACATTAAAAAAATAAAATAATATCATAACTCATTGTTATTAACTAATTAAATATCATTATCTTAAATAGTGTGTCACTTATCAAAGGTTCAACTCAACCTGCACAAGGAAGTAATGTCTTTGTTAGTAGAAATGTGTGAGACGTTTATATTTTTGCTTATAATTATTTTTTAGCACGACAGACAGACGGAAATAGTGAAAATAATATTTAAGTTGAATGGAAAACATAATTTTTATTATGTAATAATATTTAATTTAATTAACAATTTAATACACCAATAATTTTACTATTTCAATTTGACCGCCTATTTAAATTATTGGTGTATACTATTTCAAATTCAAATTAATTTTTTTATATCCCTATATTTGATCGCCTTTTTAATTTGTGTCCCTGTAAAATTAATTTCATAAAAGAAAAATGTCTCTCTATTTTACTAATCGGCGCAAAATCCAGTTTAAATGTCAATTAGACGAAAATTAAGGATAATTACAGAACGTCGTTGACGGGAGTAATCACATGCTACCCACGTGACTGTTGATAATCCTGAACCGGTTCGCCTTAGACCCGGTTCTCCATCGACCCGGTTCGGTTTAAACACGGTTTGGCTTAGACCGGTTCACCCGTTCCATATTTTCCCCAAATCGATCCCCCTTTCCCATTCTTATATCCAGTTGCGAAACCCTAGCTCTCATGGATCATCGCCATCCTTAATCGAGTTGGATTGAAGGCGGAGTTCACGATTTCGTTCTTCCAATTCTATCAGGATTTCGGCGAGAATGAGCTCGTTGTTTTTATCCGAACCATTTTCTCAAGAAATCCACGGATTTTAGAGTCCCCAACCGAGGATATTCCAAAGTCGTTGTGTAGATATGGATATGAGCTGCCATTGCTTACCTCGTGGAGCACAACCAATCCGGGTAGGAGATACAGAGCTTGCTTCAACTATCCGGTAATTTCATTTGTGTTTTCTTTTTTTTGAAAAAAAAAATTATTATAATTTTTGTTCTTCACTCTTGAAATCTTCTTTGATTCTGTGCACGAGTAAGTACCCTATTTGATGGGTTTTAATTTTGTAGAAAGGTGAAAATTATTGTGGTATATTTGAATGGTGGAATGAGGAACCCACTGATAGATATAAGAAAGTGATCAATATATTGGTAGTCTAAAATTCAATGGTTCGACAATATTTAGAAACAAAAGAACGTTATCAACGTGGACGACGATGGTGTTGAAGTTGAAGTGCAAGAAAATCAATAGATGAAAAAGCTAAATATATTAGAGAAAGAAATTAAAAGAATGAAATGCCAAAAGAACAAACCTCAGTCGGTGCACGTTGGCTATGTTAAAGAGCATATCAGTTTAATATTACTTAATGTGGGGGTTATTGTGCTCATTTTTCTAGTGTGTGGGTTTATGGCAATAGTCAACACCACCTCACTTTCCAAATTGACTATTCCCAAAGGGTAATATCAGTGATAATGTGTTGTATATTCCAGGTGTTGGATTGTTGTTATTATTGAAACTGTAGTGTTGGTGTATTGTGTTGTTGTAATATTTGTTGCTTGAAATTTAATTGTGGGAAGGGCCGTTGCAAGTTAAGTGTATTGAATTGAAATGTTCTAGTATGTGAACTTTGGCTTTGCTTATTACTGTTTGAAGAAATGTTGTAGTAGTACTATATTTATTTTTTTATGTTTGATTATGTTCAATTTGTTTGTATGGAATATGATTAGCCAATTGGAGCAACTTGTGTATAAATGCAGCTCATGTATAAATGAAGTCATGCAAGCATGTAATTTGTGTATGATTGAACAGGTTTTGTGTTATTGAATAACTTGTATATAAAGGAACCAATACTTGATGTCAGTGTTTGCAATGATACAATTTGTGTATTAATGAATCTATGTAAAAATGTAAATAAGTAGTCACAATTAGACAACAATTGATAAACTGGATCCCAAAAAAAAATTAAAACTTACTTTAAAAATATTTTGTTGTATGTTGTAAATATGCACGTCATTGTGCAAATTTTATACATACAAAAGAGTTAAAAACATTTCAAATAGTCCTATTTGAATAAAATAAATAAATAAATAAATAATTGATCAATTTTTCATTTCGTATTTTTTTTTAAAAGAAATTAGATAATATATTTTAATGGATTGTCTTACTTTAAAAAATATTTTATTGTATGTTGTAAATATGTACATCATTGTGCAAATTTTATACATACAGAAGAGTTAAAAACATTTCAAATAGTCCTATTTGAATAAAATAAATAAATAAATAAATAATTGATCAATTCTTCATTTCATAATTTTTTAAAAAGAAATTAAATAATGTATTTTGGTATTAATACATTATTATTTTTACTAATATATTATTATAATATATTATAATGGATGCTCTTACTTTAAAAACATTTTGTTGTATGTTGTAAATATGCACGCCATTGTGTAAATTTTATACATACAAAAGAGTTAAAAACATTTCAAATAGTCCTATTTGAATAAAATAAATAAATAATTGATCAATTCTTCATTTCGTATTTTTTTTAAAAAAAGAATAGATAATATATTTTGGTATTAATGCATTATTATTTTTACTAAAATAGAAAAATAATATTTAGTAGAACAAACCAAAATAGTAGTAGTATTTTGACTTGAAACAGGAGGAATATAAAATATGAACCAACAACACATGTTTGTAACGTACGACTTATAAAGAAAATAACACATATTAACATAATATATAAAATATATTTTCATTGCATATTATATTATTACATGTAATACAATATATTTTAATTTGAGTACAATAAACACACAACACAACACAATATATACAGAAATAACAAATATTAATACAACATATAACATGAAATATTATGATTGTGTTCTTTTATGGATTTTAACACATATTTTTACTATTCAAATTCTTTTTATTCCTCCAAGAATATCATAACAAACAATTACTTTTTTTTAATATTATACCATAAATTTATTTTACATTTAAAATATCACATCAATATATACTTATATCACATCAACCAACTATTTAAATTCAATTTTTAATATTCAAAAATCCAAACCCACAAACAAACACACTCTATATAATTCTATATACCACAATACATAATGATCTCAACATAATATATAACCAAGCATGTGTCTTTATAATAAAATGTTAAAATTGTTTCAAATTAATATATTAAATTGATCATGTTATATAATAAAATAATATATTAAATGGGTAAATATATAAATATATATATACACGTCTATATGTATTATGCAATAATATTAGTATATATATATATGTGTAAGTATACATAAATGGATGAATTTTATTCATACAAGCCATATATATATATGTAAAGGGAGAAATGATTGTGAGGTTAGAAAATTAACCAACAAGGCAGCCATACATTATACAATACTTCTCCTTGGAAGCCTTTATACAAAGAATGTGTCTCATTAAAATTAAAATCTTACTATGAAAAAATCCTGTGGGAAAAAATCATAGTGAAGGAAAAAGAATACATCATTCTTGTATTAATGCGCTCCCCCTGTTTTGAATTTTATTTGATGTCTTTCATCCGACGCATTCTAATTCATTGAACCAGTTTGTTGAATGTTGCAGTCAGTAGCGCCTTCGTAAACAAGTCTGCAAAATTTTCAGACGATCGAATTTATTGCACATTATCTTCAAATAATATTGTAGGAGGTAATACACCATCAAAAATCAAGCCACAATTTTTCTAAATATGGTGAATCATAGACCTCAACCAAACGCATTCACGACTGGCTTCGTGAATTGCTAAAACCTCACCATGGTTTGAAGAAGTAGCTGTTATCGTCTGTTTAGCATATCTCCAAGAGATTGCGGTTCCGCCACAAGTAAATAAATAGCCAGTTTGAGATTTTGCTTTGTGTGGATCAGACAAATAACCAGCATCAGCATAACCAATTAATTCATTTTGAGATTCACTCGAATAAAATAAACCGATGTCATGAGTCCCCTGAAGGTAACGAAAAATGTGCTTGATACCATTCCAATGGCGCTTTATGGGGATGCGCTAAACCTGGCCAGTAGATTTACTGAAAAAAATATATTTGGCATGGTACAATTTACAAGGTACATTAATGCGCCAATAGCGCTGAGATATGGTACATCGGGGTCAAGTATTTCTTCATTTTCTTCTTTTGGCCTAAATGGATCTTTATTGGGATCAAGGGATCTGACCACCATTGGTGTACTCAGAGAGTGAAATTTATTCATATAGAATTGTTTTAATACCTTTTGGGTATATGTGGATTGATGGATAAATATTCCGTTATTAACATGATCCACTTATAATCCCAGACAATATTTTGTCTTTCCAAAATTTTTGATTTCAAATTCTTTCTTTATATTTAACTGCAATTTGGATCTCTTCAGGAGTTCCAATTAAATTGAGATCATCAACATATATTGCAATAATAACAAAATTTGATCCATTTTTTTTTATAAAGACCCATGGGCATATTGGATCATTAGTATAAGCTTCTTTTATTAAACAATCACTGAGATGGTTATACCATATTCGCCCTGATTGTTTAAGTTTATATAATGACTTTTTCAATTTGATGGACTATGATTCCTTTGAATTTATTTTGTATGCTTCAGACATATTGAATCCCTCGAGAACTTTCATATAAATATCGGTATCCAATGAGCCATAAAGATGTGCAGTAACTACGTCTAAAAGACGCATATCGAGTTTTTCTCGCACTGCTAGGCTCACAAGGTATCTAAATGTTATTCCATCAACAACTGAAGAGTATGTTTCATCAAAATCTACTCCAGGCCTTTGTGAGAATCTCTGAGCTACAAGACGGGCTTTATATCTCACAATTTCATTATGTTCATTTCTTTTCCGTACAAACACCCATTTGTCCAACTGGTTTTATACCATCTGGTGTTTGAACAATTGGTCTGAATACATCTCTTTTGTTCAAAGAGTCAAGCTCTGATTGAATCGCATGTTCTCATTTTGGCCAGTCATTTCTTTGCCGACATTCATGAACTGATTTTGGCTCAGGATCCTCGTTTTCTTCCATTATATCAAGTGTTAAACTGTATGCGAAGGCATTATCAATAATTGCCTCTTTACGGTTCCAACATTTTCTTGAAGTAACATAGTTAATTGACTTTTCTATGATCTCATCATATTATTCAAGATCGTGCTCTTATGAAGCAATTATTTCAGGGTTGACTTCCTCATTAGATTGAAGTTTATCAATGTCATTTCTGATATTTTCATGATTATCATCATTAATTCCTCTTTTCTTTCGAGGATGTTTGTCTTTGGAACCAAGTAGTCTACCGTGCTTTAAGCGTATCGCTGATTCGTTAGCACTTGCAATTTATCCATCGAGGACAATTATTTTAGCCAGAGCATTAGCAGCTTGAATATATGATCGAGTGACTTTGCTCGAGTCATTTAATGTATCCGGTAACTGATTTGCAATATTCTGCAAATGTATAATGCGTTGAACTTCTAGTTCACACTACTTTGTACGAAGATCATTAAAACTCAATGGGATTTTCCAATTAATATCCCTTTTCGGTTCATTTCGATCTCCCCCTAATGTCGGAAAATATGATTCTTCAAAATGACAATCTGCAAATCTTGCAGTGAATAAATCACCCGTCATAGGTTCAAGATATTTTATAATTGATGGTGATTCATATCCGACATAAATGCTCAATCTACGTTGATGACCCATTTTTGTACGTTTGGGGGTAGAATAGGAACAAAAACAGCACACCAAAAAATACGTAGATGAAATATATTTGGTTAATGACCAAATACTAACTGCATTGGGGAATAGCTATGATAGTTTGTCGGCATCATTCTTATAAGTGTTCCTGCATGTAAGATTGCATGCCCCCAAGCTGAAACGGGTAATATAGACCTCATCAGTAATGGTCTAGAAATCAATTGCAATTTTATAGTAAGTGATTTTGTCAGACCATTTTGTGTATGGACACGAGCAACTGTGTGTTCTATATTAATTCCAATCGAAATGTAATAATCATCAAATGCATTCGATGTATATTCACCAGCATTATCCAGACGTATAGTCTTAATTGGATTATCGGGGAATTGTGCCTGTAATTTAATAATTTGGGCAAACAATCTCGTAAATGTCATATTGCGGGTAGATAATAAACAGACATGTGAACATCTTATAGATGCATCAATAAGCACCATAAAGTATTTAAATGGCCCACATGGTGGGTCTATTAGTTCACATATATCACTGTGTATTCTTTCCAAAAATGTAGGTGATTCAACACCTACTTTAGCTGGCAATGTTCTGGTTATCAATTTTCCTTGAGTGCAGGCAACACAGGTTAACTCATATAACTATTTGAGTTTAACATTTTTTGATATTTTAATAAATGGTCATGCAAATTCTCAATTATTCGTCTCATCATTATACTGTCAGAATGCCCAAAGCGATCATGCCATATTTGAAAATCGATAGTCTTTTGATCTACCGTGAGGTGTATTTCAACAACACCTAATTTGACATAATATAAACATAGTATATTAAATGGGTATGTATATATATATATACACGGCTATATGTATTATGCAATAATATTAGTATATGTACTTGTAAGAATACATAAGAGAGCAAACAGAGAGAATAAAAAATGGATGAATTTTATTCATTCAAGCCATAAATATATATATAGGTACAGGGAGAAATGATTGTGAAAGTTAGAAATTAACCAACGGCCACATATTATCAACGTCATTGCATTGTGCAACAGTTCGTATACAGATCATATATTATTTGTCTTACTAAAATACATTCATTCATTCCCCATTGCCATAAGCACAAATCCTATAACAAAAGCCCAAGTTTAGCCAAACCACCTTAACCTTAACCTCGACATTATTACCATTAAAAAACCAATACAAGTAAAAACTAGCCATTCCCATAGAACACGATAAAAACCAAAACATAACAACCAAACAAACTACAAATAACTCATATCATGATATCACCCGTAAGTAAAGTAAAGTAACTAAAAAGAACAAGACAAACTATCTTTCTTACCTTTTACCACTTCGTCCTCCCGTCGCCCTCCGTTATCACATCCTTAAACGCCCCACCGCTCGGGATCATCGGCAAAACGTGTTCTTGATGCGGCACGATCACGTCCAACAAGTACGGCCCGGGAGTCTCCAGCATCGTCTGTATCGCCGCCCTCAGATCCTCCTTCCTCGTCACCCGTGCTGCCGGAACGCCGCAGGCGTCGGCAAATTTCAGCATATTCGGGAATATGTCCGCGTCGTTCGCCGGGTTTCCGAGATACGTGTGCGCCCGGTTCGACTTGTAGAATCGATCCTCCCATTGCACCACCATTCCCAAATGCTGGTTGTTCAGCAGCATGATCTTCACCGGAAGATTCTCGACGCGGATCGTTGCGAGTTCCTGCACGTTCATTATGAAGCTGCCGTCGCCGTCAATGTCAACGACGACCGAATCGGGCCTGGCGACGGCGGCTCCAATCGCGGCAGGGAGCCCGAAGCCCATCGCGCCTAATCCGCCGGACGTCAGCCATTGCCGGGGTTTGTTGTACTTGTAGAACTGAGCTGCCCACATCTGATGCTGCCCGACTCCCGTGCTGATGATCGCATTTCCTCCTGTAAGTTCGTCGAGCGTTTGGATTGCATACTGCGGAGGAATCGCGTCGTCAAACGTCTTGAACGTTAACGGGAACTTAGTTTTCTGCTCATTCAGCTCTTGCCTCCACGCCGAAAAGTCGAGCTTGATCTTACCCCCTTTCGATCGATCTTCAAGAATCGAATTCAAACCCTCTAAAGCTAATCTAATGTCGGCGCAAATCGAAACATGTGGCTGCTTGTTCTTCCCGATTTCAGCCGAATCGATATCAATGTGCACAATCTTCGCTCGGCTCGCGAACGCCTCCAACTTGCCGGTGACACGATCGTCGAACCTGACGCCAAATGCTAGCAACAAATCACTCTTATCCACAGCGTAATTCGCGTAAACTGTCCCGTGCATTCCCAACATTTGTAATGCGTGTTCTTCGTCTGATCCAGGATAACATCCCAACCCCATCAATGTGCTTGCAACGGGGACACCAGTTAGCTCGACGAACTTCCTCAATTCATTGCTTGAATTCAAACAACCGCCGCCGACGTAGAGGACCGGCCGTTTCGATTCCGATAAGAACCTCAGAATCTGTTCTAACGCTGCCTCCGGCGGCGGCCTAGGCAATCTAGACAAGTAGCCGTTTAATCTCATAGGTTGGTTCCAATTAGGAACCACCATTTGTTGCTGAATATCCTTAGGAACATCGATCAAAACAGGGCCAGGGCGACCAGATCGTGCAATGTAGAATGCTTCTTTAACAATTCGAGGAATATCATCGACATCCATTACGAGATAATTGTGCTTTGTGATAGACCTTGTTACCTCAACAATTGGAGTTTCCTGGAAGGCGTCCGTACCGATCATGCGGCGGGGGACCTGGCCGGTGATGGCGACGAGCGGTACGCTGTCGAGGAGGGCGTCGGCGAGGCCGGAGACCAAATTGGTGGCGCCGGGGCCAGATGTGGCGATACAGACGCCGGGGCGACCGGTTGCGCGGGCGTAACCCTCGGCGGCGAAGACGCCGCCCTGCTCGTGGCGGGGGAGGACGTTACGGATGGTTTTGGAGCGAGTTAGGGCTTGGTGGATCTCCATCGACGCGCCGCCGGGGTAGGCGAAGACGTCGGTTACGCCTTCGCGCTCGAGAGCCTCGACTAAAACGTCGGAGCCTTTTCGAGGCTCGTCGTCGGCGAATCGGGAGAGGAACGCCTCCTCCTGGCGGAGGTTTTTGCCCGGAGAAGAGAGAACATTTGAAATCTGGAGCGGTCGCCGGCGAGGGATTGAGGCGGCGGCGGAGGACCTTTCTGGATTGCGAGAGAAAGTGATGGTGTATCTGGAGAGAAACTTCGGCTGATTTGAGGAAGTAGATCGTCTGAATACGATTGAGGACGTCGGCGCTGAAGAAGCGGCCGCCATAGTGACGGTGGATGGAGACGGTCGACGGCGGCGAAAGTGGCGGCGTTGTTAGGGTTCTCTGACGAAGTAAAGGGAGGCACGGCTATTTCCGAAGGCTACACTTTATTCAGCGGGTAGAGAGAGTGATATGAAATGTCGGAAATGCCCTTCCCCTGTTTTGTGGTAGAGAGGAGCTTGTACTTATCATTCGCCTCGTTATTTCAAAGATATGACAGCTGCCAAAATATATATATAAAAAATACACATTTATAATGGGATGTGACTTGTCTCATTTTTAAAATTTTTAGCAAATGTTAGTAAAAAAGACATCGATTAAAAAAAAAATACAGATCTAGATGTGTTCTCCTTTATAAGATTTTATTAAAAATTTACTACCTCCTCCAACAAAAATAGTTTTATTAGAAGATGATATAAAATTAAGAAATAATAATATTTAATTAAAAGTTAGTATAAAATAAAAATTTAAAATATTTTATATTTTAAATAATTTTAAAAATATATTAAAATAATAATTATGAGTAATTTAAAAAAAAATAATCTTGTTATAAAATGGGGACCACAATTATTAAATACGAAAACTAAGATAAGTGTTTTGAGGACGGACGAAAATAAAAAATAAAAAAAAAAAAAAAAAAAAGATAATTCTATTGGGACGGAAGGAATACTATTTATAAAAAAAAATTGACCAAAATCAAATTAAACAATTATTTTTTTATTTAAATACTATATTAAAACTTAATTTTACATTCAAAATATTACATCAACATCTATTTATATAGTATCCAAATTCAAAATTTTTATTATTAAATACAATATCAAAAGCTAAACTCTCAAACAAACACACAAAATTTGGTTTATTTTTCCATCCCCAAAAAAAAATCAACGAAAACATCATTGTGTTTGATTTTGGATTTTAGTCCGAAATAATAAAATTTTAAATTAAAATAGTTATTTGATACTATATAAATATATATTGATATAATATTTTAAGCTTAAAATTAAATTTTACTGTAATATAATAAATAAAAATAAATTTTAAAATTTGATATTTTTTAGATAAAGAAATTTTTTGGAATAATAAAACTATCCCTAAGATTTTTAAACAATAAAAGAATACAACCTTTATAAAATTTATCCAAAGTCTCGTCTGTTACACATAGAGCTCTAAATAAAGCGAATCGAGCCAAACTTGTTATGTTTGAGTTTGACTAGTTAAGAACTCGAATTCGGCTCGTATTCGTTTGATAAAAGATACAAACTGAAATTTTTGTTTGAGTTCGGCTCATTTAACAATTTTTTTTTTATTTGTGGTTAAAAAATATATATTTTTTATTTATTTTATCTTTTAAAAAAATAAATTAAATATATTATATTTATAAAAATATATTTACTTATTAAATATAAAATTATTAAATCAATTTTTTAATAAATATTATTAAATGTTCGTGAACAAACTCGAGCTCGTTCGTGAACCTATCGAGCTAAAATTTATGTTTGTATTCGACTCATTTAGCTTAACGAACGAGCTATTAGACCATCTGCAATGAAGATACTCGCTTTTGGGTATCTCCATTACTTTTTATTATCCACATCACTTTATCTCTCTTCCACGTGACATGTTCTCTTCTAATTTATATTAGCAACAAAGATATTCATCTTAATTTTTTAATAAATTTTTATTTTCATATTATATATATATATTATATTTTAATTATAGTTTTAATTTTTAGTATAAATTATTTATTTAATTATATTTTATTTAATAAATAAAATTAAATTAAATTTATTAATATCGATTTGTTCAATATAATTATATAATATTTGTATTTATATATTTTAAAATTTAAATTAATAAAATATATTTAATATTTGTATCATTTTGTAGAATACAAAATATTATGAATTATAAAAATATTATAAAATTTAAATATAAATTACAAAAACAAAACATATATAATATATATCATATATATTATACATATATATATATACATAAGTGTCATATATTCCAATTAAATTGAGACACATGGCAATTGGATAACATCTCCTAGCATCTCTGCAGCAGAGATGCTGTGAGGCAAAATATCTCTCAATTTTATTTTTTATTTTTTTAAAAAATAGTGATGTGAGGAGATACACCTGATGCGAATGGTCTTAGCTAGCTCAGAGAAGCTGAACTGAACTAAATTTGCTAACTGATTGTTTATTTTCCGACTCTAAATTTGCATATTATTAGCATATGTGAATTACTTTGCCGATCTAAGTTAGATTCGATTACTGTCACATTTTATCACATTACAAAAAAGTTTGTGTAACATAATTTTCTTTTAATCATTTATCATTTTTTTTCACTCAAAATTATTTATTTTTAATTATAATTAAAAAAATAATCATATTTAAATATCAAAATACTTAAAATATATATATATATATATATATCAAAACAATCTTAGTTTATAAATTAATATGAATAATATAAAAATGTGTTTAGTTTATATTTTAAGCTCTAGCCATTATTATTCTCAATAGGAATATTGTAATTTTTTTAAAAAAATATTATTTAAATTAAAATTATGATATAAATCCCCCTAAATTTTAGGGTTTATTTAATAAAATCAAACCCACAGTTTAATCTATTTTAAAAATAGCGAATAAATTCAAGCCTACTCTACCCCAACCCACCCAACCTCCACCCACCAACAACTACCAACTCCGGCGGACGCTAGATCGGCGGCAATTTTAACATCGCTGTTGTTCTAAAACTCTATATATTGCTACATTGGGGTTAGGTCTCTACCAAACTGTTTCAAACAATCACAACTGCTTGCTCATTTGGTTTCCACTCAGTTAGCGTTCTCATTAACCATGGTGAGTGCTTCTTCACGATAATATATATCATGACTCATTATCATGAAATGAATCGTTATTGTTCCTTCTCTTTTTTTTATTTTTTTTATTTTGTGCAATTTGATGCTTGGATTGCTTTTGTTTCGAATTTGGAAGTATTCCGTAAATGTATCGGCAATGGATTTCGTTTCGCGCGGTGCCTGGTTGTAGATCTGCGCTGAGTTCTCTCTCTTTTGGTTTGCGTTTTGGATAGGTTTCTATATTTTTCGCAGAATCGGTGTCAATTGGATTTAGATTGATTACTTACGGATGAAAATGCTTGCGGTGATGAATTAATACATCGTCTGGTTGGAAGGGAAGGGTTGAATTTTGATAAATGGCATATGAATTATGTTTTTTGATATGAATGTCCAGAGAATAGTAAGCTGAACTTCATATTTGATAAAGAGGCTATGTGCAACTTCGAATCTTATGTTTCATTCCTCAAATTGATCTGAATTCTTACTCCAGTCCAAATTTTCAGAGAAGTTGTATGATTTCTCATTTTCACCAACACAATGTGCTAGAACAATAACTCCATTTTTTTAGCACTTCGATAACTCATAACATATATGATCTATAGTTGTCAATAGCTCTATAGGCGGCAATAGCGGCGTGGCTTAGCGGCAGAGAGGTCTGTAGCGGCAGTCTGCTATGCTACGCTGCTATTGTAGCTCGTCGGGTTGTGAGAGAAATTGGATTATTTTCGAACATATAAGTAATTGAAATCTAACTTTAATTTATAAAAATGTACTTTTTATTTTTATTATAATATAGATGGAAAAGAAATTAACATTTATCTTAGATTTTAATTAATTGTTAGATTCGTTTCAAGAAAAGAAACATATCATATAGCCAAACGTTGCAAGATTTGGTTTATATCAAGTATAACCAAATTTGTTAGATGGTTATGATAGCAATGATGTGATTGGTCCTATTGTTTTGAACGATATTGATGATTCCAATTAGTGGTTAATTGGAGAAGTTGATAAAAACAACTTGTCGAGGATGAGTTAATCTTTGACAATGATAATTTGACTTGAGAGTTTTTGTTGATTTACTGAAGCTAACGAGCATGCTTTCTACACTAGGATGTAAACATCAATGAGAAATAAAGCTATAGGTATTTCTAGCTCTAGAAAGGCAAATAATATTGTGCAAGATGACGAACATACAATAGTATAGATGGATGATAATGAAGATGAGGAAGAATATATAGACAACAATAACACAAAAATGAAGAAGAACATTCTTTGTCAGATTTTGAATCTGAATAGCTTTGATATATATCTATCAAATAATAGTAATCTAATTGTTTTTGCTTATATAACTATCTAGCAATTATGATCATAGCTTTTTTGTTGACCTTTTATTGATTTGAATGATAATTATGAAATTAATTTATAGATTTTTCTTATGATACGATCATTGCTGAATGCTGATGGCTAGTTAGATAGATCTGAGAGTGTGTATTGTTATTAATCTACCGATTCATCTCTATTTTGTGCATTTTCTAGACAACCTCAAAGCGATTGGCTGATAGGAAGGTGATGAAGTTTGAGAAGAACATAAGCAAGAGAGGTTCGGGAATTGAACCAACTAAAAAGAAAGGCAACTCATATCCTGTTGGACCTATTGTGCTCGGATTCTTCATCTTTGTCATTATTGGATCTTGTGAGTTCGATTCTAGTTTCTTATTTACAATTTCCCTAGCTAGAATCATAGTATAATGTGAAATTCGATTTTTCTGTCATAATCTTTTATTTGCTAATTTAGAATTTCCCTACCTATAATCATAGTACAATGTGAAATTCAATTTTTCCGTCATAATCTTCTATTCGATAATTTCCTATTTAGAATTTCCCTAACTATAACCATTGTACAAAGTGCAATTCAATATTGCTGTCATAATCTTTTATTTGTTACCTTGTGCATGTTTATCATCTTTACATCTGCCATGAATTGTTGCAAAAGACTTCTATTTTTAAAGAATCTTTGTGTGTATATGTATATGTTCATACTCGCCCTAAATTATGGACAGTTTACCTTTAAATTCACACTCACATTACACACACACACACATATATAAATTTCTGGATTGAGAAGAGATCGATGTTAAAAACTTTAAAAAATTCTGTTGATTGACTTCCGGGGTTGAAGTTCAACTCCTGCTTGCAAGAACTGATGATCTTTAACAACTACCACTTGTTGTAATTCCCCTAAAATGTTTCTCCTGACATTTTTCGTCGTTCTTGTTATGATCTTGCCAGCATTGTTCCAGATTATCCGCACTGCAACAAGCGGAGGAATGTCCTGATTGATGCAGGTAAGTTACTCCTCGTCGCTTAAAAATGGTGTAAAATAGGTTCTTTCATGAGCTGTTGGTATGCCCTTTTGAACTGGAAGTAACAAATTTCGTCGTCAACGACTCAATGGCAGCTATGAATACTTAGACAGCACTTTTAAGAAATATACATGTTCTCTGATTTGATGATCCCTTCATTCTCTGCATATTTGGATGAACAATGTTTCAGACTTGACAAGAATTGATCTTTTATGTGAATCATATACTGTTATTGATTAGGATATTTGATTTTATGAACATATTTGTTTTGATTGGATCAGATCAGATCATTCTTTGTTTTATCTATTTAATTAGATCATGAATATATGAGTAACTTTATTGATAGAGTTATGTATGTTTGTTTGGGCGTTTGGATTTTGAGTTAGAATTTGAATAGTAAAATGGAATAGTCATAGGATGTGATATAAATAATTATTAATATGATGTTTTGAATGTAAATTTGATTTTTAGTATAATATAAAAAATAAAAAAGAGGTGTTTGATTAGATATTTTTTTGGGGGGAAATTTGATAAATAGTACTATCTCCATCCGGCTTTAAAGTCTCGTTTACATTTTGCGTGTTGATATTTTAATATTAATTATTATATCAAAACGTAGTACAAATTAAGAAAAAATTGCAAAAATACTTCTATTAGTGTCTTATAATACTAATAGAAGGAAATTTTGTACCAAAAATTATATAAATATAAGGATTTTTTTAATGTCAAATACAATGACGCAAAAAAATAAATGTGAGCGAGAGTAGACTTTTGGGAAAATCCCATGAAAGAACACACTTGTGTCATTGATTTTATTGCAAGTTTCTTGAGGTCTCGTTTGGTGCGATGAATTTGGATTTGAGGGTTGATTTTAAATGGATTGATTTGAATTTCTTAGATCTTAAATACTACTCCCTTCGTCCAATTTTATTGCCCTAAAGTATATTTGCATAAATTTGTCCTTAATTATTTTTTAGATCATTGTGTTTTTGTTATGATTGGACAAATTTGTCCTTAATTGTATGGTAGAGATTAAAAATAATAAATGAATTAAGGTTAAAAATGTAAAATTTGTGTTTAAAAAATAAAATAGGACCATGGTTGTTGGACGTCCCAAATAGAAAAGTAGAACATTAGTTTACGAACGGAGAGAGTACTTTGTAATCACTAGTCATTGTTTGATTTATGAAAGTATTTGAAATAATATTGTAATGAGTATTTGAACTATGAAAAGAGATTAATTTGAAATTTACAACTAATTTTGGAGATTTGAAATTTAATTGTATTGCCAAACAAAATTATAAATTTCTTTAATCCAAATTCTCCCACAATTGTGCTGAAATTGTAGTGAATACATTGTGTAAACTTCTAGTCAAACCGAGTAATTTGCAAACTAAGCCGGCAAAAAAAAATCACATTAGCTGAATCATGTGCGACGGACAAAGATTAAGTGACGTTAATGGGACTTTTATTAAGCAAATGATTGATTTTTTCGTTTGTTTTGGTCAGTATATCATTTATAGATAAAGGGTTTTGTTGGGTTATATGTTAAGATTATGGTCGAATATTCAATTTTATTGTTTGGGATTGAGATACTATTTAATTAATATTATATTTATATTTTTTATAAGGGTAGAATTTGGGATTTTATAGGATTAATTTTGTAAATTTTGAATTAAAGTAAAATATATAAGTCTATCAATGATATTTATATAAATAGATAAAATAAAAAAAAAAAAAAGTAAGTATAAATTTAAAAAATAATTGTATCTTTATTACTCCTCTATTCCAACTAAAGTTGGTGTTTACGAAAATTTACATAGGGTGTGTTTGTTTGAGGGTTTGGATTTTGGGTTGGGATTTGAATAGTAAAAATTTTGAATTTGAATAGTTGTATGATGTGATATAAATAAGAATTGATGTGATGTTTTGAATGTAAAATTGATTTTTAGGATAATATAAAAAATGAAAAATAAATGTTTGATTTGATATTTTTGGAGGGAAAATTTTCTGGGAATAGTAGAAATCCTACAAAATCTCCCAAACAAACATACCCATAGTAAATCGCGGAGTGAGCACTATATATAATATGAACGTACTTTTGGTACACATAATAAATACTCCCTCCCTCCGTCCCAGATACTTACACCGTAGACACAACATTTTAGGAGGGTTGTAATTAGTAGACAATTAAAAATATATTAGTAAAAATAATTATTTTATAATATAAATAATTATAAATTAAGATTAAGATAACTAATTAGTTTAATTAAAATTAAAGAAAAAAATTTAAAAATTTAAAATGAGATTAAAGTGTGTAATTATTTTTTAAAAAAAGAAAATGACATGGTATGTGGGACGGATAGAAATGGCAACGTGGACATGATATCTGGGACGGAGGATGTAATAAAATGAGCGCACTTTAGCATGTATTTAAAATGTATATCAATATAGTTTTATAATATATTGAACACTAATACCATTTTACATAAAATAATTAATATATAATACACTTTTTGTCAGAAATTTATATATTTATTTTATTATTTTAATCTATTTGAAATCAATCTATATTTTTTTATTTTTTATATTATTATTATATATATATATTAATTATGGTTGTATTTAATTTAACTTTGAACTACTAATCATCAATTACATAAATTAATTATCTTTATATCTAATCAAACTTATAAATATTAACCATCAGTTATATAAATTAGTATGGTTGCATTCAATCCAAATTTCAACTACTAATCATCAGTATACAGATTTAAGTTACTACACTAAAATATAAAAGAAAATTACAAATCTATGAAAGCAACTAATAATCTCAAATTCTATGAATCTTAAATTTTTTTTTTAGAACTTTTTATGCAATTTTTTTATTCTTAATATTTTCTAAGAAATATTAAATTAAATATTTATTTTTATATTATAATAAACATAATTTTTATATTAAAATATTACATCATTAACTAATTATATTATATCAAATAATAATTTCAATTCAACTTTTTACTATTTAAAATTCAAAACTCACAAAAAAAAAAAAAAAAAACAATGTATCTTAAATCATTTTAATCTTTGAAATTCTAAACTAACTAATTTTATTATCTATATTAAAAACTGACCATTAGAGATTAATCCCAAATTCCACAAGTTCATTTAAAATCAATTTTCTTTACAAATTAATTAGACTACACTCCCTCCTTCAGTTCCTACCCATCTTAATTCAGTTTTCACTCCTAAATCGTTGGTTAAATTTCGTACGAAATCGAAAGTAAAATTTGATGTGTAAGAAACCAACAAAATCGATTGTATTCCCCAACTCCAACCGCACCCCAAATCGTTCATTAGATTTAGAGTCTTGTTATTCAACCATGGACAACATGCACGAAGCCGAGAAAATATAGCGACATATTGCGATGCGAGAAAGTGCGAATAAATAACGATATTTGACAGCTATTTCTTTTTTCATAGAAGTGGAGAAAATATAGTGACATATTGCAATGCGAGAAAGAGCGGAGAAACAACGATATTTTACGGCTATTTTTCTTTTTAACAGTCTTTCGTATATTGGTGGAGATATGAGATTTATCCGGTTGTGAGAATTACGTACGTATTTGCTTCCGAATATGATTTATTATGAATCATGACTTTAAATAATATTTTATACTATTAAATTATTAGTTTTTGTTAATAAATACTCTATCTGTCATTCAAATTTATTCTTATTTTTTTTATTGTCATCTAAATTTATTTCGGTTTATCTTTTTAGTAAAAAAAATACCTTTTTTTTTTACTTTTTTTTACCCGAAAAAGTAAAAATAAAATGAGCACACAATTGGATGACGGATGAAGTATAATATATATTATATATTGTATAAATTATTCTCTCTCCGTTAGCAAAAATTAGAACATTTGGGTAAGATTAAAAAAATGAGTATTCTATTGAAAATGTGATAAAAATAAAAAGATAGTTGAGGGTATTTTTATAAGTAGTAAATAGAGGATAATAGTTAAATATTAATTTGTTAACGTTGCCAAAATTAGTAATTTAATAAATTTAAAGCATAGACTAAAAAGTAAAGTGAGAGTAAATTTGACAGACAAAGAAAGTATTATATTTTTTTTAATAATATTAATCGAAAAACATATTGAAATACTCCCTCCGTCTCAAAACAATAGTTCAATTTTGTCATTTTCGTCCGTTCCAAAACAATAGTTCAATTTTCATTTTTGATAACTACTCATATTTTTACAAAACTATTTCCACTTTTTTTCACAATAATTTCATAAAATAAGGATATTTTGATATTTTTAAAATATTTTTACATCAACCATTAATATAATATTATTATTCTTTAATTTACATATCAATTTCAAATGTGCATATTATTTTGGGACACAATGAGTAAAATACATTCATAATTTTTAAAATATATTTTAAATTTATTTAATTAAATCTATATTATACTATAATTAAACTTAAAACCAACAATGTCTAAATCCTAATATTAAAATCGAAGTTTAAATTATACCTTACAATTTACCTTCTAATTTGTCTTGCCATGCCATGACAAAAGAAGATGGGTAATTATGTAATTTCACATAGGGGTACTTAAGGAAATTCACATGCCGTCATCTTTGCTGACCTCGACCAATTATAATTACTCGTTAAATCCCCTCAATATCTTTCGACCCTATAAAAATCCCCAATTCTTGTAACCCTAATTTCCCAAATTCATTCTCGCACTCGAATCTCAGATCTAAGAAAGGAGAAGAAGAAGATCATCAGTATGGATGCTCTAGACACCGTTTTCGATCCGCTGAGGGACTTTGCCAAGGACAGCGTTCGCCTCGTCAAGCGATGCCACAAGCCCGATCGCAAAGGTACGGTGGATCGGGGAATTTGGGCGATTTGTGATGCTTGTAGAAATCGAACGATTGTTTGTTTAAATTTGATTTGATTTGGTTTGATTTGTTCTTGCAGAGTTCACGAAGGTGGCGACTAGGACGGCGATTGGATTTGTGGTTATGGGTTTCGTAGGGTTTTTCGTTAAGTTGATCTTCATTCCCATCAACAATATCATCGTCGGCGCGACTTGATTTTTACAGAGGTGTATTCTCGTTTCTTCTGATCCGATTATAACTTGTTTGTGGATTGGGTGATCCGTGCAACACTGGATTTAATTTTCTTTTGACTTAGTGCATGATGTTTGTGATTTTGTTTTACATATGTGTTTCTGGTTGGGGGTTTGGATTTTGGGTATGAGTTTTGACTAATAAAATATTTGAATTTGAGTAGTTAGTATGATTTTTTTAATATTATGTAAAAGATAAAAGTTTACGGTGATGTTTTTAGTTGTAAAAATACTGGTGAGGAAAAAATCAAACCAAACACAATTGAAGTATTTATCCATTTCAAGATCGATCGAAGCTCAAATGCGTGTTTGTTTGGATTTTGAATAGTAAAAATTTTGATTTGACGAAAATTGTATTATGTCATATAAATAGACGTGATATAAATAGTGGTTGATGTTGTTTGCTAAACTTAAAATTGGTTTTAATTATAATATATATATATATATATGAAAAGGTGTTTGATTTGATAATTTTGGATTGAAAAAATTTGATGGATAGTAAAAATCTTGAAAATTCCAATATTTACAAGACAAAATGAATACTGTAGTAATGTGTAGAAAAGTCTGTTAGGTTCCAGTTACTTCTACAAGATTTGGATAATTCTTTTAGCCTCTTCCGGGGACTTGGTGTTTCTTTGTGCTTATAGAACTTCTCTTTGTGTTCTTATCTGTATACATAAAAGGGTGCACTATATAGAGATCTGTTTCTGAAATTGAGTCACAGTAAGGAAGCCAAAGTTGTGCCGGTAAACAAGCTAGAGTATGTGTTGTTCTTTCAAGCTCGACTTGAACATGTTATCAGTGTAGGCTTGGCTCATTTAGGATTTGAGCCCAAATGATGGCTCGAGCTCTGCTTGCAACTAGCAAGGCTCGAGCTGTTCTAGTTTGAGTTTTTCTTTGTAAACTACCTATTTTCTTTGACATCTCAAATTTTGGATATGTTTTGAAAAGGTTTTGAAGATTGGGAAAATTTCGTGAATGGTAGAAGTTACAATTTATATATGTATATATTTAATGGGACTTAAATAAATAGTTTAACTAGGAAATAATTTTCTAACCTGTTTATAAAACTACAAGTACGTGATATTTTAGAGATTATTTTACTAATAGTGCCAAAACAAGATTGAAAGCTAATGTTTAGGAGTGTGATTGATTGTGGATTTGATTTTTTTGGTTTGGATTCTTGCGGATAGTAAAATTTTGAATTTAAATAATTGTTTTGTGTGATGTAAAAATATATTGATCTGATGTTTTGAATATAAAATTAATTTTTACTATAATATAAAAAATGAAAATTAATTGTTTGATTTTGTGAAAAATCCATGTACCTGTTGACCTTGCTAGTTAGTATCACTCTTATTTTTGATAGAAATTCCAAATAGCAATGTAGTGAACTAAATTAAAGATTATGCATAAATTTTCGAATGTTTTGTGAACAAACAAAACAATGCCCTCCCCTTTCGGGTCGGCTTTGCTAATAAGTAACTCTTGTTGGTTGACTAACGTTTGTAGATAAATAAATACGTATTTCTAACAGTTTAAGTTTTTAGATGAGTTCATCATTTACATCATCTAACAATTCTTTTTTTATTTTTATTTTTTCATTTTTAGGCCTTGCTTGGTCTCCGGTGGTGGTGGATAATCCGGATGCCGATTCGAAGATTAGTTTTAATCTTTAAAGACATTTTGTAGAATTCATACTCGACCTGTGCAATGATTATGACTTCCATCTTTATATTATGAATGAATTGTGATAAATATTTTTGAAGTTTCACTGTTTAATCGAGCATTGTGGTGATCACTTTTGTTGTTGGTTTTATTCTCGAAAGCTTAGTGGAATCCGTTAGGCTGACTAATTTACTGTTTTTTTTTTTCTTCTTAAAAAATATAGTAACAAATTAATTCGTCTTACAAATTTATTTTCACTTTTTTTTCAATTCTATAAAATATTTTTTATTTTATATTCAAAATGTTATATTTCTGGCTTACTACCCAATTATACACTTCTCTTTTTTTAAAAAAAAATTCAAGTGTTTGTGGTAGTTTGGTTTGGGTTGTAAATTATAATTTCAACTTTGAAAGAAATATTTCACTGTTCATAAGTAGGTATCGATATGAAATGAAAAATTTGGGGAAAAAAAATAGTAGTACTCTGTCTTGTTACAGTGTCTCATTTATAGTAGATACTAAAATTTAAAAATAATATAATTAATAAATAATTAAAAATATATTAATAAAAATAATTACGGAATAATTAAAATAATAAAAAAAATTAAAATTTTTTAAATTAGATTAAAATATATAAAAAAATTTTGAGAAAAAAAAAAATAATAGGACAAGCAGAAATAAAAAAGTGGACACAATAAGAATAAGTAGGGAGTGTGTATTTACTTTGTTATATTTTAGACATTTTGTATGAAAAATAACTTATTTTTATTGAAAAATATGAGTAATTCTTTTTTACTAAAATACTTTTATTATTAATTTTCTTTACTAAATTTATAATATCAAGTAAATGTATTCTATGTATTCATTTTTAATACAAGATTTTTATAATAAAAAGTTATATACAAAAATAAATTAATAATAAGTATTAACATTTTCTATTTTATCTTAATTTTAACAAATTCAAATATTTTACAATAAAATAATTCACATAAAAAGATTAATTACTTTAACTTTATAAAAGAAAACTCAATAACTAAATAATAAAAAATATGTTAAAATAAATAATATGATCAAATATATATTTGTAAATAAGAGACTTTAAAGACAATAATAAAAAATAAAAGAATCAAAATCGAAAGACTGTTCTGAAACGCTACTGTAAACGTTTTAGTTTGATTTGATAAGAGAATTTATTTAAAAGTTATTTCACAAAAACCATTTAATCTCAACGGTTTTATCATAAAAATTAAATAATAATTAAAAATTAAAAAATAACAAATAACAAATAAACACAAATTAAATCATAAAAATTAAATGTAAAAAATAATTAAAAAAACACTATACCTCTCAATTTCATTTCTCTAGGAAAAAAAAAAAATATATTCTTTAATTCTGAATTATCCACCTCAACCATACAACAGAAATGAGGATATTTCTATTTTCTTATTCTCATTTCTCGATACCAATCACCCCTAAGTATATTATGATGATTACGTAAAAACACTGTTTAGTAAGGGTGTGTTTGTTCGGGGGATCGAATTTTAAAACCACTATTCATTCTATTTTTTCCCCCAAAACATATCAAATCAAACACCTAATTTTTATTTTTTATATTATACCAAAAATCAATTTTACATTCAAAACATCCCATCAACCTTAATTGAAACACGGTTTAAACACATATACAAATCAAAACACACCATAGAATCACAGCAATCACAAAGAACATCAGCTTCGGTTCGAGTACTGACTTATTTGATCCAATCAACATATATAATTAAAACAGACAACATACTATTTTTAACACAATAAATATATTTATAGAGCAAAGTACAGATATAAAACTCCACGACACCAAAACCCGCCTTAGTCATGTGTGCCGATTGAGTCAAATCACGACCAACCAACACTGAAACCACCGCCCGCACTATTCAACAAATTTTACTATAATATATGAATTGCCATTTTTTATGCATAATTAGAGAGAGAGAGAGAGAGAGGGTATTAAAGCCAACAAGAAAAGAAAAAAGTTTCACTAAAAAACCAATGGCAATCTATCAAAGCCACTCTTAAGAACACACAAAAAAGTTGCACCAAAATATTAATCAATGTAAGTCAAGTCAAGTCAAGTAGAGATTCAAATTATAAAAAAGGTAATCTTACAGCTGATTTGCTCCAAGAAATGTTTGCCCAAATGGACTCTTCTTCACAACTCTCTCTCTTTATCATCCACTCGCGCCTCTCAATCGAGCAATCAGTTCATCCTGACAATGGAAATCACAACATATGCATTAATCTTGTGTAGTTGAACAGAGCGATTCATAAATCACAAATTCACAACTAAGTAGGGATTTGAAAAAAATTTAGAAAATTGGCTGTGGAACTTGCCTTTCTTCCCCTCACCGAGAGGCCTCTCTCCTTAAGAAGAGCTCGGAGCCTATCTACTGTCAAGTTCTGCAGATCTCTGTCGGGGGCTATTGATGATCCTCCTGAATTACCAAATAAAAGATTAGTAATAGCCTAAAGTGACAGGGATAAGAGTGCCGGTTTTCAACTGATCGACTATACAGTGTACTACAAACCCGAGCAGCAAAAAGAGTTAAGAACATGTCAAACGGTTGACTGGTTTTTATTTGCTTATCACAGAAGTATCATGTTACATAACATAAAATTCGGGTTTTACCTCGAATAAAAGTGTATAAATAGGTTCAAGAAATTCAATTAGAGCATTCCAGGCACACCAACTAACTAAGGGTGTGTTTTTTTTGGAGGATTTTAACCGAATTTTACTATTCACCAAAAGTTAAATCCCCAAAAATATCAAACTGAACACCTATTTTTTATTTTCAATATTATACTAAAAATCAATTTTATATTCAAAATATCACATCAACACTTGTTTATATCACGTCATACCATTATTCAAATTTAAAATTTAAACCCCCAAACAAACACATCCTAAGTGTGCATAAGTATTGAGAGACAGGTGAATCTTTCCTTAAAATTGAGGAATGCATTGGACTTCCAAAGAAAATTTAGCTTCGAATTAATAAGTGTAAAAAACTATGACATGCTCAAGAAACTATTTGTTCTATTTTATAACATGCAAGGATTCTCTCCATTGGAATCAAGCTTCGACAGCCAAACACTCCCCAGGTGAAATCCATTTATGGATGCTTCTATGTTCTAACCGTGCGAAAAGAAATGCATTAACAAAGTGACAAATAACAGGGACAAGTTTCACATGGAAAGTGTATAAACTGATAATACATAAAAGCAAGAAAGTATTACATTACCAAGTTAAGAAACAGAAAAAGGCGAATATCTCACCTTGAGAAGTACCATGATTAGTGCTAGACATAGCCTTCTTTCCTGCTTTTTCCAACGATTTTTCAGAAGCCCTGAGAGCAGTTAATGCAATATAAAATTAGAGGATAGCGAAATAACCACAAGCCATTGAGAAGTAATATCAACTGGGCCGTGGGCACTAGTCCACAGTTCAATTACCGTTTCCTAGAGCCTTGGTTGCTTTTTCCATCCTTTGAATTACAGCTGCCATTTTGATTCTTAAGCATAAGGGACCTAATCAAGATATTTGTTTGATTTGTTTTTATAATCTGGTCGTCTGTGTCAACAAAATCAAGATCAGATATCCCATTAAATAGAGCACTAAGAAATGGAAGTACTATCAGAAAATTAGAACTACAAAAGAAAAACGTATCCTGGAAGATCTTATTTTCAAGTGGATACAGCATTTATTTGCAGATCACAGATGAGGAAGAATTGAACATGCAGAAACTGAGAAACGAACCTGATGGTGATGTATCATGGTCGCAGATATAAACTCGCATTCCACCCTGCATAATTGGAATTGGAATGACAAATAATGACGATGAGTAAAAGTAAAAGGATGAGATACAGAGGAAAATTACGCCTAGCTTATGCACACCTCTTTTCCACTCATACATGCATTCATAGGGTGTGTTTGTTTGGGGGTTTGGATTTTGAGTTGGGATTTGAATAGTAAAAATTTTGAATTTGAATAGCTGTATAATGTGATATAAATAGGTGTTGATGTGATGTTTTGAATGTAAATTGATTTTTAGTATAATATAAAAAATAAAAATAGGTGTTTGATTTGATATTTTGGGGGGGAGAGGGGGGGGGGGAATAGGATGAATAGTGAAATATAATCCAATCCCCCAAACAAACACACCCATAATGTACAGACAAGGATTTCAAGTATAGCTGTTCTGGCCAAAGACTAGATGGACAATTCCTTCTATTTATCATAATTCATTTTTTGAGCAAGCATTTTAGCATCTTGTTCCACAAATGAGCTTATTTTACATAACAATTTATGTCAGCCTTACAAGTGGTATAGAAACGACAACATAAAAAGCAAAAGGTAAGCATATAGCGCGTAAACTAAATGGAAACCAGCAGGTGTTATCTACTCTAAAATCCCCTTACTAGATGAAAATATTACAAAAAGCAAGAAAATAGCCACTCGTACCGAGGTCCAAAAACAAGAAAGTGGCTAATTGTGGGTCACATTTAATACTGAAAAACAAAATCGGTTAGGAGTCACAAATACAATGTTGCCACAATGTCAGTTCAAACAAATTCGAAAAGCAATTTGGGATTTAAAGTTTATTGAAAGATTAGAGCATACAATTTAACATAACATCTCATCCAAAGCAGATTATTCAAAACCTTCATCTTTTCAGGCTTCTTAGCCAGGTTAGATTTATCTATATATATATAGATAGATAGATATGAATAAGAGCATCTTCACAGAATCTAAACAATAATCACAGCTAATCAAGTTGATTTCAGGAGGCAAAGCCCTCAGTTTCAATTTGATTTTTTCTATAGCATCATCAAATGAATCCGCCTAATTCGATTGACGACATAAACAGATGAGGAGGTATTGAAATCAACGAAACCCTAATTTACCATTCCTAATTACCGTGACTACATTGTGAAATCAGTAGCTATAACTTTACAAGGCAGTTGCATTTGCATACAATAAATAAATAAATAAAAAGAAACAACTGAGAAAGAACAAGGAAAGGGATGAATTGGAAAGAGGGAACTAGGGTTAGGAGAATGAAGAATACGAACCGGGTTGGTGGAGATGACGGCGGAGGAGAGGAGGCCTCGAGTGGGGAGGTTGGCAAGGAACTTGGAGGCTCCGCCGGTAGAGGCTGCCGTCGAGTTGGTAGCGTCGAACGGCGGAGACGCGGAGGAGCCGCCTTCCATAGCCCGCCTTTTTGGTCGCGCTCTCACTTATTGCTAAATAAAAGGTATGTATGTATGTATATGTATTTCTCTCCCACCTCAAAACTCAGAAGTATAGCTGATAGATTTGCATTATAAGTAATTGATAAATAAACAGATTATTTGCGAAACAATACACATTTGGGCGAAATTTAATCAGCCCAATCCAATTAAGTTTAGCTTTTGTTTGTTTTTTGAGATAATTTTTAAAATAAATATATATGATATATTGATATTTTTTGAAAAATATATATATTTATTTTTTTATTATTTTTTAAAAAAATATCTCCACGTGCTCCTCCGTTCTACTTTAAAGCGGTATTTTGAGATTTTATAATAAATTAAAATATAAAAATATTTTATTTATCTGTGAAAGTGTGTAAGAAGTTTTTTTATTTTTATATATAAAGTAATTATACATGTAATTTAATATAGGTAAAAGGTAATGTATTTTGGTATTAAATGTATAATTATTTTTAATAAAATAGTAAATAAATATTTTGGAGTGAGCAAAAAAAATAGTAAAAAATATATATTTTTTTTAAATTATGGGTTGTATTAACTTTATATTTTTTGGATAAATATATACTCCTTTATCCTACTTAATTTGTCAATTATTTTTATTTTTGTCTGTCTCACATAATTTGTCATTTTATATTTTGGAAAAATAATTATACACTTTAATTATATTTTAAAACTCATAATTTATAAGTTCTTTTATTTAAATTAAATTATTTAGTCATCTTAATCTTAAAATATAATTATTTTTGTTAAATTATAATTATTTTTACTAATATATTTCTTAATTACGTACTAATTACACTATACATAAATCATAATTGTTTTCACAAATATATTTATTAATTGTTTAGTAATTACACCATACATAAAACTCTCTGTCTAAGTTAAAATCGACAAATTAGATGAGACAGAGATAATATTTTTTTTATATCAACCATGAGGATCGTGCTAATAAAATAAAAAAAAATGTTGGATATAGGTCCAAAAGCATTTGAATATGAAGGAGGCTCGAAGACAAAAGCAGAACCAGAGCTCCCAGGCCACGGAGCTGTCCAATGGGAACTTCATGCCATAGAGCCAAAGACTGCTGCTTCCATAGAGTTGAAAGCAACAACCTCTATTGAACTGTTATGCCTCCACAAACCAAATGATTGTTGTCTCCACAAGGCCGAAAGCAGCGGTCTCTATGCACCCTAGGCAGCAATCTCCATTAACCTTAGGACAATAACTTTTTGGACTATGGCGCTTCTATCATGCAACAATCCTTTAAGGTCAAAAATTGCTGGCTCCATTGGGTTGAAACAACTGTCTCCATTGGATTGCGGTGTTTTCACAAGACAGAAAACAACAGTTTCCACATATTATGGAGATAACTACCTCCATTGACCATGAATTAATAATTTCGTACTAAACATCAGTGGAAGGCCTATGCACATTCATATTTTATTCAAAAAGCTCCATGGAACAAACCAACAAGAGGAAAACCGAAGACTCCATGCGACTCAAGGCTATTTGGAACAAAACCCCGTAAACCAGCTAGAGATGAAATGAAGGCAATTCAGGGTAAGTTGCAAAATGAGTAGAGAGCCGGGTCAGAAGTAATGGCGGCGGTTCAAAGCGAATTCAACGGTTGGAAGCTGATGAAGGGAGGTTACCAGGCGGTTGGAGGTAGTGGAAGAAATATTGAAACTACCCTTTTAATAGAAAATGTAGTTATTTGATATTAGGATAAATATAATGAAAAGAATACACACGAGAAAGAACTCACATATCCTCTACAAGTCTTTATCATTTTATTAGGTTATCAATTTTAGGAGATTATCTTAATTTCTTGCTAATTTATGTTTCCAACATGTTTTTATCGGCTTTCTAGTAGATTTATCCAAGTTTTAGTAAATATTAGTTTAAATCCATCGAAATTGGTCGTTTAGGCTCGAAACCTCATTTAGGCTCGAAGCCGTGCAGGCTCCACCGAAGGAGCCGCCTCCAATCCGACGACGGACAGACTCTTTGGTGTACTTGTAGAACCCACACCGACGGAATTGATGAACGATTTTGAAGCCTCTAAATTTTAGGTTCCAACAATAGTATATTAATATAAATATATAATACAATTTGTTGACTTATTCTATTAAAATATATATTATATTTTTTAATAAAAGTTATGGAGAATCATGTTACCAAAAATTTGTATGAACAAATTTTATATATATTTATAATTAATATCCAATATAATACTCCTTCCGTCCCTCTACAGATGATACTTTTTTTCTTTTTTGTGCATCTTACAAAAGATATATCTTTATTGTAGACAAAAAATTGTGTTATTTTTAATAAACACAAAAATTTGTACAAATTATATTTAATTTGGATTTAAAGTGGGTCGTATTCTCTAAATGAGTAATTTGATTATCTTTTCGGGTCGATTTGTTTTCCAACTTGGTTTTCGATGGCTTCTTTAATCCGAAGAGATTTGGTCTTCGGTTTGACTTTGCCAAACTTTGGAGAGCTTTGGTCTCCATGCGGGCGATTTGATCGTCGGCTTTGGATTTGATGTTCTCTTTGGATGATCCGCGGCTTTGATCTTTGATTTGGCTTTGCCGCCTTTTGGAGAGCTTTGATCTTCGTGTAGGCAATTTGATCATTAGCTTTGGATTTGATGTCTTCCTTAGACGATCCGCGATTTTGATCTTTGATTTGACTTTTCTGTCTTTTGGAGGGCTTTAGTCTCTGTGTAGGCGATTCGATCATCGGTTTTGGATTTGATGTCTTCTTTAGACGATCTGAGGCTTTGATCTTTGCTTTGTCATTGCCGCCTTTTGGAGAGCTTTGGTCTTCGTACGAACAATTTGATCATCAGCTTTGGATCTGATGTCTTCTTTGGACAGTCCGTGGCTTTGATCTTTGGTTTGTCTTTTCTGCCTTTTGGAGAGCTTCGGTCTCCGTATGGGCAATTTGATCATTGACTTTGAATTTGATGTATTCTTTGGACGATCCGCGGCGTTGATCTTTGACTTGTCTTTTTCGCCTTTTGTAGAGCTTCAGTCTCCGTGTGGACGATTTGACCGTCGGCTTTGGATTTGGTGTCTTCTTTGGACGATCTGCGGCTTTGATCTTTTAGGAGGTAGATTTGGTGCTCTATAACGCTTTTGGTGGCATGTCCCTTTGACTTTTGGATCGAAGAGGGCCGAGTTGATGCTTTGGTGAAGAACGAGATGAACACCTCGAAACTTTGGGATAAACTTTGGATGCTCTTCCTTGGCTTTGATGGATTCTTCAACGGCTTTGGAGCTTTGATCCTTGAAGAGGTGGATTTGGTGCTCCGTAACACTTTTGGCAGCGTGTCCTTTTGACTTTTGGATCGAAGATGGTCTAGTTGATGTTTTGTTGAAGAACACGATGGGCATCTTGAAGTTTTGAGAGGAACTTTGGAGACCTTCCCTTGGCTTTGACGAATTCCTCAACGGCTTTGGGAGCTTTGATCCTTCCTCCGGCTTTGGCATATGACGAAGAACGTTAACTCCATCGATTCGTCAACCAATATTGGATCATTTGTCCAAATCAGTGACTTTCGATGAAGAACGCTTCGAAGGACACGAAGAACATGAAGAACAATACAGAGAGAGTCTAGAGACTTACCCCTTTGCTTGAATCCTCGATGTAACTTCGGTGTTATTATCAAATTCTCTTTATTATGGATATTTTTAGTATTTTCAAGGTAAAAAATCAATTTTGGTCTCAATATAATTAAAAGTTATCAATTTTGGTCCCAATATAAAAAATTTCATCAATTTTAGTCACATTATAAACAATTTCAATCAATTTTGGTCCCACTGTTAAAAAACTAACGAAAATCGCCGACGTGAACGTAATGGAGTTGACGTGATAGCTGACCTGGAAAGTACACGGCCATGTACGATTGTACACGACCATGTTGTCATACGAGTCACAAGGCCATGTAGATTTCAATGTACAATTATACATGATCATGTCATTACGCGACCATATATAATTCTACACGGCCGTGTACCTTTCTGTTGTGGTCTAAAATTTTATGTTTTATGTTTTATTGTTTTTTAAAAAAAATATTTTGAATTTAGAATAGTTGATATAATTAAAATTAAAAAATCAATAGTAATTCTAATATAATTAAAATGTATCGATTTTAATTCAAATATAAAAATTTATAAAAATATATTCTTTTTGAAAGATTTTGTCTATTTATCAAAATTCTTTCTCGTGTAAACATCCAATTACACAACTATTTTTTATTTTCTTTATATTATATTAAAATTTTATTTTATATTTTAATACAATGTCAACGTAGATATACTCTCTCCGTCCCAAAATAATAGGGACATTTGAGATGGATACAAGAATTAATGAATAATAGTATTATATTAATAGCGGGTATAAAAGTATTTTTAAAAGACTAAAATACTCCTACATTATGTAATTATTGTGAAAAAAGAATGGACAATTTTGTAAAAAGGTGAAAAGTTAGTTACCAATATATAGAAATGAGACTATTGTTTTGGGACAAACAAAAAAGTAAAATAGGACTATTGTTTTGGAATAGAGGAAGTATATGACTGTATTGAAATATAAAATTATTTTTAATACTATAATATACAAAAATAAAAAATAGTAGTGTAATTGAATGTTTTTTAAGAATTTTTTTTTTTTTTGGTAAATAATAGAATTTTAGACAAAATCTTCCAAAAGAACATACTCGATAAGTTTTTATATTTGAACTAAAATTGATACATTTTAATTATATTATGATTACTATTGATTTGTTCTATTTTAAATATATCAATTGTTCTAAATTCAATTTTTTTTTTAAAAAAAAAGTATACATAGAAAAATAAAATAAAATTTTAGACCAAAACAGAAAGGCACGTAGCCGTGTATAATTATACATGGTCGTGTATTTTCCAGATCAACTATCACTTCAGCTCCGTTACATATACGTCAGCAATTTCCGTTAGTTTTTTAACGGTGAAACAAAAATTGATTGCAATTGTTTTTTATGAGACTAAAATTGATTTGAGTTTTTTTTTTATATATATTAGGACCAGAATTGATAAATTTTAGTTATATGGTGACTAAAATTATTTTTTTTTCTATTTTTAATGTAATTGAAAATAAATATTTTTGAGTAATAATAGTCAATATTATTCCATACACACATTTCCTAATAGAAATACTTTTTCTTCACATAAAAAAAAAAATATAATTTATATTTTGGACATAAACTTTTTAATATTATGTTACATTGGTTGTAACAAAAAATTAATAAAATACTTCTATAGGTATTGTATAATATAAAAATAATGACATTTGCATAATATATTCTAAGTTATAAGAATATTTACTATGTCAAGTAGATAATACAATTAATAAATTAAAAAATAATACTCTTGTGTTAATGACATAATTAGAAAATGATGTATTTCCTATGGGACATAGGGAGTACATTAATTTCTTTATTTTCGTAAAATATACTATTAAAATATTATTTAAACTAAAATTCAAATAAAAAATTTATACGAAAATCAAAACCAAACACACAAAAAAATTGGTTTGAATAATTGTTTAAAATAAAACAATAGCTCCGTTCACTCAATATTTTTGTATGAAATGATTTTTAGTATGTTATATAATAACCATGCCAAAAATATAAAATATACTATTTTAGTTGAATATTTAATTTTTTAATTTTTGTAATGATTTTTTTTTTTTTTTTTACTTTTGTATAAAATATTATGTTTTTTCATTATTTTTTTTGCAATCGTAATTAAAAAATGGTACAGAAAAAGCTATTATATGTTTGTTTGGTTTTGATTCCAGTAATATTAGGTTTTGATATTAATTTTGATTTAAATAGTATTTTTATATAATATTAAAAAAATAATATATAATTTTTTTTTATCAGTGTGGTGAAAATTGAATAGTATTAATTTGTGATCGAAATAAACACACTTAATATAGTTTTATAAAAATTACATATAAAAATTAAATATTTTTTTAATTTTAAATAAAATATTATTCTCTCTCCGTCCCACCTACTATATCTATATTATATTGCTGTTTTTATCTATTCCACATCTCATGTCACTTTTATATTTCACAAATAATTACAAACTTCAATCTCATTAAGAAATTTTTTAATTTAGAATTTTTTAAAATTTTAATTAAACTAATTAATTATTTTAATATTAATTTATAATTATTTATATTAGATGAGGACTCAGATATCTAACGTGAGACAGAAGGATAATATTATTCAGTCTACACAATTTTGCTAAGCATATCTATAATACCTTTTTTTTTTTATAAAATATTATATTAAATATTATTTAAAAAATTCTAATCAAAATTATTTTCAAATCAATTTAAAAAAATCAAAAACTTAAAATTCCGAGATAAACATGGCTAGAATTTAATTTTTACTGTCTTCGTTCCACATATCATGTCACGTTGCATTTTTGTCTGTCCTATATGTCATGTCATTTTTTTTTTAAAAATAATTATTTTTTTAAAAATTTTAATTAAACTAATTAATTCTCTTAATTTTAATTTATAATTATTTATATTATAAAATAATTATTTTTATTAATATATTTTTAATTATCTACTAATTACATATTTCTTGAAATACTTTGTAGGCGGTACGTGGGACGAGGGAAGGAGTATTAAGTAAGAATAAATTGGGAAGATCGAAGTCGCATGTAGCGCGTGGGAAGCGCGTGGGGTGGAGATGCCGAGCTTCAAGGTCGAGAATCGGATGGATACGCACCGACAGCGCTCCGAATTTGTCGTCGTCGTCATCCATCTCTATCTCAATGGCCTCGCGTTGCAACTGCAGCCTGGCTAATCAATTAATTAGTTAATCGAATTGATTTTCTACCTCTGAGGAATTCGGAGTTTTTCGGAAAGAGAAATGGCCGCGGAAGGACAGACTCGAACGCCGACGAGCCCAGAGGCGAAGCTGGGAATGCAGGTGGAGGATCTATGGGATGTGCAGGAGCCGCAGCTCAGCCCTACCGAGAAGCTCAATGCTTGTTTCGAGAGCATTCCTGTTTCAGCTTTCCCTCCCGCTCCGGCGGACCAGAGTACGTCGGATTTAATTATTCGCTCTGATAATTTCATTTCTGAGAGAAATTTGTTTACGAATTACAGAAAGTAGATTTGATTTGTTGTTGCTATCAGCCTATCAGTGATGGGTGGATGGATGGATTGATTGATGGATTTCATAGGCAATTTCTTAAGAAATCGTATGATTGATGAAGATGCAAGGCATTACGTTAGGGATTGAATACATTTTTGGCAACTGTACAATCTGTTATGCATACGGTACATATTAATTAGGTCATCTGTTCTAGATTCAATCTGTATAGGCAATCAATCTCATTGAAGAACTCCTTCGTATCCTTGACAAAGACTGTAAATATTTTTCTAATTCATATCAGTTTGAATCAACACAAGATTGTTTTGCAAGCATTGTATTCAATTCCAGATTCATCTTACAAATTTACAATCCTCCATTAGTATTCAGTTGTGTTCTGTTGGTTCTATTGGTTCCTTATCCCCTGCAGTTGTTGAGATAAGATCGGACACAAATTTAGCAGAAGCCGTCAAGTTACTTGCACGGCACAGAGTACTCAGTGCTCCAGTGGTAGATGTCAATGCTCCGGAAGATTCCGGTTGGATGGACAGATACTTAGGCGTTGTCGAATTCGCTGGGATCGTTGTCTGGATTTTGCATCAGGTATTATCTGAATCCCTTTTCTTGCTTATAACTCTGCACAAATTGTTTCTCCTTGATTTTGAAAAATGGCAGCTGGATATATTCAGTTTCACCTCTGTAAGTTCATCTGCATTGTATAGTTTGAAAACAGATCAGCTATATGATTCGATCTCAATAGGAAAGAATTGACGCAAACATGACTGGGAATCTTGTTTTGTAGATTCTCAAAATTTGGATATATGCAGTTTTACCTCTGTAATTTCATCTGCATTGTATAGTTTGAAAAAAGATCGGCATATGATTCGATTTCAATAGGAAAGAATTGATGCAAACCTGACTGGAAATCTTGTTTTATAGATTCTCAAAATTTGGATATATGCATCTGCATCGTGTAAATTGACAATACATTGGTTATGCTTCGATCTAAAAAGTAATGGATTGATGCAAACATGATTGGAAATCTTGGTTTTTTCAGATTCTCAATAGTTAGAAGGCTTCCAATTTTTCTTGCATACTTTTTCCCCCGAGATGATGATGATCGATGATCGATGATCGATAATTGATAGCTATTACATTAAATAAGGCAAATTGTTCTATCTGTTCTTCTGTGTATCTATATAATCCATAATTGATAGCTATTACATTCAATAAGACAAATTGTTCTATCTGTTCTTCTGTGTATCTATATGATATATGGTGCAAATAAATGAAGCTAATGGTTGGGTATCAATCATTGCAGTCTGAAAAGATGGAAGGGCAGTCGCAGGGCGACGCATGGTCGTTCATCGATGCATCCACGACGGGCTCGGACTCGGGCTCTGAGGGCGACATAGGAGCTGCAGTTGCAGCAGCAGCCAGTGGGATCACATCCCCGAGGTTCAAAAGTACGAATCCCGACTCTCCAACAGCATCCTGTGGAGAATTTTTCAAGACTCTAACATCCTCCGACGTGTACAAGAACACAATGGTTGTCGTTCTTCTCTTTCATATCATCATTCTTATGATATAAACAGATTTCTCGATGATCTAAGCTAATCCCACATCCATTTTTCGAAAAAAAAAAAACCAGGTCGGAGACATCTCAGGATCGTTCCGATGGGCTCCATTCCTTGCGCTGCAGAAAGCCAACTCCTTTCTAACAATGCTGCTGCTGCTGTCGAAATACAGGATGAAAAGCATCCCGGTCGTCGACATGGGCGAAGCCAAGATCGACAATATCGTCACACAAAGCGCGGTTATTCACATGCTCAAAGAATGCGCTGGCCTCCATTGGTTCGAAACCTTAGGTTCGAAAAAGCTATCCGAATTAGACCTTCCATTAATGAAATCTCAGCACATGGTAAAGGTACACGAACAGGGCACCTTCCCCCGATCGAAATCAAAACCTTTTCCCCATTCGAATCGCGTAAAAAATCCGTGTCTTTATGCAGGTTTACGAGGATGATCCCGTGCTGCAGGCGTTCAAACTAATGGGAGAAAAGGGCGTTGGAGGCTTACCCGTAGTTTCAAACGACGGCAACAAGGCAGTCGGGAATATAAGTCTCCGAGACATTCAGTTCCTTCTCATAGCATCCGAGATCTACAAGGACTACAGGTCATTCGACGAACTCCAATCCTTAGAACGATTTGCCACGCTAAACCATTTTGAGAATATCGTTTCTTGCGCGCAGATCCATGACAGCAAAGGAGTTTTTGACGGTGGTGAGACGGTACGCCGACGAGCATCTGAAGAAGCTGCAGGCGCCAAGCAGCATGGTGACGTGCCGGCGGGGGGATACGCTGATCGAAGTGATTAGGAAGCTGGATTCGCAGACGATCCACCGTATATACGTGGTGGATGACGGCGGGAACCTGGAGGGTGTCGTGACGGTGCGGGACATAATATCGAGGCTCGTCCACGAGCCTCGCGGGTACTTCGGAGACTTTTTCGACGGGGTCTTGCCGCAGCCACACAGCCGGAGAGTGTGAACAGGTTGGTGCAATGTTGTTCTTGTTCTTCCATGAATCTATTATCTCTATGATCATCTTAATAATTTGAACTTAGTTTTGAAAGTTTAGGGAGTTAGTATTGAGTTTGATTTAGTTTTATGGCTGGTTTTTGTTTAGTTTTTGTAGCTGAAAATGATGGTATGGTGAATTGTTCTTTTGTTGTTTTTGTGTAATTTTGGTAGGGTTCTTGACAAAATTGCATTCTTTTTCTGGTGTAGGAATATAATAGATATTGCATGGTTATGTAATTTGATTGTTTGTTGATGAGATTATGTTAGTTTGCCCCGAAATCAAGTAACACACACAACAACAATAACTTAGGTTGTGTTATTTCGTGAGTTTTACAACGTATTTTTACTATTCAGATTCTTTTTTTCTCCAAAAATATTACATCCAACAATTATTTTATTTTATTTTTATATTATACTATAAATTTATTTTACATTCAAAACATCACATTAACCTCTATTTATATCACATCAAACAACTATTAAGTTTAATTTTTTACTGCAAACACACCCTTAGATTTGCAATCAAACTGTAAAAAAAACTCACGCGAGACAAATTGATTATTCGCTCTCAGATAGGCTGGGAATACACATAATACACATACTGACGAAGACAAGTACATAAAGTATAAAATAATTTATTAATCCAATTCGGTCATCAACGATCTACCTCTGGGGTTCCAACTCAGACAAAATTTACTATCAAAATCATTAAAACACAAAAATATATAGATACAAACGATTTACACACTCAAGAAATCACCACCACCATTTGTTGATTTTCCCTCAACTCAAAACATATCTACTTTATCCCTCTCACTCTCACTCTCACTCTCAATAATCAATAACTACTCACCGTTTTTCCATTGAGACTACAAAAATGTTCCCTTTACACCACCATTCACCAAAATCATTGCTAGAATCGCTGTAACAAACATAGATTCTCATCTATTGGATGTATTCTTTTTGTTAGAAGCTTTTGCATCGGAACCACCGTTAGCAGACACAAAAAAAAAAAAAAAAAAAAAAAAAAAATTAAAAAAAATAATTTCTAGATGTCTCGTAAAGGATGGTTTGGCGATGTAGGGATTGGATTTGTGACCATGAGGTTATGGGTTCAAACCCTTCACGCCTCAAGTCACATGCTACAGATGGTTCGCCTAGCGTGAGTTTCGTCCCTGCGTGAGATACTCTGTACACAAAATTTGGTATCATATTTTTAAAGAATAGTAAAGTTTGTATTGTAAAATTAAAAAAAAAAAATGAAAAAATTTAATAATAAACAAAACCATGATAAGGGTGTGTTTGCTTTTGATTTCACCTCTTGTACAAATAAGCAAGACAGACAATCGTGCATATATATATATATATATAATATTGTTTTATATAGAAGTAAGAGCTATGCAATTTATATCTTATATGAAGTGTATATATATTGTATTAAAATTAATAATTTAGTATGTTATATGATATTATATATTTGTTTTTTTAGTTTAATTTTTTTAAATTTAATTATTTGAACTCTTGTTTTTTAAAAAAATATATATATTTTTTTCTCATAAAATATTTTATCAAATATTATTTTAATATTATATTCAAACCAAAATTTCTCAAATTTAACAAAAAAAAAAAAAAAAAAAAACACATTATATATTATGATATCATGGGTGGTTCATCTTGCTATTTGTTCTGACTAAGTCAAATTAAAACTATATTAATTTGATTTAACCAGCAAATAGGTAGCAATTACAATATTTATACAATAGTACGAGGGTTTGTTTAGACAGAGCTTTTTCAAATTTTGAAAATTTAAAAAAAATTAAAAAATTAGTATTTGATTTGATGTTATATGAGAGACAAAATATATTTGATGTGATATTTTTTAAAATAAATAATGCCAAATGAAAAAAAATATGTTACGTAAAACACGACATTTATGATCAAAAAAGGAAATTATAATTTATTGCATAGCGGAATTACACGGTTTCAAATTTTAATTTCATCCTTGCTTTTAGTATATTTCAATTTAATCTTTGTTGTAATAATTTGATTCATCTAGTAAAATTTTTATCTTGCCTTGTACAGTACTGCCTCCCAATACAATAATCTTGTATATCATTTTTGTCCGTCTGAAAACAATAGTCTTATTTCTATAAATAATCATATCACTATAAAATTATCCTTACTTTCTCATTATTATTACACAATTGCCACTATTTTTTACACTAATAAACTCACAAGTGCAAAAAAGTCATTTATCTTTACTTTTTACCAACTACCAATTAATATCAATATTCTTTAAATCTCGTGCCTAGCACAATAAGACTATACTTTTGAGACGGAGGGAGTATATCAAACATTTATCTGTAGTAATTTTCATTTTAAATATTGATTTCCTTCAGCACTTTATAGGCATAAAATCACAATATTAATAATACTCCCTTCGACCAAGGAATAACTATATATTTACTTTCAGTGTGGAGTTTAAAAAATAATACTCCCTCCGTGCCAGATATCATATCCACGTTGCCGTTTATGTCGTCCCACATACCATGTCACTTTCTTTTTTTGAAAAATGATTACACACTTTAATCTCATTTTAAATTTTTTAATTTTAATTAAACTAATTAGTTATTTTAATCTTAATTTATAATTATTTATATTATAAGATAATTATTTTCACTAATACATTCTTAATTATCTACTAATTACACCCCTCTTAAAATACCGTGTCTATAGTGTAACAGACACGGTATCTGAGAAGAGGGAGTAGTATTTTAATTATATTGGGTAGGTAAAAGTAGTGTAATAACATTTTTGTCTTTGTTTTTTGGTATAAAAGTAATGATGTGATATAAAGTAAGAGTATTTGTAGAAAAAATGAGAGTATTTAATAAAATGATTACTTTGTAGTTGAACGTCTCAAAATAAAAATATGTATACTTTATAGCTGGACGGAGGGAGGGAGTATAAATTAAAATCATGTCAACAAGTGAACACCTTAGGAACAAAGAATTTCGTTTGTACATCACATTTATATTTATTTATTTTTTTTATTTTAGTATATCAGCCAACTTTGTACTTATATCTTAAACACCATTCATTTCTATATTAACTATCAAATAAATATATCTTTTAATATTTCATCCGTCTGTCTCTAAGGTCACATTTATCGTCGTTGTATTTAACATTAAAAATATTTTTATATTTATATAATTTTTGGCATAAGTGTTCTTCTATGAGTAGTATAAGACACTAAAATATTTTTGTAGTTTTTTCTTAATTTATAATATGTTTTGATATAATAATTAATATTCAAATATCAATTCGCAAAAAGTAAATAAGACTCTTAGAATCGAACGAAGGTATTATTTTCTTCAAAATTAATATCTCCATTAATTTTATAATCATCATGCACAAAACAAGCTGCCACTTTCGTTTAATGCCGTGTTTGGTATGGCCATATATATATATAACACGACCTATCTTTTTCGTATTGAAAAAAATTTAAAATATTTGTTTAAATATTTTTAATATTTTAAATATCATTTTGTAGAGATAAAATTTTGTATAATACAAATAAATAAATATATATATATGTATTTTGTTATGATTAACATAAATTAGTTTTATAAAAATATATTTAAATATAGATAAAAATATTTATTTATTAAAAAAAATAAAATAAAGAGATTTTCTATATTTAAATTATTAGAAATGTACTTAAATTAATTTATATTTGATAAATATATTTAATTTAATAAATTATTAAAAATAAAAACAAATCATATATTCTGAGTTAACTCGCCCCATCCTCTTGTCGTCGCCAGCGTCCACTTTGTAGCCGGACAGTCGTCTTCGCCTTCCAGTCGTCATCGCTGACCTCTACAGACGAGCCACTGTCAGTGCCTTTAGGATGTGTTCCTTTTATAAAATTTTCATAAAATTTTATTATTCATCATTAATTATTTATTTATTTATTTATTTTAATAATATCAAATCAAATACTCCAGCCGTCCTATCAAAAAGTGAAACTCTTTTTTATTAGGGATACAGTAATTAATAATATTTATAATTTTAAAATAAAATTAATATATAATTAAAAAAATTAAAATATATATTTAAATATTTAAAAATTATATAGCAATAAAAATATAATACAATATAAATATTATTTTGTAGAGAATAAAATCTTCTAAAATATGTAGTTTTTATATAGATAAAAATGTTTATTATTTTGAATAGAGATAAAAATAAAAGAGTTTTAAGTGAATCATAACATTATATATTATAAAATTAATTAAGTTGATTTAATATTATATGTTATGAAATTAATTAAGTTAATAATTTTTACCCAAAATAATTTAATATATCCGTCCCACCGGAAGTGAAACTCTTTTTATTTTTTTTATATTATATTAAATCAAAATTTACATTCCCATCAACACTTAGTTATATTATGTTAAACAATTATTCAAATACAAATTGAAAATTTTTAATATTTAAAACATAAACTCAAAACTAAAACCCCAAATAAACAATTTTCACTTTAACAATATCACACTATCAAACAGTCATTTTTCATAGAACCCATTATATTTAACCAATATTTTATCTAAAAAATATAACAACTTAAAATACACTATGTTTCTTTAGATGAATTTGAAAAAAATTTGATTTAAATTTGATATTAAAATAATATATGATAAAATATTTTGTTAGAAAAAAAAATATTTGTTTGAAAAATACAAAGTCCAAATAGTAAAAACCTAAAGCTTTTGGACAAAAGAAACATACATATGTTTGAAGGATTTCTACCAATTTCTACTATTACCAAATCACATCCCTCTCCAAAACATCAAATCAAATATTTATTTTTAATTTTTTATATTATACTAAAAATAATTTTATATTCAAATCACTACATCAAAACTCCTATTTATATCACGTTATACAACTATTCAAATTCAAAATTTTAACTATGCAAATTTCAATTCAAAATTCAAACCCCAAACAAATACTAATCAACTTTATATTTTTCCATACAAGTACAAAAATTTAAAAAATAATATACTCACAAATTTTCAATAAAATATTAATATTTAATTTCCTTTTAAGAGGGTTATTCCCCCACAATCATGTCGGATGATATTTACTTTTCAATTAATATATATATATATATATATATACCAACACAAAGTTCATTTTACTATTCCTAAAACACACCAATAAAAACCCAAATGCAATATTATTTTATATATAAATGATGCAACTTTCTCCTTCAACAATCTTCAAAATATATACACAAAATTTATTTTACTATTCCTAAAACACACCAATAAAAAATTCAATCTAGGAATCTATTCTGCTAAAAGATCTGCTGAAACTAATACTTCCTCCGTCCAAAACTATAGTCTTAGTTGTATTTGGCACGTAATATAAGCAATATTGATATTATATTAATAGTAAGTTAAAAATACGGATAAAATATTTTTTACCCTTTTAAGTGTATTAATGTAAAAAATAATGGCAATTTTGTAATAATAATGAAAAAATAAAAGTAATTTTATAGTGATATGATTATTTATGAAAATGAGACTATTGTTTTGGGACGGACAAAAATGGCAAATAAGACTATTGTATTGGGACGGAAAGAGCACTATATTACATCTCATTTTTTATACAAAATATCAAGCTCATATATGATACCACTGTATTTACAACGCTACTATTTTCAAATTATTTATTACTTTCTATCATGGTAAATGTGATACTTTTTAAAATAAAAAGTTCAAATAGTAAAGATAGAACGATAGCATAAAGGCAAGAATCCGAATCACATTCAAATTCATATTCATATTCAGATAGAAACAATTACTCAAATCAAAACCTCACCATTTAAGATAAAGAACAACCAATCAACAAATTCAGACACATAATACTCATCGATCAAAACAACTTAACATTATAATCAATTATTTCAGGATCAGTTAACAGTAAAAATTTTCGATATTTCCAAATTCCCAGACAGTTGCACACCAGCAGAACAGATTCCGAAAATAAATGGTTCTCAAATAGCTAGAAGATGAAGAGTGAGCATACCTTTTTTCATCGGAGTCGACCCAAAAAGCCCACCATGCTCCAAAAGTTGGCATTTGTACAGTTTCGCCGTAGCAGTGTAAAACAGAAGGACAAAATATAAAACAAGAAAGATTAGCCTGAGGATAATAAAAACTAACAAATTACAAAATCCCGACTCAAATGCTAACCACAAAGTAAAATATTCGAAGCTACTAAAGAAACAGATCATATAGTTTGAACCCCTAACGATCAAATAATGTAAGGATCTAACGAATTAAGCTAATCCACACAATCCCACATCGAACTTATTGCCATCTGCAGAACACATCTCCAACTAAAAACATCAACGATTATAACAAAAACAATGCCAAATGAATCAAAATTGACCACAGTAAGATACCCCTAACATAATCAAGCATGAGACCTATGCATCTTTAAGTACTAAAATACGACAAAGAATTAGCTACAAGAATCACAGTATTGTTAGCAGGATGCAGAAACTAAAACAGATCGTGCCACGACTCTAAATGTGATTCATAAAATAAACACACGAAATTGGTTCCTCGGAGGGTTATAAGGCAGATATACAAATTTACAACAGCATATGTAGACGGGTCTGGATATACTTCACAGAAGGTTTTGTTCAACACATCCATGCTAATAAAAATAGTACATCATCGAGCAAACAGATGGAAGCCATACTATTTCTCGATGAAGACAGAAAAGCAACCTGCAGCAATGCCCTGCACTTTTACGAACTTTTTCTTCTCATATGATGCAGAATGAGGGGCGCATCTTCGAAAAGATCCAATAAATAGTTCTCCAAATCCTCCGGCGTATACTTTATGTATTTCCCTTGTCTCCCACTTTCTAATTGACTACCAAACCGTCCCATAAACGAACGGTAAGCTGGGATCACTTTTTCAGATATGGAAATCCTGAGCTCCTCGCGGAGCTGAGGGTCTGGGACTTTCCATGCTGTTTGAATCCTATAAATCTCCTCAAAACAAGCATTGAAATTTTTAAATCTGTCCTTCAGAGCCACTTTCGATGTGTTACTTGAGCTCCCACCCATGCCTTCGTCCCTTAAACAAGACAAAGCCTTCGTCCATGAGGCTCTAAGGTATTGGGTAGCATACTGTCGAATCTGTCCCCTTCTTTTCTTAACCCAATTATCACCTAAATGGTTTCTGAGCTCTGAGTCCTTCACTTTCTGCACGACGTAGAGTATATTGTTCATTAAGAATATATACTGCATTGCAATATCCTCATACAGCCTCGACTTCTCCTCAATATTCGCCTCCAACGAAGTAATCAATGCCAAGAGCCTCCGAGCCATGGGGGACATGTCTCCTGTCTCAGAACTACCACTATTGTCCCTCTCCAACGGGGAAGATTCAGCACTTGTGTTCTCCAAGAGCAGATTGAGCGTATCACTATAATCCACGAGCAACTTCGAATAATTCATCACATATCTAGCTAATGGATGAATGTCGCCATTGTGTATGACTTTCCGTGAAGCTTCTCCCTGAACTGCATTCTCGAACTCAACAAAAGTCCCGACAGCAGCCTCGCCTAGCCAAGACAACACTCCCCTCGCCTCACTACAGACTGTTTCGCCCGCATCTTCATCCGCGAATAGCGACTGTAAATCAGGTAACACCTGTGCTAAAGCATCGTACATGTCGAGAATCCTAAACAGCTTCTCGGCAGACCTCTTCCCAATCGCGACTGCCTCCCCGAAATTCAACAGCTGCATTACGCAACCTTTTGCCGTCTCCAGAAAGCAAACTTCTTTGATCAAATCCGACTCTATGAAAATCTGCTCGCAGAGATATTTTTCGCTTGAGAGAAGACCTCTCACAACTACTTTAACAGCTTGAATCCATTTCTTCATCTTCTCATCCAAAGTTCTCCATTCAATCCTCTGAACCTCCTCAATGCTCAATTTCTCCACTCCCAGAATTGCCATACATTCGTCAAGAACATCGCGACGAACGGAGCAATAGACCTGGCAGCACTCCTTTTCATACCCGGATCGAATCATCCTATCAGCAATTTCACGCAGATCGACCACAGCATCTTGATGAATCAATTCCAGAGACATCTCATCCCCAAAGCTCACACCCCTAGCGTGGATGTGCTGACTGTACCGTCCACTGCTTACATCCTCGAGAGTCTCACTATTCTCGTCGTTCAGAAACTCGGTCGCAGCAATCGCTATAGCAGCAGCAGAGGACGACAGGGACGAGCGATGGAGGCGGTCAGGGTCCAGAGGAACCGTGTTCCGTACAAGCACGTGACGAAACTCCTCCTCCAACCGCGCCATCGCAAGCTGCAGCACGTTCTCGGCTCGGTCCATGGCGTCGTCGTCAGGGGAACGGAGGTTCATTTCCTCGGTCAATCGTATGACCTCATCCACCGCGAGTAAGTAATCATCGAACCCATCCAAATCGGCGTCGCTCAACAGCACTCGCTCCGCGGCGTCCAATTGGCGATCCGCCACGGAAGATTGGCCACCCTTGACTCCGGCGGCGGCGGCGGCGGCGGAGGGATTCTCATCGGAGGAAACGAATGACGAGAGAGAGGAGAGACGGTTGTCGAAATTGGAGAGAATCAAGAGCATGTCCTCGGCGTCGGACGTGTTGCCGAGTGATTTCACGATCTGCTGCGCGGTGGCCAGCACCTTATCCTCGCCGTCGACTGTCGCCGCCATCTTCATCTTCTGAGAAAATTGGAATTAGGGTTTGGGAAATTGGGGAGAAAAAGGGAAATGGGTGTGAAGAAGAAGTCGAAATGGGAGGCGTTGTTGGAGGCAGTCAGTCAGTCAGTTAGTCAGGGCTGACGGCTCGGCTCTCGGCTCGGCTTGTTGGTTGATTGGGAAATGGGAGGAACATTGGCGTCAGGTCAGGTGGACTATTCAACTCTGGATAGTGGTTGGACCGCCATTATGTCATACATTAGGGGTATAAATGCAAATTCATTATTAATCAATCAAAATGGTTGCGTCTGGTCGTGTCTTCAACATATGCACTACTATAATACTAATTCATTAATGCAATAATTTTTTTTTCTATTAAATATATTAGATTAAAATATATTAAAATATATGTGCCATTCAAGATATCAATAAAAAATTTTACATTGATTTAAATTTTTGTTATTTTTAAATCATTAGTAATAAATTAATTGTTTACAATTTTAAAATTTAGTTTTAAATTTTTTCTTGATTTTTCATCTTCTATTTTATTTTATTGCAATATACTTATTATAAATATACAAAAATTACAATATATTACTAAAATTACAAAAATCTAATTATACACAATTTACTCTCTACATAAATATATCGCATCTACGACCATTTTTCACACACCATTGATTCAAAATAAAGATATTCTCTCTATCTACTAAATTTTATCCATTATTAATTTTGACAAAGTCAATATTTAATTATTATCATTCATTCAACACTTATTTACAGCAAAATATTATTAACTTTATTACCTTATCTCTCTTCATTTACTTTACTTTTTTAACTAAAATTTCAAAAATATCCTCCAACTATCTATTACTTTTTTAATAAAATTATTTATTTTTCTTAATTCTCATGCCAAGCTCAAATAAATTAATTTTAATAGATGAAGAGAATATAAATTTGACATAATTGTCTTTATTTAATCAAAAGCTACGCTGAATTAAATCTATCCATCAACATTTGACCCGAAGCCCGAGAAATAATTGGGTATGACATACTAACAAATTTATTTTCATTATGCCAAATTTTATACCAATAACATATTGAAAAATCCAGTATACCAATAATTTTTGTTGTGAACACCATTTTTTTTTCTTAAAAAAAAATAAATAAATAATGAAGCAAATGTAGTATATATCTAGAAGTTGTACCAACTTCGAGCGCTCTAGTGAAAAGTCAAAACCACGTACATGACGTTAGCTACAGCTGAAACAAGATTTGATATAAGTCAATTAATTAATTAATTGTATTCTAATAATAATAATAATAATAATATTTCTAGAACAACTACCATGTTGTTTATTTGATGTCGAGAATCAAATCCTTTGTTCAAAGTCCAACTTAAAGCAACAAATATCCCCAATTATTTTGCCTCTTATTACATACAAATAAAATAAAATAAAAAATAAAAAATCTAGGTTTTGAAAATTTTTAAATTTAATATCTACTTCATCCGTCCGGCCAGAAAGTATACATATTTCTATTTTGAAACGTCTAATTACAAAATAAGTATATCATTAAATACCTCAGTTTTTTCCACAAATACTCTTTACTTTACATCACATTATTACTTTTACACCAAAAATCACTATTTTTAACTACCCACTATAATTAAAATACTATTATTTCTTAAACACCGCGCAAAAAATAAATATTTACTTTGTGCGCAGACGGAAGAAGTATTTTATAAGTTGAAATAGATACTATTTAATATATATATATATATCTGTATATTTTTGAAAAAACCTACTCTTAATAAATAATGACAATTTAAAAAAATGCCTTTATCCAACTTAATATCTATTTGGCTGCAAGTTTAAACATAATATAGCACTATGCTCTTATTATTGTTTTTGTTCTCTCTCTTAAATAACTAAACACATTTAAATTCCCTGGTTATGCTATTTTAAAGTTTGATTTCATTTTTTTTATCCAACAACCATTATGATTACCTATAAAAATAATGCAACGATTTCCTCGCATAAAACATTACATCTAAATCAATATTGAAATTTTTCTTTTTTTTTTTTTAAAAAAAAAAACCCACACACACCCTACTTTTTATTAATTAGTTTATAGTATTAATTATACAATATATATATATATATATTCATTTAGTTGCGTTATACTCCGTCATTCAAATTTATTCTCGCTTTCCTTTTTTGGTTGTCATCCAAATTTATTACCGTTTCTATTTTAGTAAAAAAATACCACTTTTCTTTACCAAAAAAAAGTAAAAATTTATATTTTTACATATTTTTCTTAAAACCTGTGCCCGATCAAATGAGCACACAATTGAATGACAGTGAGAGTATATCACAATATAATTTTTAAAATGTTCAAAATACATTTTAATATTTTTTAACCAGGAGTATATATTATGCCTAAAACCTAATTTCCAACCAAAAATTAAAACCAAACCCCTTTGGTATATATAGCTATGTGTATGTACTTAAACTTAGAAGTCACTATAAAATAAAAAAGAAAAAAAAACCCTTTCCAACAAAACATCTGAATCCATAAAAATAAACATACCAGGCTAAACAGCATCTGAGTTTTGAGCAATCTGTGGCGCCCTGTCATGTGTTTCTTCCTAACAAGACGAGCCAAAAGTCCGCAACAAAACAGTGTAAAAATCAAACATAATCCGCAAAATAATCAATCTATAGATACGATCAACCATGAGGCAGGCGACGAACACTTACAGGCTTGGATAGCTGGTCTCTTATCGAATACATCGACTTCAGCATCATTTCCATGGTATCTTTCGCCAACTGGAACTTGACATCCCTTTCGCTGCCCATGTTAGGCTGCACGTCGCTGTGAAGCTGCATGAACCGGAATTTTACGTCAAATCAATATCATGGATGTGAATCTTGGAAACTCGAACATACCTTCAAGTTGATTACTGCCCTAGGGTCTGATTGTTCCTCGCTTTGGTTCGCCATGCTCCATGTCATTGACTTTAAACGAGGTAAGATGACCTAAACCATAGTTATATAACAGATAGCAGTGCGTAGCAGTCAACATCTAAAATGTTATAGCAGGATAGCAGATAGCAGTATGACCTCGCTATTTAAATATTTAAGAATATATAAAAATTATTATATATACAAAATTACAACAAAAAAACATAAGATAAACCTATAAATTAATCTAATAATTAGCATTAAAAATTATAAAATGTCAAAAAAAAAAGATATGATCATAATTGTTAGATATATATAAACAAGAACAATTAGATCACTATTGTGTGATAGATATATATATATATATCAAAGTTAATCAGATTCAAAATATGCTAAAAGAATTTCTTCCTCATTTTTGTCATCCTCATTGCTTAATTACTCTTATTTCTTTATATTTTCCCCTTCTTCTTTGTTCTCATTCATTTATTCTAATGTATATTCGTCACCTTATATAATATCATTTCTCCTTTTAGATCTAGAATTACCTATAACTTTCTTGTTCATTGATGTATTGATATTTGCATCCTAGTGTAAACAGCAGGCCGCTAGCTTCAGTAACATCAACAATTACTCCTCTAGTCAAATTATCATTGTTAAAGACTAACTTATCCTCCGCAATTATTATATTCTTTAATTAATTACTCTTTGGAATCATCAATATCGTTTAAAACAATAGGACCAATCACATCATTAGATGTGTAAAAAGTTCTAGAAATGACAAATGGAATAACAAGTAAAACCGACAAGTATTTATAACAGGAAGATTTCCCACTTCTGTTTCTGTAATTATTTTCGATGTATAAATATCTCACCTTATCTTTGGATATATCCTCGCGCCATTCCTTTTGAAACTTTTGCAGCAAAAGTGTTAGAAGCCTTTGCAATTCAGGCAGGACTTCGGCTGGAAAGAGTTTCTGAATCTCGTCTTTGTTAATGTTGTCATAAACGCACTTGCGGATCAATACACGCAGGCACACTAACAGCTGTAGAAGCAAATCAAATGTGTTTGTCAAACAAGAAGAGATCTACAAAGAGAAAAGAACCAAGCTAAATAATCTTGGGAACTCATGCTTGTTCACCCGAATTACCATTACCAAAGGAGATGGATTGTTTCACATGCCAAATTTGGACAAGACCATGTACCAAATTCATATTACTCAATAAGTTCAGATAAAAAATTCAACTTTTTATCTATTGTAGGAACAAATTTGAATACTCATAGAAGAAAGTAACAATCAATAGAAAAGTGAATGGAATATTAAACTACAGGGAAGCTCCCTGCCCTAACCATATCCATCTTTCGTAATACTTTGAATGACCTAACGACACTCGAGTAACATAATTTTTATTATAGCCAACCCACGTTCAAAATTACTATATGTCACTAAGCTAGTGCATGATGAGCCCAAAATATGCTTCAGCAAATCTTCCCATTGGAGTGAAAACCTGAAGAAGAACTGGGTCATGCCGTTGTTGAGTTGCTAGGGTAGCTCCTCAACAAATACTTAAATGAAATGGTAACAAAATCATCAAAACCAACAAATACAAACTACACACAAGTTCCTCCAAACATGATATTTAATTCGATGACAACATCAACAAACCAAAAGAATCACCAAACAATTATCCGTTACTTGTGTGTAAGAAAGAAATGAAAATTGGCGCTTCTGAGCTAAACATCTGTTCGACATAATTTAACAGAATCATATAAACTCAAAGACAATCTGAATAATGCTACTACAATTTTAGTAAGTTTAGAATTCAACTAAAGGGATAAGTATTATTTTCAATTGATTTATATTGAATCCCACCTTGCATCTTCGTGTCCGGTAATCATTCGTTTCATTGTGTGTGCAAACACTTGTTCGTAAATGGATGTGAGAAAACAGGACGTTCTACTTTAGCACCATGTTAGATTCCTCAAACACTCATTGTGGCCACTATCTTTGGCTGCTATATCAATTGCATACGGAATTCATAATTCTAAGCCCCACCCCAGCTTCCTATTGTGAATCTGATTCAAAATTCAAACAAATGTTCTACTTCTGATGCAGTAACAATTGCCAGCGTTTTAGGAAGTGCTTCAAATAGTAGAAAGTATCTTTGTACAGTAGCTAAACACATAAAAACCCTAGCTCAACCATTGCCCAACTGAATCCTAACCGATTACTTCTTTTTTCTAACAGTCGCAACAAATTTGAAATTAAAGAAGCAAGCCTCGAAATCGAAACTGATACGAAGGCGCAGGAGTTAACTCACAGGGTCGAGGTCTGAATCGTTAGGAAGCTGAAGAATATCGCGGAAGATTTGCCGGTCGGCGGCGTCGAGGCCAGTGCGGCGTGTACGCCAAAGAGCTTGCAGTATGTATTCCACGGATTCCTTGGAGTTGGCTCGAACCAATAGCGGCAAATGGCCCCAGAAACTGTGATCCCCATCTACCATCTCACCACCGATTCAAAGCAGCCAATAGCCCCCTCGTGTGAGGTGTGATTCGATGCCGTCGAAGCTTGAAACAAACAAAAAATGGCGAATCTGCGGAATTTTCAGTTGTTCTGAATCGTCCTCCCAGCCAAATACAAATTTGTTTTTCTCCCTCCTTATAGAAAATTCTGGAATCTCAGTTCAAACAAAATATTAAATATATATAATTGATAAAAATAAGTATATTAAAATTAAGGGGCACTTGGATTTAAATAACTCTCAGGTAAAAAAGATTTAAGTTCAGTCCCTCTCCAATTTGAAAAAGCACTGCACTCCCTACTTTTCATTTCACTTTACACCTAACTCCCTAATACCCATTTTAGCCCTGAATCACCATATAATGTAACGAATATTATATATACTCTAATTATTTTTATATAAACCTATATTATCTAATTACGTACTCCAAAATTATCCCGATGTACAAAGAAAATATCAGAGTAGTGTGCCTCGAATTTTTATTTATGTACTAAAATTAGTTACAGTAATTTAAACGTAAAAATAAAATAAAACCCTAATAAAATTAACTATCCGACTTTGAAGATGAGTTATTCTTCCAAAATCTTTCCCTTCTACGCTGCCCTCGTCGTTGAAGCCCCCTTAGCGAACTAATTGCTGCCGAGCTTTCCTACATGAACCTCCACCGCCGTCGGAAGTCTTCCCTCGCTGCTGAGAGATCATATCCCAGTCGAGATGTCGAAAAAGACTTCATTCCAAGGTGGAGTTCGAAAAAGTAAGTTAAGTTTATGGTAGAATCGATTGTTTTAGTTCACAGTGTACTTGGATCTATTTTATTTGTGCCTCGGTTGGATTTGTACAAGCCTCGGTGACGGATAATTTTACTTTGACAGTCTGAAACGACGTTATAGCCATTGATGAATTTTTCAGACTGTATACTTTATTTGTTTTTGTCAACATTTTGTTTACAACCATAAACTATCGGGTTCAAATATTTTTATTATGATATTTTGATGACTTGAAGTCGTTGGGTGACTACGCTTGGGAAACTACATGCCATCGGTACCTATTGAAACTTATGTGGGACTTCAAATCTTGGAAGATTTACTTGATTGGATGCACCATGGGTTTGCTAGTACGCATTTAATTTATGTATTTAGGTGAGAAAAAATTGAGATAGTCTATGCTTATTGAAATAATTGGTTTTCTTCATTGCATGCCTGGATTAATGAGCATACTCCGGCATTCGACAAAGCAAGAGGATTACCTACAGTGCCCCGTTGCTTCAGATAGTTTCGTAGTAGGCTTGTATGCATATATGCTGAGAGCTACGCTTTAGAAAATACAGACTGTTACCCGCTAGGCGGCTGGATAACCGAATTCGATAATGTCAAGGCTTATAGGGCAAAAATTGTTGTAAGAAATTTTAGCAGGGCACCTTAGAGGGTCTGTGTAGTTCAATTTGAATGATTGAGGTGTAATTTATTACAATTGGATTGATGAATAACTAAGATTTGTGGCCAAATAGGGGTACTTATCAGTTTATGTTATTTTTTTACGTAGACTTTACTGATCACCGACTATTTTAAGCTAACATATAATATTTTAAGAGGTTGTCTATATGTAATTGGATTATGGTCATGTATATGTTTGTATACATGATATGTTGGCAAGATATCATGATTGAGTGTCAACAAGCCCTAGGCCGAGACCACATACTCCCAATGATAATATTTATATTTTTATTTCACTAATTTATATACCTTTGTATGTAATTTAGACACTCATGTCACGTGCATAGATGTACTAGAAGAGAACAAGTACCCATAGAAGTAAATAATATACTTTGGTTGGTAATATTCCATACTTAGGTATCGACAAACCCCTAGGCCGAGATCACATACCTTCAATGATGATATTTGTACTTTTGCTTCACTAATTTATATACCTCTTAACTAGTTGAATCCATCCGTATAAAGAATATGATATCTAAGTAACTTTAAACGTAATCAATGTATATTGAGAAGACGTGTACTCACTAAATTATTCTGAAAAGCACCACTGGACCGGTAATATATACGCATCAATGACTAATATGTTCCCTACAGTGTGAGAAAATTCAATATGTCTCACAACTAATACTTTATATCCCTTCTACCCCATTTACTATTGTTGGATGTTATATCTCACTTTCAGAAATTTTTTGGCAAACAATCACAATACAAAGAACATGTTAGGTCATCAATTATGCACTGACTTTCATATATCTATTACTTTTGGTCACCTCAATATATTTATTTTATATCTAACCTAATTGACATTCTCATCCACCCTTGAATGTGTTAGTAGGTTCTTTTGTATGTCATCTCGGGAGTATCCCCTGTTACACACTCTATGTCTGGAAAGTGGGTATAATGTTATCAACTCGTAGTTGTTTGATCCAACAAAAATCATTGACAAATTATGCTCATATTACTTGAATACTCGTGTTCACATTAATAATACTTGCACACAATTATAAATACTTTCATACACAAAGACGCACCCTCTTACTCGGATATGTATACACATGATATTAATGAATATACTCCCTGAACATCACAATATACTCGTATTTTCATTGCAGCAACTCCTTCAACAATATTAAATACCTCCATAAATAAATTTAATATATATTAATATAATTTCAGATCAATGATAGGGTTACACTATAGGCCATGTTATACCGTAACGAGTATTTATGAAACATAAAAGACCTAAAGTATTATGCAGAATTTAATAAGCAAATTCCCGTGTAATTTATTGTCGTTGTTAATATCTATTACTCATGATCATATTTAATATAATTACAATAACATGTAACGTACTTTCGTTATGAATTCATGTACCCTTGTTTTATACTTTGGAAGAATTATTTTGGACTAATATGTACCCCGGAAAAATAGTTGTGTATGTTCAGTAATATGCAGGGGAATATCATCAAATTTTCAAATCATTCAATAGTGGTCCCATACATAAATTACATTCAATGTACAATCTTGCATAAACAAAAAAAAAAAAATTCCAGCCATAAGAAACACGCAAGAAATACCTAAGATAAAATCTCCTTGCAATTTCTTCGGTTGTGTCATGACGACCAAAACGATCATATTTTTTAATCTGTTTCACCTACTGTGATTCAAATCGCATTTTGTTTTGGCCAGCCTGGTTGAAAAAATGATGTGTGAGAAAGTATCTTTGTCTGCAGGTTGTTACGCCACATCTATATTATGGGTCGGCACCGGGTTATGGATTCATCATAGACATCACATATTGTTGGATAGAATCAAACATCCCAACAAAATGTAATGACCTTGCTGAGCGCACCCAACTATACAACGACTAAGCTATATTGTTATTTATTATCCTCCAACGAGTCTCTTAGAGTAGATAATTCGTTTGACACTAGCGTTGTAATCATGCAATGAAGTTTCGGGCAAGTGACATGGCCTCCACAACATACGTTATATGCTGCTCAAAATCCTTTTATAGAGGGGCATAACCTGCTTTGTTGAAAATGGACGTCCATCATTTCTTGTTGTGCATCCCATATCTCTGCACTACATATCATAATAAATTAATATATATTTTATACATAATAAATTAATATATATTTTATATATTTTATATTAGGTGTCGGAGACAATATGTGTGGTGGACTCTAAAAAAATACGGCTGGAATGAACTTTAGAAGTTTCAAGTGTTTATCCAAAAAAATATGTATTTTTTCCAATTATCGACCATCAATGTGAATAATAAATCTTAACCTTCAGCAAAATAATTTCCAATCAATTTCGGCAGACACCGCTGCATAGCTACAAGATATTAACATTATCTAATACAAACACATAAAATAAACGCCAAGGTTCATAATGAGTAATCGTAGTATATACCAACAAAACCAAGGTACTTTTAAACAAATGCATCATACGATATCAAAAAACATAGGTATAAGATTAATAAATATAGGTATATTACACTGTAAAAATGTATCCGTGAAAATACCCACGCATACTAGCAAGAAATCGCAACAACTACTACAAAGATTTTTTTCGAATACATACCCTCTTAACGAAAGGTCATACACAATTAGAAACTACTGCAATCATAATCGCAAACAAGACAACAATCGTCGAAGCAATAGTGAAATACTTACCGAAATCAATCGTGAATTCTAACAGCACTATCGCAATCAACCAACAAAATCATCACACCAAAAGAACATCGCAAGTTAAGGAATCGAACATTCACCTTACTCGTTTCTCCCTTGCGCGAAATAAACCTAAAATTTGGAATTTGGATTCGAAATCCATCACAAATTCACCATCAATCGTAGACTCTCCCCGAGAACGAAACCAAACGATGTAGACAATTTTTTCCTTCGCGCGAATGAAACCAAAGGCTGGATACAATCTCTTTCACTCCCGCAAAAAAAAACCTAACAAATAAAGAGAGAAAAATGAAATTGATAAAAATGAATTTTTGGGGTGAGATGGGGGTAAAATTGGAAATGAAAAATAGATGGGGAGTTAATTGTAAGAAATTTTTAAAAAAGGGGAGTGCAGACTCCACCAATATTGGATAGGGACTGAATACAAATATGAAAATAGGGGTGGGTATTTAATTACAATTGTACGTAAAATTAAAATATAATTAATTAAAATATTATATTTTCAATTTCGGATTGATTCGAATTTTTTATACGTAGATTCGAATATCTAAACTTTATAAAATATTTCATTCGAATCTATTCAAAAAATTTGAACAAAACTTTTAAATTTCAATTTGATTTGGATCAAATTTTTAAATTTTGAATATTTTGTTCACCTCTAGCCTCAACTGGCTGCTGCTGTTGAAAATGAATCAAATAAGTTTGTTAAATTCAATATCAATTCAAAATTTTTATATTTATATTAGAAATTTTACTATTCGAATTTGATCGGAATATAAATGAAATATAAATATGAAATATTGATATTGGTTTTGATATTTCATAATAAATAATATTTCCTTCCTCTCGGGTCAGATGACTCATTTGGTTAGGGACATTGTCTTTAATGTAGATTAATAAGTTATTAATAATAAGTTTAGTATTTTTGGTATTTAGATATTTTTAG